AGCATTACATTAACAATCATCGTTATCACAGCGGGTCTGGGGTGGTCAGAGCTGCACCCAGTACACAGAGCACCAGCCCCAGCTTACAGTGTTATACAGCAGAGAACTAAGACATGAGATGACTGCATTTATTATGGATTCATTCATATTTTATGATTAATGAGAATATATGATGTGGGGCCTGCTCTGTGTGATGGGGGCTGTTCTGTGTGATGGGGCCTGCTCTGTGTGATGGGGGCTGCTCTGTGTGATGGGGGCTGTTCTGTGTGATGGGGCCTGCTCTGTGTGATGGGGGCTGTTCTGTGATGGGGGCTGCTCTGTGATGGGGGCTGTTCTGTCTGATGGGGGCTGTTCTGTGTGATGGGGCCTGCTCTGTGTGATGGGGGCTGCTCTGTGTGATGGGGGCTGTTCTGTGTGATGGGGGCTGCTCTGTGTGATGGGGGCTGCTCTGTGTGATGGGGCCTGCTCTGTGTGATGGGGGCTGTTCTGTGATGGGGGCTGCTCTGTGATGGGGGCTGTTCTGTGATGGGGCCTGCTCTGTGTGATGGGGGCTGTTCTGTGATGGGAGCTGTTCTGTGATGGGGGCTGCTCTGTGATGGGGGCTGTTCTGTCTGATGGGGGCTGTTCTGTGTGATGGGGCCTGCTCTGTGTGATGGGGGCTGCTCTGTGTGATGAGGCCTGCTCTGTGTGATGGGGGCTGTTCTGTGATGGGGGCTGTTCTGTGATGGGGGCTGCTCTGTGATGAGGGCTGCTCTGTGTGATGGGGGCTGCTCTGTGTGATGGGGGCTGCTCTGTGCACCTGTCACAGAGTCAGATGCGCCAAGTTTTCTGCTTCTTTGGTTCTTTCACCGTCCGTTGTACAATGTTCTTATTCAAAGGAGGATCGTTCAGAATAACAGTACAACATAATTGTAAGTAGGGCTATTAGATTAGATCATTGTGGCGATAAATCACAATATACCATGTTCTGTAGCCCTGAGATTCTCACATTGATTAGAAAATCTAAAAAAAATTACATATTTTTTTAATAGTTATTTTGGGCCACAATGTTCAAGGCAGTGCACTTACACTCCTGCTCACTGGAGAAACTGCAGCAACTCACAAGAGATTATTATTATTAGTATATTTTTCCAAAGTCATGTATAAAAAAATCGAACTCAATAATTGGGGAATAGTTGAATTTGGTGATATATCGTACAGTGATGATACAACATGATATATCCCTTTAAAGGAGAGCAATTTCAGATTCAGACTTTGAAATTGTGATATCTCTAGTTTGTCTAGTCTCTTGTTCTTGTTCTAATGAAACTCTTACTTCTTAATGCATGGTGGCTTTGCATTTCTCTGCGAGCTTCTGTAAGTGACATGTTGTATTTGAACAAGTGCAGAGAGGGAGAGGCTGCAGCTAATCATTCTTCACATAGTCCTTGAGCAGAGACTTATCAAACCGGTCCACCACACCTCCACGAAACCCACAGCATTACACAACAGCCATAAAGAGGCACCGCGGCTACAGCAGTTAGCTTCATGTCAATCAGCAGCAGCAAACACCAGCACACGCTTCCAGTCAGACATGCAACGAAAAACGTATTTATATACGTTATAAATGTGTCATTACTCCAGCCTATTTCAATCAGAGAGCTACTTTTATACGACAGAAGAGGCAGAGAGCTACTCCATTTTGCAGTTGTACACAAAAAATGATGTTATAATTACAACAAGACATGGAGCACACTTGTAAAATATACCCTAATACTGCTAATACTATTCATTCAAGATCATGTGTTGAATTCTAAATCCTTTGAGGAGCTATCTGAGAAGGGCTGGTGAGCTACTGGTAGCTCCCGAGCCACAGGTTGGAGACCCCTGGTTTAGATGTTTAAATCAGATACAGCGAATATATACGTCTAAGGAGCACGCTGGCTGAGTGGTTAGCATTCTCACTTCTCAGCAAGAAGGTCCTGGGTTTTAATCCCGGTCGAAACAGGGCCTTTCTGAGTGGAGTTTGCATATTCTCCCAGTGTCTGAGAAGGTTTCCTCCAGGTTTTCCGGTTTCCCCTACCACTAAAAACATGTATAATAGGAAAACTCCTCCAGCTATGGTCCTGACCCAAAGCATCGTCATGTAAAGATGGGTTTTTTGTTGCTACGGCGACCACTGCCTCTGACAAAGGCCCAGGTGGTAATGAAGGATGGGTCAAATGCAGAGGAGACATTTCTCTACAGGTGCAATAAAGTATAAGTTAAAGGTATACAGGACGATTTTGAGTTTTAGGAAAGAACCGTCCTCTCCACTTTTAGAACCACACATCTGTTCTTATTTGACGAGCACGTATCACCAGAATGATTGACAAATGAAAGGACCAATAGTCTTGATGATCCACCAGGAAGTAGAAAATCCATTTATATACCTTTAACTGAGCGATCGACAGGAGGAAGGGACAGAATATCTCAAAACTATTATTAATGTAGCCTGGTCATACCACACCTTAGTACAAATTACATTTCGTGTTCCATTGAGCTCCGTTTACAGATAGGAGGGGTTAACTCCTTTTGCAGATTGAAACCATTGGATCTGAGTCTACTGTCACGTATGTAATGCGCCCAAATCTGTCGTTAGCATTTAGCATTTAGGCTAGCCATCTCCTTTGCCGCTAACGGAGCCCGTGGGGAGTAGTGCCACAATCTTTGCCAGCGATTACATTTGCTAAACATTCCTCTTGCTCCTGCTTCAATTTCTTGATAGAACCAGACCGTAATACTTTACTATCACATTCTTCGCCAAACTACAAACTCTTGGCGTCACCCACAACTAGCTACAACACCCGCCTCCCGCGCTCTCTGATTGGTCGGATGGATTTCAACCGATTGTAATGGCAAACACAGGGACCAGACCTAGACGTTACATGCAGGAAATGATGATTGAGCGGAGTGTATGGATGGATAAGACCAGGCTATTATTAATGTAAGTCATTGAGAATAGTTTTGAGATATTCTGTTACTTCTGAACTCCATGGAAAATCATAGTAAAAGAAAACACTTCTTGTTTATTTTATCTGGAATTCTACTGGTGCCATTTGCCCATTTCCTTGTGCCCGTGCCAGGTTAGTCATGACAAAGTATTCAGCTCATTTGCCGCACATGATTTCCACTGAACACTTCATACTATTGTTTATGGAATGTACAGTAACTAATCTTTATTTATATAGCACCCTTCACAGACGGAGCCACGACGCGCTGTGCATTGTGGGAATCTGCCGTCTCACTCCTCACAGGGATGGGAGTGAGACGGGTTCTTTAGTAGTAAGCACAGGCGGAGGACGCAGAGACACAGGGAGAACATGCAAACTCCACACAGAAAGGCCTTGTCTGGAGATCGAACTGAACCCAGGACCTTCTTGACGTGAAGCACAAGCGCTAACCTGATCCTGGCAAGTCAGATAAAATGCAATTATGAATATGGCGTGGATATGTGTGTGTGAATGTGTGTGAGGTGTAATGAATTTTGATCGCATTTCTCGGTTTTGTAAGGCGCAATATTGATAAAATGTATTACCGTATTTTTCGCACTATCAGGCGCACATAAAAGCCTTCAATATTCAACAGTGCGCCTTTAATCCGGTGCAACTCATATAGGCAGATAATGCGCCTTCTAGTGCAAATAATACGGTACATCTGACATCTGTTCAAGGAAATTTCTAATATGTCTTTATCCCATGTCCTGCTTCATCGTGGTCAAGCATAAACAGAGACAGTTTACGTTTTCATTGATTCTACTGTGACGTTTGCTTGTTTTCCTGCCCGAGACAGAAATACATTTGTATATTAGTGCATATTACACTGCAACGAATGTCCCGAACCGACAGATGTCTGTGAAACCTCTGGAAGCTGCATTTAGAGGGTTTGAAAAAGGTATTATTTGTGTGTGTGGGTGTGTGTGAGGGTGTGTGTGTGTGTGTGTGTGAGGGTGTGTGTGTGTATGTGAGAGAGTGTAAGTCAAGGCAAGGTAACTCAATTAAGCGCTGAAGAAAAATAAGATGGAGACAGTCACACAAGGCATTACGTTCAAGATTCACGATTCAATTTGCCATCTGCAGTAAAACCACATTGGAAAAACTGTGCAAGACTATCCCAGTGTGCACCAGATATCACCCAAATAATCACAGTGCATCACAAATAGTAAAGATAAAATCACTCACTGAAGTGTTTTTAACCTGGATTTAAACGTGTGTGTGTGTGTGTGTGTGTTTTTGTATGCGCTTTTTGGCAATTGTGTTTAAATCTGTTTTTTTCCATGTCCTTGTGTCTTATTGCTGTGGTGTTCGATGTCCAGACCTGTCATGGTGGTTGGGACTGCTGCATATTTTCATGAAAACAACTCAACGCTTCAAAGTAACCGAACACACCGCTCAAGACATGTTTTGGGAGATTAGGAGAGTATTAAGAAAGAAAGAAAGAATCATTTCCATGGAAGCCAGACAGGTTTGTGGACATGCAAGCTGCAACCACGCTCACAGTCAATACACCTGATGTTTTTCATACATTTTCATTTCCATATGTTTATTTTTTTATTTTTTTTACGCACGTTCAGTTACGTACACGTACAAGTGTGTGGCCATACGCGTGAGTATACATAGATATTGGATATGTTTGTTTTTGGGGTTGGGGCGAAGTAGGTGTTAAACTTCAGCTCAAGTTAAATCCACAATAGGTCTTTAAACCTGTCACTTTGTGTGCGTGACATTCGTGTTGTTGTTGTTGTTGTTGACAAAATAAAGAATGAACCAACAAAAATCAACAATATATATCTGTATATTTATGTATTGGTCTGTATCTGTGTTAATCTGGACCTCGAGTTTGTAATAAAGTTTTCTCTATCTATATACCAGTTTTTGGCTACTAGTGAAGCCATGACACTTAAAATAGGTCTACAAACACACGCACGCACGCACGCACGCACACACACAACAGAGCGTCACAAAGTAGTCGCGTCAACTTACGTGCTTTTGGGCTGCGTGATGGTGGCCGTGGACTTCTTCTTCTTGAACATGGTGCTGGAGACGGTGAGGTGCAGGAGAGCAGGTGGTGTGGTGCTTGGCTCAGTGTGGAGGAGAGACTGACTCCCGCAGCGCGTATGGAGCGCACTCAACCCTCAGACTCCGACTCAGACTCGCCCGTCCAGTCCCGGGACCTGCCCCACCTGCTCGGGCAGAGGCGGGCGGGACAGCGACAGGAACTAGGAAGACAGCTGACGCCTTTTTCCAACCAACTTTTGCCACGTTCCTATCACTTTGCATTGTTGTCAATAGCAACTGTTTTCTCAAGACAATTATGACACCAGTATCAGGTGGAGCCAGACAAGTCCAAACTACGGCCCCGAGGAAATTCAGGGTCCTCAGAGAATTTTGTTATGGCCCAGCTTATATAATGAAAATAATGAATCATTTTATAGCACTTTTTGGACACTCAAACAGGCTTTACATAATTAATTATTCATCAAAATGTATCATCGTCATTACTCATTCACTCCATATGCAGGAGTGATTCTGCTGTAGCCACAGTTGCCCTGGGGCACACTGACAGAAGCAAGACAACCTGTATGCGCCATCAGCCCCTCCCACTACCACTCACTATTCACACACAAACCAGACTCATTCTAGGCAGTGTGGGTGAAGTGCCTTGCCTATAGACACACCCACAATTTGGCCCTTTACAGCCGTAGACGCCCCACTGTGACACCTGGTGTTCCCAGAGGTCTCTCATCACAGTACTAACCAGCTCCTGCCATGCTTAGCTTCAGAAATCTAGCCTTCACTTGCAAGTATGGCCATAGAATGGGTTTGCTGCAGTTTGTTTAGTCCCACATCATATTTTCTTGCCTCAATGCACCAGTGGAAATAAGTGATTTTGTCTTTCATACTTCATGACCCACAACGTCTGTTTCCGCTTTGTATTGAATGTCACGCAAGAAGGTCCTGGGTTCGAATCCCGGTCAGCACCCAGACCCTCATGCTGCTAACATGTACAGATTTACACAACTACATATTTATTTCACGAGAATATACAGAGCTTTTCTTCTTGCTTCTTTCTTTTGTTTGATTTGAGTATAGAGTCCATCTTGTTCTCTGTGCTCCTCATTCCTTTACTGTTCTGTAACTGGAGATGCAACACTGAAATTTCCCCACTGTGGGACAAATAAAGTATCTCTTTATCTTAATCGTAATCGTACAGAGTGGAGCTTGCATGTTCTCCCTGCGTCTGTGTAGGGATGCTCCAGTTTCCTCTACCACTAAAAACATGTACAATAGATCAAATGCTCCAGGTCTGGTCCTGAAGAGCGTCAACATCTGGAGACGGGTTCTCAGTTACTACGGCAACCACTGGCCCTGGCGGCACTGCAGGACGGGTCAAATGCAAAGGACACGTAGAAAGTTGCTTGCTGTAAATTAAATGAAAGAGATGAATGAAGGTCAGTGTCAACAAACAGGTCTCAGTGTTTACAGCGGGCGGAATGATGTTAGAGTTGTCAAACGAGGAGACACACAGGGACAGACACACACACAGATACAGACACACACACAGGTACAGACACACACACAAGTGCAGACAAACATACAGATACAGACACAGGTACAGACACACACACAGGACAGGTACACACACACATAGGTACAGACAGAGATACACAGGTACACACACGCACACACACACACTGGTCCAGGGTCCTCTTCCTCCATACCGTGTGTCTCTTCAGCACAGGTCTGGCCTCACTGAAAACTATATTAAACTCTTTGTCTCGCGTCCTGGTCTTAGGTTAGGGGGAGTCCTGGGTCCTGGTCTGAGTCCTGGTCTGGTTCTGAGTCCTAGTCCTGTAAAAATAGGACATATTGGCACTATTGAAAGACGATGAAATGCAGACAATGATCTTTCTTTGTTCATAATGCCTTGATGTTCTTGTAAAACTGATTTTCTTTGATTTTCCTGCTTCAATGAAAAATGTATTAAAAAAACAAACAAAAAAACGTGAATTGTATAACTGTACAATTTGATATATTGCCTGTAATTACCATATCTTCATGTTTATCCTTTATGTTGCGTTTGTATCGAGATACCAAACACGCACACAATTATGCACCTGAAAACTATGTGAGATATGAATCATTCTCCTCATTCCTGAGCTACTGGGGCATGGGTTGGTACAACTTAAACTGGTTCAACTGGTGGTGAATTCCTTTGGGTCATACAGATCCAAAAGGTTCATAAGAAATTATGCATTGGATCAAACATGCCTCCTTTTTCAATTCAAAGATCAAATCAATTTAATCTTTCACAAACTAAAAAAAACAGCAGTCTTGAAGTCCTGACATTTTTCATAAAACAATAGAAGTGTGGAGAATAAATTATTAAAAGATTTTTGCCAACAAACCAATATTCACTGGACTTAAGCAAATTGAAAAAGTCTCAGAGCTAGTCTCAATCCCACATCTTCTGGCACTAATAATTACACTCTTAACACTAGCACTCGGGGTGCAGTCATTTTGACTGCTTCATTCATTTGACTGTAAAATTCAACTGAAGGCCTTTTCATTTTCTTGGTAACAAACTTTCTATGGCAATTAAAGCCCCTTTTCAAGGTGCTGGTCCTAGACTGGTCCTGGCTCTGAGCTGAGTCAGCTTGGTTTCCCACCAGAGAAGAGCAAGTGCTGGTTACCATAGCAACACATCGGTTACTTGCAACAACTAGCAACAAAAGTGCCTGTTTTCAAACTTGCTAATGTTTCTTCGAGAAAATGTCCATGTATTCTCTAAATATTGCACTCTTATGTTTTTTTGTCTCGAATGAACCACTGTCGTGGGATAAACATTTGTTTTTTGTTTTTTTTAAGCTATATTTTGTAGGTGATTAACAACCTGACCAGTGAGGGGCAGCAATGCACATAGCCGAGCCTTGTCTGCCGGAAATCAAAACTACAGTTCACAAACAATACTCCTTCTTGTCTTCCTTATTTTTTGCTATAATGATATTATTGATGTCTGGTTTCAGTTAAGTGGCAGAATATGATATAAAAAATATCGTATTTCCAAGAAACAAAACTAGTGTGACTGAGTGTTGGAAAAATACACTTTTAAAGAGAAAAGATGGAAGGTGGAATTCGAATTTGGATGCAGCCGGGTTCGTCTATGGCGGTGTTATTTTCTCCAACACATTTTTCTTTCCCAATGGTAAACGTTTAACCACAGTAATCGGTAACTGCAACCACCAACAAGAACACATTTGTAGCCATATAAAATGTGAAATAAACCAGTATTTAAGTATTTACCAGCAGAGCCACCAATGCAAAGTTTTCGAGTTTGACAGAACTGTGTTTGGGAAAAACAAGTTTGTCCATGGCTGTGCTCTCCAGGCGGGTGCATCACACACTGCTGATTAAAGCGTATTTACATGGATTTTATCACATTTACAAGGTTTAAAGCAAACGTATGTGGATTAAAGTTAATATACATGGATTGAATCATCGCAGCCCGGCGGCATGGCGCAGAGAGCAGAGACAGAGGTAAAACTAGCACTTCTGCCCCTGAGAGAGGGGTGCATGTGTCCCGTGTTTACCTCCTGTATACACGGACAAGCCTTTTCAGTGGAAGTGATCCAGTCCCCCCACGGTCCCCACGCTCCGCACACGCTGTCACTGTTTATATTCTTACAATACTTGATTTCCTGGTTATTGAAACCTAGAGCTGGGTGTTGTTAGTCCTAATGTCATGTGAAAGTAAATTGTTATGATCAAATCAGACCACAACATGCTGGGTTCATCTTATTAAAAACATTGTTGACTTTAGCAAACCTCGAGAATAATTTTTGACTCTTTGGGCTGATTAGTAAAGTGATAGGTCCACGCTTTTTCAATTGAAAAAAAAACTTGGTGACGGAACCTCACTCTGATTTCTCGCTCTGGTCTCTCGCTGGTCTCTCTTCGGTCTCTCTCTATGGTCTTACTCTGGTATCTCCCTCTATGGTCTCTCTCTCTGGTCTCTCTTAGATCTCTCTCTATTGTCTCTCTCTCTGGTCTCTGTTAGGTCTCTCTCTATTGTCTCTCTCTGGTCTCTCTCTCTTAGGTCTCTCTCTGGTCTCTCTCTTCAGTCTCCATCTATAGTCTCTCTTTCTGATTTCACTCTCTGGTCTCTCTCTGGGGTCTCTCTCTGGTATCTCCCTCTAGGTCTCTCTCGCTGGTCTCTCTTCGGTCTCTCTCTATGGTCTTTCTCTGGTATCTCTCTCTATGGTCTCTGAAAAAGCTGATCTAAAAACGTGACAGAGGCCAAACTACATGCATGTGGATGAAATGGATGTATAGTTTCATTTTATGTAGTTTGTTTCCTCTAAAGCATGTATACTACTGTAGGTCGGAAACTACTAGTTTGCTGATTGTTTTTATTTTTGTGTTTTGTAAGTATTTGTTTTGTTTTTGTGGATTTAGTTGAGTTTCAGTTTGAAAGGGAAATCTGCTAAATATGCTGAAATTTCAGGAAGTAAATTCAGGAAACATGATTTACACAACATTTGTTTTTAATATTTGACAAATTGTGTCAGAAACTATTACAACTCCCAGAGAATTTTGACGGCTCCATTTAAAACCAATAGAATTATGAAAAATTCCCCCCAATAAAGTTGTCGTTCTCCACTTGTTTTACTTCAACTTTTAACTGCTCTATTCTGTCCTCCACACGTCATCATAGACTTTACAGAGGAGCTCTCATCCAGCCATCGTTTGTGCCACGGGATATGGCAGATACATATCAAAACCTCTTACAGACAATATTAAACTAAAAGTAGATTAAAGTCTGGAGAACTGACATAGAGGAATCCCAGATGATCATACAGTATATAATGCTGCACTAGTAAAACATAATTGCTTGAACATATGATCCTGATGCAGAAGTGAATGAAGGAACAAAATAAACACCACTTCACTGTCACAAACACAGTGAATATATATAAACATATATATCCTGCAGGATATACTCGCTGGAGGTATTTGGCAGCTGCAGCTTTCCTTGTTGCCTGTGGTCTACCTAGATACTTGTAACTGTCCTCAACGTCTGCTATTGTTCCCCCTGGGAGTGAGATACCTTCTGTCTGGACTACCTTGCCTCTCCGAGTTACTGTCCTGCTACATTTCTCGTGTTCTCGAGTCCGAATGACATCCCGATGTCATGGCTGTTGATCCTGGTGGTTTGGATCAGAGAGTCGATGTCTCTCTCGCTCTTGGCGTACAGCTTGATGTCATCCATGTAGAGGAGGTGACTGATCTTTGCTCCGTTCCTGAGGCGGTATCCATAGCCAGTCTGGTCGATTATTTGGCTTAGAGGGTTGAGGCCTATGCAGAACAGTAGTGGGGACAGAGCATCTCCTTGGTAGATACCACATTTGATGATCACTTGTGCGAGCGGCCATTTGCCTCAAGGGTGGTCTTCCACATTCCCATTGAGTTTGCAACGAAGTCCCTGCCCTGTTGATATTGTACAGCATCAAGCATTCCATGATCCATGTGTGTGGCATTGAGTTGTAGGCTTTCTGGTAATCAATCCAGGCTGTGCACAGGTTGGTGTGTCGTGACCGGCAGTCTTGGGCGACTGTTCTGTCAACCAGGAGCCCTTTTGTGCTGTGCTCATGAATTGTTCCATATGCCCACTTATCTTAGCCGCAATGATGCCTGACATGAGCTTCCATGTTGTGGAGAGACAGGTTATTGGCCTTCAGGATCCTTCATGATCAGGACCGTTCGCCCTTCGGTTAGCCATTCTGGGTGAGTCCCATCTCTCAGCAGCTGGTTCATTTGTGCTGCTAGGCGCTCATGGAGTGATGTGAGTGTCCTTAGCCAGTAGGCATGGACCATATCAGGGCCAGGTGCTGTCCAGTTTTCCATACCTGAGACTCTTTCTCGGATGTCTGCCTCAGTGATGGTAACTGAGTTCTGTTCTGGGAGGTGGCTGTTAGGTCTGCACAATATTGGAAATTTGAGCAATCTTCATTATGAGTGTTTAGTATTTCGATGACAATATTATTGTGATATTTTTGTCTTTCACCTAAAATAGCAATCTGCATTGAAACGCAAGAGACAGATAACAAAAAACAGCACAACATTGATGACATTCAAATGCATATATTTATAAAATTTTCGTCTGTTTGTCTGTTTGTTGTTGAATGTTTGTGTGTCTGTTTTGATGTTTTTGAGAAAGGAAAAACAAAAAAAAACTATTTATTATTTTTTTATCGCGCATCTTTTCGATATGGATATCGCACGCACCAATATCACAATAATGATATTTTTTCGATATATCGTGCAGCCCTAGTGGCTGTGCTCGTCTCAGAGACACCTGTTACTATTGACACGACTGAAGGATCTCCAAAGTATGGAGTATTTCACAGCATGTTAATGTGCATGTGAATTTAAAACATGTTCAAATAAATTACAATTTAAGTTTAAATGTAAACAAAAAATGATCAAGTCCTATGTTAAATGAAGTGAGAAATAGTATTGTATTTGTATTAGTGGTATTTATTGTATTTTGATACAAAGCCATCTATGTATGTTGTCTTATTGGCATAAGATTGGGGTAGGGGTTTAAATAAGACTTGGTCTTCATCCTACTCCTGTTCTTTATGTGACTGTAATGTTATATAAGAACGAATAAAATGAATGAATGTTTTATTTTTACCAACAAAACCACTAATCGTTTCAATGTTTATTCAAAGAATAAAGAATACGGTGGAACATTCCAGATGAAGTGTGACGCTGGAGCTGATGTGCCGCTGCTTTTTAGGTGAAGGAAGCGGACCACATCTTTCTGCTGATGAAGGAAGAGTACCGCATCTCTCGGAATGTGCGCCTGGCCTGGTTCCTTGGGAAACTCAACCAAGTCATCTGGCCCGTGTCCACACCAGAGCTGGTGAGAGCAGCTCTTTTAATGCAGTGTCCGGCAAAAGCTTTTGTCTACATTTTGTCTCGTTGCCAAGACTTTTTGAAATTTGACAAATAACAAATAACGTGGACTGCAAAGTAAAAACAATGTTAGGTAATTGATTCTAAAACCTGAACCCAACATGTAAGAAGATATAGAATACATTATAAAAATTTAATGGCATATCAGTCTACAATCACAGCATTCTTCACGTTTTCTCCAGTTTTGGTTCTGTCCAAACCAACAGTAACTCATTTTGTTCATAAAAATCTACCAGTAAATAACATCCAAATGTCTGGTGCTGTATATACTTTAAGCTACCGTCATAATGTAAGAAATAAAGAAAAAACATTCTTTTCCACTAAGAAAACCACTTTGATTCGACTCCTGACCAGCTCTTACCTTTCAATAAGTCTGACACCCCTGTTGTATACTATTGATGGGGTTCAGCTTGACCCAGAAATGGATTAAGGGGAAGAAAATGATTGGATGGATATTTCTCCTTCTTACGTCTCTTGCCCTGCTGTCATTATTTAGATCAGGTTTAGACGCGGAAAAACAGTTTTAGGGAAATATTAAATGAAGATGAAGCTCGACCCTCTGGTCCGGGTTCAGGGATGTTGTAAAGGAATAATTGGTGAATATTCTGCATTATAATGTCACATTTGGTAAATATAGTATCACTCAGATTGTGCAAAAAGACAAAAGTATGCAAACATGTTAAAGGTTGAAAATATAGTCTGTGAAGGATATAATTATGTACAATAAAAAGTTTTTAGCAGTGCTGGTTTTTCAGTCTGACTTTCTAGTGACTGATGTTGTGTCTGTTCAGTTACACTCGGACAATGAGCTGGACCTGCTGAGCATCCTGCCTAAAGGCGGGCAGCGTGAGTCCAGCTGCTCCGCTCAGCCCTATGTGCTGGTGCCCTCGACCAGAGCCTCCTTTTTAGCCCGAAGGTACCGCTTTGTCATCCAGCTGGACCTGAGCCCTTCCACCAGGATTGTGGTAAGATCCTTTCTCATCCCATTTATATGTTGTTGTGTGAGCTTTGGTTGTGACTTAATAGATTAGGCATAAACCAAAAATATACAAGAGGACCTTTAATGACACATTTTACATTACTTAGATACACAGGATTCATAGACATAAAACAACTGACTCCAGGGCTACGAGAAACCTTCTGAATCCAGTAAAATGAGGTCCTTCCAATTCTTTATGACTGGAACGAGATGGAACGACGTCCTTGCCGCTGCTAAGGACTTCAGATGATGCTCAAGAAGCTGTAACGGGTCTTGAGCATCAGAACAAAGAACAAAAAGCGCAAGTTCACACTAATACGTTGTAATGATACTGATGAATAAAGAGCTGCTCTAATGTGAAAGTCTGAACAGGAACTTCTAACACAATAGAGCAGAGATCACAATTGTACTTATCTAGTCCTGCGAACTGGAGCAAGTCCTGTTGGAAGTACAGAATCTATACTTCCAAACCCCAAGAAGACTTGTTTGGGATTTAGTAACTTAGAAGCTTCTCCTCAACTCTTGAGTGGGTTCAACCATTCTAGAAACACACCTCTGGAAATAAGCGATGAAGTCTCAAGAAATGATCCAGAAAGCACAATACGGATGCTCGGACCCACCAACAACAGATGAATGTTTCCCCTCTCCTCTCTGTGTGGTTTCAGGACGATGGCACTGGCGAGATGATCTTTGATGAGGTCTTCCACGCTCTTTCCAAGTGTTTGTCTGGCCTCATCCAGCCCTTTAAAGTGCCAGGGACCGACAAGTTATTCCGACCCAATATCTTCGTCACCATCCTGGCCTACTCCTCCGTCATCGGCCTCAGCTCACATCAGGTCCTTTCTCCATCTCTTTGTTTCCCTCGCTCATCTGTCTTTTCTACCAAGGCATGAAGCTTTGATTGACAGCGTTTTACAGATGTTGCTCTGCGTTGCCCTCGCAGGTCCTGGTTCAGGGATGTCAGTTGGAGCGCACGGATCTGGACGTGTTTCTGAAAAACATCTACCAACAGCTGCGAGCTCTGGAGAACAGCATCGCGGATGTGCTGCACCGGCAACATCTGCAGGTAAGTCTGCTGAGGACCTGAATATACACTGTACATTTGATTGTGTTCAGATTGTTTACAAGATTTACCCTTGGGATACAAGTTCACACACTTTCACAAAGCCATCACCAAACGCCTCCTGCTCTCGTCTCCGCTATTCTCGTCTTCTTTTCTCTCATTAAAGCCCTCTTGGCGCCTCATACCTTCCTCCATACGCCCCTTTCTTTACAAAGTGTTTTTAACCCTTCATTATGAGGGGCATCTTTCCGCACATGCATTACTATATGTTTAATATGCATTCTTGTACCATGAAGCAAACGGGAGCAGAAGGAAGAAACAGTCTCGATAAAATATATACTGTATGTAACTGTTTTCTATAAGAAGCAGTGAATGGGCTGGTTCTTCTGCCTCCTCACAGGCAGAAGAACCAGCCCAGAGCACAGAGGAGACCTGGTCCAGTCAGGGCGGAGTGTCCATGGTGGCTGCAGACATGGGGCTGGTCAGTATGATTCGCCAAGGGATCCTGGCTCTGCAGCTGCTGCCCCCCAACTCCACTGCAGGTGGGTCTATTCTGAGGTCAATGCTAAAGGGATGGATAGGGAACGATAAAAACTTCATGCTGTAACGGCATGACGTTTTTTGAGGCAGTTGTGAATGAGGTTCTCTCTCCTCTCTGATGGTAAAGCTGCCCATTTATCTTTGCCAAAAAGCCTCTATCCCTGTAAAAATGTTAATATGTTGAGGAGCAACACACGCTACCGAGAACCGGGGGATGGAGACTTCTGATCAGGGTCATTTAGGCAGTAACTGTTGAGTTGATTAGTTTGTTTTAGTTTATTTCAAATGAGAATGTGTATATTATGTACAACGATAAAAACACTGTTAGTAAAATAAAGAACATTTATGGGTAAAAAAAAGCATTTTTATATGCTCCTCCTTCTGCATAGAACAAGTTGCAAAAAGACTGGAAATTATCTTATTTCATTGAATGCTTTTAGATCCAGATTGAGAGCACTTGAGACGTCCTCTTTGAAATGAATAACTGTTTTTTCATAATCTGTATTGTGTGTATCTGTATGTAAGTTTTGTCCAGGATTCCCTTGAAAAAGAGGTTCTTAATCTCAATGGGACTTTCCGGGTTAAATAAAGGTTAAATAAAATAAGATAAAATTCACTGCTGCTGAAGCACTTATTAATTCCCTCTTTCACTCATCAGTTATCATTCATCAGAAATATGGCTCTGTGTGTGTGTGTGTGTGTTTAGTTACGTTAACATTTGAAAACTTAATTATAGATTGCTTGTCACTTCTGCAAGGCACTGTATAATCCACAATCCAAAATACCACATCATCAAATTACAAGAACACATTGAGCCTCACACACGAGGTATTTGTTCTGATCATTCTCAGGCTGCGCTGTGAGAGATTTTTTGGAATAAGTTGAAGTTAATACGCTTGTAGTTTGTTATAGCGGTGTAGCTAGAAGTCTCAGCAGTTGTAGTGAATGTGCGTGTGCTGCAGGCATCATCCTGATCACAGACGGAGTGAGCAGTGTTCCAGATGTGGCCATGTGTGAAACTCTACTGAACCAACTCCGCAGCAGCACCATCGCCTGCTCCTTCGTACAAGTAAGACCTCTGTATTCACCAGTCACCGCACTCTCCTCTGGAACTATCCACATTTACTCTCAGGGGAAAGAACACAGCACTAGGGTTTGGTGATTATGATACGTTCTAGGATTACAGCACAAAAGTGTCATAATCGCTCAACTTAATATCTCTTCAACTTCTATCCATCAATTTTCTTCCACTTATTCCGTTGCCGGGTCACAGAGACAACTGTCAAAGCAAAGGCCCTCAGACTTCCCTCTCCACACACATCCTCCAGCTCATCAGGGGGAATCCAGAGGCATTCCCAGGCCAGCTTAGCGACATCGTGCCTCCAACATGTCCTGGATCCATCCCCAGAGAAGCAGCAGCTCTACTCCGAGCACCTCCGTATTGACAGAGCTCCTCACTCCTCACTCTGTAGAGAAACTCCTGCGGACCTCTTGTATCAACGATCTCGTCCTTTCGGTCATTACCCAAAGCTCATGACCAGAGGGTGGGGATGTAGACTGAGGTACATCCAGAGCTTTGCCTTTCCACTCAGCTCCCTCTTCCTCATCACAGTCTGATACAGCACTGACTGCAGACGCTGCTCCCTCTTTGCAACACCAGTCTCTTAAATCTCACGCGCCAACCTTCCCTCACACATGAACAAGACCTGGGATACTTGAACTCCTCCTCTGCACCTGGACAAGGCACTGGACCTTTATCTTTTTCTGGTCCAGCTTCATGGCCTCGGATTGGGAGATGCAGATCCTCATCCACTTCACCCTCGGCTGCACACAGCCCCAGCGCACGTTCTCTTCCCTGCGTAGACTCAGGGCTTCTATGGGCCTCTTTTGAATTCAGCGTGTTTGTTTCCCAAAGGTGGGCGGGTCCTACTCGTACGACTGCAGCTTCGGCTTCATCCCCAACGTGGAACTGATGAGGTTCATGTCCTTGGCCACGTTTGGCTCGTACCTGCCCAGCTGTCCCGAGTTATCCCCGGGCAGCGAGGACATGAACGTCTACCACCAGGCGTTCCTCACCTACTCCTTCCTCAAGAACCCGGAGCCTTCCAACAGCGAGAGTTTAAGTGGTGCGGATGGGAGATACGAATATGGCATGACACCCAACACTTCTCAAACATTTCACCCCTTGTTTGTATTCCCTGAGTAGTGCCTCATCACAAGCTGTTCAACGAGCACCTGGTGTCTGCCAGTGGGAACCCGGCGCTGGTGATGAGGAGGAAGAAGCACACAGAGAAGGAGCTGCTGGCTCACCTGGTCAGTGTGGTGTCGGTGCGCCTACGCGAGGGCTACACCATTCGAGACGTTGGCCTGTCCAAAGGTACATTTACCCTCTGCATGTGAGAGATTGATGTTTGAGTCATTGGTTCAATCCTTTACAGAAAAAAAAAAAAAGGTCGTATTGAAAAATATTAGGGCCTGGTTAATGTGATTTATGAAAGTGATAAGGATGTTGTGGGACTCTCTACTCTTACTCAAAAAGGTTTTTACTGTTGTTATGAAACGGCATTTCAGTGGGTTCCATTTTTCGGTTCTTTTGTTTTTATTAAGGCTGTCATTTTAACTGGATAATCACGTTACTTTTTTCAAGGCTGCTCGTAACGTAGTCATATACACTGCATTTCCAATAGAAACAACAATAAAAGGTCAATTCGACTGTAAATTGGTTAAAGGCTGTTAAACTGCAAACGGCCTCAATGACGGTGATGGGAGAAAACATTCTATTTTCTTTGGGCCTACAGGCTGATTAAAACATGATCATGTTACGAGTTGAGTCGCCTTTGAGAGAGTTTGTTTGTGTGACTGGACTTCTCCTGCTGCAGGTGGGAACCAGCTGGAGGTGAAGCTGGTGCTGCTCTGGAAACACAACATGCATATCGAGTACGTGGCCTCTGCTCCCTGGCCTCTAGACGCCGCCCGGAGGAGCACCCGTGTGGAGGTGACCATGGAGGGCAGCTATGACATCCTCCACGATATCAGCTGTACCCAGAGGAAGCCCATCACCAGCCCCTACCGCACCTGTGTGATCCGCCGCTTCTGGAACACGCTGCAGAGGTATGATCGGCCTATCACAGAGATCAGCTCTTTTTTCCTCTGTTCACACATTCTATCCTCTTCTTTTCAAAGTATAAACCAAACGGACCAGATGTTGGTGCATCTCCAGTCCTTTAACTCCAGCCCAGAGAACTACACTATTCCGGAGAGCACCAAAAATGGGGTCCCTTTGTTCTACATTCCTCCTGGTTCTACCACCCCCGTAAGGATTCTGCCTGAAGTTGTGTGATGTTGAAAATGTTTTCTTTTTGAAGATGCTCTTTGTTCATTCATGTAGAAGATCTCCAATACTAAAGTTCTTACAACAGTGTTCCTCTTTCGAGTGTGTGCTGTGCCCCAGAGTGACGGTGATGCTTTGCTCCCCAGGTCCTGTCCCAGCAGCACAGCGGCTCCAAAGACTCCTCTCAGTCCCAGTTTGCAGCCTACTGGAAGCCCATCTTGTCCATGGACGCTAACTTCTGGCAGCGGTGGTTGCATATGCATCGCATCGCCATCATCCTGGAGCATGACATGTACGCGACTTTTTACTCTCTTCATTTAGTAAACGCTGAAGAGACGTGTCCAGCCATTACTGGTGCAAAGACCCGTCACCTTTAACTTTCATTCAGAACCTAATTCATGTTTTGATATATTCTCAAGCTGTGCTCACCTCACAACTACAGAAGGACAAAATCTCTAATAATGTTCTCCATTTGGGATTTACTAAAAATATGCATGGTTCAAGACTTTGACCAAAACATGTTGGATAGTTACATAGCCCCCAACATTATTGCAAAAGAAAACTGTTTTGATCCTCAAATTATACTCTAATTTGGTTCCCACAAAATATCCAGGACTAAGAAAGCCTCTGCCTCCACTGTAACCACCTCCACAGGGTTAGGGTGAAATGTGTGTCTGTGATGAGGTGTGAACTCTGTGGGAGCTGTTTGGATTATTATTGATGTTTGTGTGGACGGACACCTCCATTCGTCCCACTGGATCCATAAAATATCCATCTATCCAAACTATCTAAACTATCTAATCTATCATGCAGATAACTCAGGTGGTTCAGAGTGTGGGTCTGAGTGAGAGGTCGTGATATGAATTATTGTTAATGATTTATGACACAAGTTGATCCTCAGTAATGACGATCATCATGAGTTTCACAGTGAACAGGAACTCTTCATGATGAGTCCCATTTTTTAAACCCTGGATTCTGCTCAAGACGTTGATTAAAAAAAGAGTGGTATCGTGCTCCATCACCACTGTCTTGATGGTTTTCGCTGGTGTGTTTCAGGCCAGCCCCAAAGCACCTACACACCGCTGGGAGCAACGGTCGCTACAGCACCATCCAGTGTCGCATCTCGCACTCGGCCCTGACGTCTCTGCTTCGAGACTGCAGCAGCTTCGTGCTGGTGGAGGGATACTCCTACGTCAAGCTCATCTACAGGTCTGGACACACGAAGAGACATCAAGACGACTATGGAAGTTTATAGACGTTGGAATTCAATCTGAAAATGCAATTTGCAAACTTCAGTTCAGTTTATTTGCGCTCAGAGCAAATACATAAAGTTGATGCAACCAAAAAGTCATCAATGTTTGTTTATCCATCATCAATTTCTTTCTGCTATATCCGTTTCTACGTCACAGAGGCGTCAGTCTGACAATTATTATGGCAAGGCAAGTTTATTTGTATTGCACAATTCATACACAGGGCAACTCAAAGGGCTGAACAAATCAAGATAGAATAAAATCATAAATAATCACAGTACATTAAAAAGAAAGACAAAAATATAAAATCCCTCAGTCGTTGCAGCTAAACAGAACTGAATTTAAACATTGTCAGAGAAGATTGTTCCAGATGTTAGCCACGTGAATCTGAAAAGCAGCCTCCCCATGTTTAGTCCTGACTCTGGGCACTAGCAGGAGTGCAGTCCCTGTGCTCCTCAGAGTCTTGTCCGGTTCATATGGCGCTAACTCATACTGTATATAACACATTTCTCTTCCCACAGTTCCTCCGAGCAGCCCCCGTCCTCCTTCTACTTGGTGCGCCTCATCTCCAAAGCCCCCTGCATGGTGCTGCGGCTGGGCTTCCCAATTGGAACTCCTGCTCACATAAGGAACAAGGTCAGAGAGGCGTTTGGAGAGGACAATGTGGGTTAGGATGACATTAGAGAGATTTGTAACACAGCCATTCGTTTACATGAAGTTTAACTTATATACAGTTACTCTAACTGTTCAACTGAGATCACGGGTGTTAAAATGTATGAGGTCTGTTTAGTGCAGTTTAGTTTAGTGCATGGATCTATTATAACATCTGGATCATGTGTTGCTTGATCTTTTTGTAGCCGTAGAGAGGACTTTATAGTGACAGTAGCTCAGTTGTAGCCTGGTCTTACCACACCATCAAATATCATTTCATACATGAACGAAAATGATTATTATTACTTCGTGATTTATGGAGATATTGCAATATTCTTAAATATGCACATTCATAAATCTTAACCAATGAGACTGTTCTCATTTTTGCTCAGATTGTGGATAAACTGAAAGAGCAGATCCTCAAACTGCGGTTCCCACATCGAGTTCAGAACAAAGAAGCCACGCCAAAGACCAAGAGGAAAGCCGTTATCCAGCAGTCTCCCTCCAAGCCCCCGCCCAGTGCACCCCCCCAGGCCTGCCTCTCCGACAGACCCTGTGTGGTGGTCCTCAACAAGCCCCTGGAGAAGATGCTCATCAGGTTTGGCTTTCAAGGCTCCGAGGCCAAGAATGAAAATATGTTGTTTTAAAATCTGATTATAACTAAATGTATAGAATCTTTTGTTTTTTAAATTCAAGTTTTTTTTAATGAAACAAATGGTGTAAACAGCTTGTCTGAACAGAAGAGTTTTGAATCTGGTTTTAAAGGTAGTCTTCATCTTTCTGTAGTCAGATTTTGTTCTTTACAGCCGCATGCTTACAGTGACATACACTTAACACACACTTGCATTAAGACAAGCCATTCCCAAAAAAACGTAACCCTAACCCTTCTACTTGGTTCTCAAAGGGCCGGAGTGGCTGCAGGTGTTCATTCCAACCAAGCAGGAGCACTCCAAGTTAGTCCAGTCTTAACGTGAAGACTTGAGGAAATGGGTGGAGCCTGGTGTGCTCCTGCTTGGTTGGAATGAAAACCCGCAAGCCAAAGTGTTAACACAAACTAACCTATGCATTAGGCAAAGCAAATATAATCACAGGGCTTTCAAAAGAGTGAACACACAATCCTTCATCTGTCGCAGCTAAACAGGACTTTTTTGAACCTGTCTCATATTTTCAAGAAGACTGTTCCAGATTTAAGCTCCATAAATCTGAAACGTTTAGTCTTGACTCTGGGCAGGAAGCCAGTCCCTGTGCTCCTCAGAGTACCAGCTACAGGCCAGTCCCTCTGCTCCTCAGAGTACCAGCTACAGGCCAGTCCCTCTGCTCCTCAGAGTACCAGCTATAGGCCAGTCCCTCTGCTCCTCAGAGTACCAGCTACAGGCCAGTCCCTCTGCTCCTCAGAGTACCAGCTATAGGCCAGTCCCTCTGCTCCTCAGAGTACCAGCTATAGGCCAGTCCCTGTGCTCCTCAGAGTACCAGCTATAGGCCAGTCCCTGTGCTCCTCAGAGTACCAGCTATAGGCCAGTCCCTGTGCTCCTCAGAGTACCAGCTATAGGCCAGTCCCTGTGCTCCTCAGAGTGCCAGCTATAGGCCAGTCCCTGTGCTCCTCAGAGTACCAGCTATAGGCCAGTCCCTGTGCTTCTCAGAGTACCAGCTATAGGCCAGTCCCTGTGCTCCTCATGGTCACAGCTGGAGGCCATTCAATGTAATTGTCTGTTTTACTGTAATGTCAGTGAAATTTGACTGCAGCAATGTTCAGAACTCATCTGGGCCAAAACGTGGGTTAGAAAAGTAAAACAAAAAATCACAGATCAAAGAAATAAATTTAATTCGTCCTAGTCGGGGGGTAATTGCAATTAACGGGCGGCACGGTGGCTGAGTGGATAGCACTCTGGCCTCTCAGCAAGAAGGTCCTGGGTTTGAATCCCGGTCGGACCAGGGCCTTTCTGAGTGGAGTTTGCATGTTCTCCCCGTGTCTGCGTAGGTTTCCTCCGGGTACTCCGGTTTCCCCTACCACTAAAAATATGTCCATTAGTTCTAGCATGCGCCTCCTGTACTGGCGACCCCGCTCCCATCTCTGTGTGGAGTGAGAGACAAATGCCCAAAATTAACAATTGTAAACCGCTTTGAGACTCAGATCTGCAGTGAAAAGGCGGTATATAAATAAAAACTTACTTACTTACTTACTAACAGTGATAGCACACATGTTATGGTGGTTACAAATAGATACTTTACTGTTCTCTTCTGTATTATCCATTTTAATGAATGATCCCAAGGTCATTTTGTCTGAATTGTCCGGTCTTTTGGCGCAGGTACGAGAAGCTGCCGTTGGACTTCAGGACCCCGTACATCTTCAACATGGAGAACGGCCCTCACCCCTGTGCTGGAGCGGCTCCTCTGAGCGTGGCAGCCAATCGCACGGCCTCCTCCACCCTGGCCTCCCTCACGCGCTACCTCCTGCACCGGCGCTGGGTGTGGGCGGTGCAGGGAGCCCAGGGGCCCAGCGTGCCCCTCCAGGCCGTGGCCCACATTCTCTCCTTGTTGTCTGAGTACGTTCATCAATCACACAAGCGGAGAGTCTCGAGTCACGCCTCCTCACCTTCAGGGTTCTGGCGTTTAGTGAACTTTTCCATAAGGAACGGGAATATTAACATCGAGGGCATTTACTGGTACATGCTACGTCCAAATCGAGTGAACCATGTGGGAATAAGATCAGATACACATTATTGATCTCACAATGGAGAAATTTACAACCTTTGATAGAGGTTTTTGTCCCTCACATTTGGTATTTGCTCAAAAAGTTTCAGGACCTTGCTTAATCACATATGAGATGTTTATTTGTGAATTTGCTAAAAATCTAACCAGTTGGCGTATATACTACCATTACTTTTACAACTTATTCAGACAATATCACATTTGAGATTGAGGAGGAAGTGAAAGTAAAAACATCTTTGTGTTTAGAATCCGTGTTTCGGAGGGTTTCCACTTTGCCGCCAGTGGAGAAGGCATCATAAACCTGGTCATTGAGCTGCCCATGGTAACTCCCCCTAAAGTTCTGTGTGTGTTTGTGCATGTGTGTGTGTGTGTGCGTGTGAGTCTGTCTGTCTATGTCTGTGTCTATCTGTGTGTGTAACGGCTGTGTGTTTTCAGAGATTGTCCTCAGACACAGACACAGACACAGAGAACCCCTCATGCATCGTCCAGTACATCATGTTCCCCCCACACTCCACCTCTGCCAAAGACAGGTACAATAGCCCTCATTTCAGGTAGTTTGGACATCTCTAAATAAATAAACTAAACTAAATATGAAGCTGATTCTGAGCCTGTGTTTGTTCTCGGTGCTTCTGTCCTGCAGCTTCTCCACAGATGACGATATTGACACAGAGCTGGAGACTGTGGATGTGGATTCAGACTTGAGCCTGGTGACGGAGTGCTGGGTGGAGCCTCAGAGTGGCTCGGTGCTGCCCCCTTCAGAGCAGCTGCGTCACCTGCAGGGCCTACAGTACCACCAGATCCCACAAGCAGTGAGTACTGTCATTACACACATGTGTGTGCACACACGCATGTACATTACTACAGTAGTACATGGATACGTGCATGGGCAGGCTCTTAGAATATTAACTTAACTTCCCATTGAAATTTACCGGAAACTCTCTTTTCCACCCATTTGCAACCCAAATATTAACAAATTTCTTTACTGGAGAGCAGTGTATACTCTATCACAAAAGCAGTCATCTTAGAGGATCTTTTGTTGGATTCCTCAACAACAGAGAATAAAACTGTTCAAACACAGGAAATGCAATAGTAACAAAAACTTTGGAGCCATTGGTCCATAGGGAGCGGGATGTCCATAAATGTTAATAAATGTCCTGGATCACTATCATTAGACCTTCCTGTATCGGCAAGTAGCCTCTCAAAACTGGTTCAGGGGTCTCATCATCATTTCTTGAAACAGATGAAACGGACAATGAGTCAATGGGTGCTTTGCAATGAACAGACTACAGCTGAAGTCATAAATTGACAGTAAACTTCTCCAGCAGGGGGCTTCATATGCACCATCTCTTATTTTTTTACTTAAAGTTGTATTTCTAAGTCTTTCCCACAGAGCCATATGATGAATTAAAGAGCAGTGTTTTAAGCCTGGCCTTGAATGTTTTTATGGAGATGGCCAGTGGATCAATCACCCTCACCTTGGTTCTTTGATGCCTCAGATCTTCCCTGGAGACATGGCCTGCATGTCCACCATGATGACCTTCGAGCACTTGAACCAACTGTGCCACAACAAGGAGCAGGAGTGTTCTCTGCCGCCCACAGACCAGCAGCCCCCTGGTAAGACACCACCTCCTCCGTGTTTAAAGCCTGAGCAAAGTATTTTTGTATCGTAATCACTGTGTTTGCAGAAGAACGTGTGAGCTCCGAGACTGACAGCATCCACATGGTCCCGTTTCACTTTGATCTGATGCAGCTGCTGCCGCGGTGCCAGCAGGTGGAGCTGTTCTTCCACACCTTCAGCACAGGTATGGATTTTCATTTTGGTCAATAATCAAATAATTTAGAGCTGAGTCTTCATCATTAGATCAACAGTCAAGATTCAGTTCATTTTCCATTTGCAGTAAAACCACATTGGAATAGCTGTGCAAGAGTACCCTGCACCTGACAGAGCAGATAGTGCTCTGTCTGGGTTATGAAGATAAGATGTTATCAACATCCACTCTGTATTTCTAGACCAAACACTGCTGTGTTTGGTCCTTTTGTTGTGTTGTGAGGTGTCTCTGTGTTCAGTCCCGCAGAGCTCGGACCCTCAGGCCTGCGTTCCCAACGAGCTGCTGCTCAGCCTGTTCCACTGCAGCCTGAGCCAGGAGCTGAGTAACAGAGAAGTCCCTCTGACCGACGCCGACCACAGAGCCCTCATCCAACACATCCTCCAGAGGGAACGCCACGGACACGCTGCGCCCTTCTCTCTACTGCCCATTAGAGGTCAGCACTGAGCCACACTCTTCCGCTCTTCTACATCCACTTGTCTCAAAAACCATAGATCTTCATCTGACGTTCAATTCATGCCATCATACTGCAAAAAATAATCATGTTTTGGTCACTGAAATAAATACATATATATATATATATTTATTTATTTTTTCTCTCCTCATATTAGTTGTGAATGAGATCTTTATTAACATGATTCATTACAGCATATTTCAATTACAGTTGTAATAGTTATGTACCTTGTGTTAGATTGTTTGATCATGGCCCCAGTATGAATGAGGCTGAGGATCTGCACTTCTGGGAAATCGTCTGGTTTTGAGGATTAAATGAATATAATGTTAGCGTTTGCATTATTATTATTATTATTATTATTATTATTATTACGCTTCTGCTCTTTTGCAAATGGTTTATTTCGGTTTATTCTGTGGCCTGTTTTAATATTATTATTATTTTTTATATTTTGTTGTGTTTATAGATTGTTTGAAATAAAAACCCCTTACTTACTCCTTGTTTAGAGGAATGTGTCCAAGCCTGGGACAAACAGGACCCCGGGAACTCCCACACAAGCGAGGGCATGAAGGAGGTGATGGGCTCCACCAGCACTCTGCAGGTAACACGTTAGGAACACACACTTCTGTTCCTTCATTTTATATTTACACTTTTTAATTATTTTTTGTTAACAATTTTGTTATAATGTGTGTTCATCCAGTGTGAATAGTAGACACAAGAACCGTTTAAGAGAAAGTGGATATGGAGTAAAAACAGATATCTCCGTTTTGAAAATGTGTCAAAAAGTTGTATTTCTTTAGTTTTAATAATCCACATGTTTCTTATTGACACATTTGAAATGATTTGCTCAACAAGGGGTAAAACATTATTTGTATAGCACTCAAATACACTTGGCTTTTCAAAAAACTACTTGGTAAAGGGCAAATTGTAAGTCTTTTTTTCTAATGACACTTATCTGTTTCTGTAAATGATCTATATGTAGATATGTATGTATAGATATATATGTAAAATCAATGCAAAAACACAAGAAAAACATACACATACATGTTAAAAGTAAAATGGTAAAAATCAATTAGTGTTAAAAAAACATGTCAACAGTATTTGCAAAAACATTTGTCTGTAACTTTTGGTCTTTCACATAATATCAACTGATGTCTGTGGTTGTAATGAGAAGAAATGTGGATAATTTAAAGGGGTATGAACGCTTTTCCCTCTTGTTTTGAATGATATGCTCCTTACAATGATTCTGTCTTGTCTCCATACAGTTATTTATGTACTTGTCTTGTGAACACTCGGGACTTCTGCGGATGTATTCCAATGGGGTTTTACTGCAAATGGCAAATGAATGAATCTGAATCTGTCTCCTGCTGTGTTTGTCCAGAGTCTGAGCATCACGGAGATGGTGGAGGAGGAGCCTCTGGTGCCGCCGCCGCACTCGCCTCAGTGGAGGTGCTACGCCAAGTCCGTCTCCTCCCAGCACATCCTCATCACTCTGATTCCTGCCAGCTTTACGGGTACTCTGCACCTACAATTCTTTTTCAATGTATATGTCTTATCGGCCTGTATCGCAACAGCAGTCGTCTTGCCTCGCAGTGAGAAGGTGCTGGGTTCCATTACGGGACTTTTCTTCAGGGAGTTTGCATGTTCTCCTTCAGCCCCAAATTGCAGCAAAATAATGCAAAGGAGGCAAACGTAGAGTGATTTGTGACGTCAGCTGGTACTGTATGTGTGACGTGTGTCTCTCTGCGCCAGTGGTATAAACCCATACAACTCTCACACACGCCCCCAGTAGCGATGTGGAGTATTCTGGCAACATCTAGTAGATTAAAATTAAATTACATCCGTTGACAGCCAGTACTGCTGAGATAATTCTGTGTCTTAGGTTCAGGTGTGTAGCTCTACAATTATCTTAGCGTGTAAACAAGGGAATGAGACTTTCTGGTGTGTAAACTATTGCTTTAAGCAGCAATGACAACTGTTTTTTTGTGTGTGACAAGCAAGCTGTCAATCACAGCCCAGACCACGCCCACCTCTAAGCCCCCCTTTATGTCTCTTGGTCCTCCAGGCAACACCCTTTTTAGAGAAACTTTTTAAATGTTCATGTGGGCGGAGTAAGGCTGGGCACAGGTGTTTAGTCGCTTTAGTTTTAACTTGAGCTCTGAAAAATGAGATATCTTTGAGTATCCTTGTATTTTGGCTACTCCTGTTTAAAGCTAAAGGCTGGTGTTTGCAGACGTGCTGATGCTGATGGCCTCTGGGCTGCAGAGCGACAGTAGTAACGAGAGCTCCCAGGAAGATGACACCCTGACCACCAGTGTTCACTCCCAAGCGGTCTCTCTGGACACCGGCCTGGAGCAGACTGAGAGTGGGCCCCAAGCAGGCAGTCTGGACCCGCCTGAGACCCAAAGTAGTGTGCAGTCCAGTGTGGATGGGGTTAGCAATGCTCGCTCCCCTCCAGAGCCCTGTGACCCGACGGGGTGTGAGAAGAACCCCATATCAGGTCAGTACCTCTGGTGCCTTGCATGGTCTTCGGTTTACTCTTTTTCTCTTTTTTTTCTGTTTTAATAGCGTCCTACACCCGTGAGGAACTTCTGAACATTAGACTAGGCCTTACTCTATTCTCCTTCCTGTGACTTCCTGTTACTTACATGGCAATAAAAAGTAGGACAGATCTGCTGAATTGCTCACAACACACGCCTGAACTGTGTGTTGCAGATGTGGACAGAGGAGGGGTGCAGTTCTCAAACAGTCCCCCCCCAGAGCCCCCCCCAGAGCCCCCCCCAGAGCCCCTCCCAGAGCCTCTCCCAGAGCCCCTCCCAGAGCCCCTCCCAGAGCCTCTCCCAGAGCCCCTCCCAGCTCAGGTGTCCTGTGTACGTGTACAGCTGTTCTCTGGAGCAGCTTCGGGAGCAACTGGTGCAGCCCACGTCCGGACAGCGACCCAGAGACGTTTTCCTCAGGTACGTTGGCAGTATGACTCTGAAAACACTGACACCACACTGACTCCACACTGACTCCACACTGACTCCACACTGACACCACACTGACACCACACTGACACCACACTGACTCCACACTGACTCCACACTGAGACCACACTGAGACCACACTGAGACCACACTGAGACCACACTGAGACCACACTGAGACCACACTGAGACCACACTGAGACCACACTGAGACCACACTGACTCCACACTGACTCCACACTGAGTCCACACTGAGACCACACTGACACCACACTGACACCACACTGACTCCACACTGATACCACACTGAGACCACACTGAGACCACACTGAGACCACACTGACACCACACTGACACCACACTGACTCCACACTGACACCATACTCACACAACGTAACAACAGGATCTACTTCTGACACTGTTGACGAAGCTTCTTTACTTTACTAAAAGGCGCGTTCAGACCAAAAGCTTCAAAAAGCGTTTGACGCGCTTCAACTGACGCCGGGATAGTTTTGTCATTTTGGTGCTTGAAGCTTTTGACGCGAGTGACGCGCCTGACGCCGGTGGGAGGAGCTTCTCTGTTGTCTGTAGTCAGGACAGCGGTGGATTTTTCAATGAGCAGCGAGCCTTTATTTGTTATATAAAGCAAAATAACGTTGTTGTAGGGCTTCAACAAAACATGTTCTGGGTTCACCACAGACTTGAGAGGCTGCAGTGTTTGCAGAGTTCCGTCATTTACTCCAGGAGCTGCGTACGGAGGAGTCTCGCTTTCAGCGGTACTTCCGCATGTCACTCGCCCGGTTTGAGTTCTCAAACCCCGGAGCTCGCCTCTCCCCGCCTCGCTCTCGCCTCTCCCTGCCTCTCCCCGGCTCTCGCTCGCCTCTCCCTGCCTCTCCCCGGCTCTAGCTCGCCTCTCCCCGCCTCTCCCCGCCTCTCCCCGCCTCTCCCTGCCTCTCCCCGCCTCTCCCTGCCTCTCCCCGCCTCTCCCTGCCTCTCCCTGCCTCTCCCCGGCTCTCGCTCGCCTCTCCCTGCCTCTCCCCGCCTCTCCCTGCCTCTCCCTGCCTCTCCCTGCCTCTCGCTCGCCCGGAGCTGCCTTGCTCTGAGCCAGACTCATCGTCAGCCTGTTCTTATTTTAAATAAACTACGTTTACTACACAGCATGTGTACAATGATTTTGTTACTCAGAATGTTACTACTCATACAAATAATATTACTAATAACAATAATGACAATAAAACAGCAGCAGCAGATACATGACTTCTCTTCATGACAGAGACAGACCCTCTGCTGCTGCTGCTCCTCGTCTCCTGATTGGTTGAAGCCCGCGTCAAAGCTTCAAAAGCTCAGCTTTGCTCAGCTTCGGCGTCAAAGGGATTGTTGTGATACGCGAGCGTTTCGCGCGTCAAAAGCTTCAAGTGAGCGCGTAGTACGCGCGACTCTTGAAGCTTTTGACGCGCGTCAAGTGACGCCGGGGCTCTCGGCTTCACCTGACGCGCTTCACCATTCACTTTCAATGGAAACCTGACGCTTTTGACGCCGAAGTTAAGTCCGGTGTGAACGCCCCTTTTGGGTGAATAAACAAAAACAAACGAACAATCCTCGTCTTTTTGGTTACATTATCATCCATCCATTTTCTTCAGTTTTATCTGTTCGCGAGTCACGGGGGCAGCAGTCTAAACAGAGACGCCAAGACTCCCTCTCCACACACACTTCCACCAGCTCATCCAGGGGAATCTTGAGGCGTTCCCAGGCCAGGGCTTACCGCCTGTCCTGGGTTAGGGCATCCACACGTCCCACTGGGACATCCTCCCAGTGGGACGTGCCCAGAACACCTCCATCCATGATCCATCCATCCATGATCTTGTCCGTTCAGTCATTACCCAAAGCTGACCAGAGGTGAGGAAGGGACGTAGAACCCTAACTGCGGACGCTGCTCTCTGTTTACCACAACAGTCTTATACAGTGTCCTTTGAACCCGGCCCCCTCCATCTACACCTGCAAACTGCCCTGCCCGACCCGCCCGGGAGTTGTCCACTTTCTGCGGCGGCTGCGTGGCCTCAGTCCTCGTTCTACAGTCTGAGTCCTGGATCTACAGCCCGTCCGTCCGTGTGGAGCGGATCCCTCTCTCAATGTGGATCTCCCTGAGGTTTCTCACTTTTCTCCAACTGGGTTTTAGAGTTTTTCCTCTGATGCAGAAGTCTGTTTGACAGTTAGTGTCTACAATAAGGACTGTGGTGATCCAGGACAATCTCAAATTCCACATGTGTGACATTTATCAACATTCATGGACACTGGTCTCTCCCTATGGACCAATACAAACGTGTTCTATATTTTGTGTCTTAACTGTTGATTCTCTGATCTGTGTTGGTGATTTCAATGTTTTTGTTAAGTCCTCTGAGATGACTGCTGCTGTGATTTCGGGCTATACAAGAATAAATTGTATTTTTTTGTATAATATTATAATTATACTGTAAATGTATTGTATCGCTGCTCCGATCTGTGGGTCAATCTTACGCTCCATTCTTCCCTCACTCTTGAACAAGTCACATTAAAATTCTATCATTTCACAAACATTATCAAACAACAGGATATAATAGTCTATGTTCATGACAAATGGCATGACGACTAAAGTGTGTGTGTGTGTGTGTGATTTACTCTGAAGGTCCACATGGTGACAGCTCTTACTCTCTGTGCAGGAGTGTGTCCCAGGATCGCAGCAGCCCGTCCCCCTGGACAGAGCGCCTGTCCCACAAGTACAAGGACCTGGCCCAGTACTGCAGCCTTCTTCAGGAACACTACCACCAGAGCTACGTCAAAGGTCCACACCTCAGGCATTAGCTCACAGTGACCACCGTCAGGTGAACCAGTTCATCTACGAGAGCAGGATTTGTTAGTCTGTGGGGGTTTAGAGAGTCAGGAAATCGAGAGTAGAGTCGTCGTCCCAATAGTCATAGATCTAACTGAGCACTAGCACACTGCTCAAACTTACTTGAACGTCGTTTGCGTGTTGTCTCAGGAGTGTTCCGCAGTCTGCAGCAGTCCTACAGCATCAGCTCTCAGGATGTCCTACTGGCCATGGACTACTGCGAGGAGTCTCTCCAGGAGATGGACATCAGCGCCTTCTTGCACACACTCTGCGGACACGTGCGGCACTTCAGAGAGCAGCCGTCTCCCAGGGCAACGTTCTCTGTGGGGAAGATCGAGGATGAGGACGAGGCCAGGTACGACCAGTGCGCAGCTGTTGGCTAGGACCACACGTACACAGACACAGACACTCTTAAAGCTGGAACTCACTTTATTTTTGTATTCATTTGGAAAATTCAATCCATATCCATGCAGCGCATTGGGATATACGTCCTTTTGAAGAATAAGTAGTACTGGTTTTTACTGGAGTGTCATTTTTTTTAGATAAAATGTTCGTGCAACAAGGAAGAAAATTTATTTCGGAACCAGGTTGTGACCAATCACAGCGGACCACTGGCCCCCACTTTCTTGAGAAAATCTACAGGTCTCTCGTTAGCACAGACAGCTGAGGTAAACAAACGGCGGCGGCTAACCTGAAACTTCCCGTGTCTTTGTAATCTTTAATCTTTATTTATATATACCGCCTTTTCACTGCAGATCTGAGTCTCAAAGCGGTTTACAATTGTTAAGAGATGGGAGTGGGGTCGCCAGAACAGGAGGCGCATGCCAGAACTATTGGACATATTTTTAGTGGTAGGGGAAACCGGAGTACCCGGAGGAAACCTACGCAGACACGGGGAGAACATCAAACTCCACTCAGAAAGGCCCTGAACCGACCGGGATTCAAACCCAGGACCTTCTTGCTGAGAGGCGAGAGTGCTATCCACTCAGCCACCGTGCCTCTTTGTTACCGGTTACTGCTTACTCAGCGAAGCAGACAAAAGTAAGTCTCGTTGTCCGCGCTTCCCGGTTCTATCATTCTATGGTCACGCCATCCACGTTCAAATGTACGATCCATATTGTGAGACGTGACTTCCGTTAACAGCACATGAGCACACGCTGAGTGGGAAGGGGGTAGTGGGGGGCGCTAGCTTCCTAAGTGCGGGGAGGGGGCGCAGAAAGAGCCAGGGCAGCGCTTACATTTAAAAATGCTGCTTAAAAGTCAAAAAGTGAGTTAGTCCAGCTTTATTGCACCCCAATCACACCAGAAATGTTCCTATTCATGTTATTACATACATGTGAAAACTACTCTCGAGTGTTTGAGAACCTGCAATTACAAAAGTTACTTTTTTCTGGTTCAAAGTCAGGCATCCCAGCTGCAAAACATGTGGAACAAGTAGAAGTGGGGAAAATTTCGGATTCTCAGACAAATCCCGATTTGGCTGTGGAAGAATCGAGAATGATTCACAACCATCCAAATTGAGTTTTTAAAAATGCAGTCTGGCGCATCAAGCAGGTTTTTAATGTGTGTTCACAGAAGATGTGGACGTGGGAGTGTGTGGTTTAGGAATCATAAACAGTTGTGGATGTACGTACGGGGCATTATAACAGTTTTGAATCAACATGAATGTGTGATGCAGCTCATATCAAGACTAAACAAAAGAGAGCAGGATCAAGTAGCGTTCTTACTGATTTGTTTCCATGTTTGTGCAGTGTGTGGATGAACGCCTCCAGTGAAAGTGACCGATTATCTCCACGGACTCAGAGTGAAGCCAAGACGGATGCGCTCCCAGAGTTCCCTCTGTCGCTGCTGCAGAGCCAGAGCAAGTGTGAGGTGTACCCCGACCTGCAGCAGATCATGCAGGTCTCTCCTCATTTATTTCCTGTATTATCTATATGTATTCATATATATAGTATTTATATAAGTAGCTCAGTTGGTAGAGTGTGTATCTCTGAGCTGGGGTTAACTGTTCGAATACTGCTTTTGATATAAACATCATTAGTTGAGTGGTCAGATCGACTGACCCGAGGGTTGGCAGGTGTGAAACTTTTGTTCCAAAAGTCTACGTACCCTGCTGTATGAATGAGTAGGTGGGTAGTTAAATTATTTTATATAAGTTTTACTGATCTCTTTTTGTCTGCATAGTTTTTAAACCATATTGTGTAAAGACTAGGGCTGTCAAACAAGTAGTTTTTTTAGTTGATTAATCGCACAGTATCGGTGAGTTAACTCACGATTAATCGCATTTTTAACATTCTATTTCAAATCCACTCCAAATGAAGTTAAATGAGTTTTTCAAATGTAATGACACATTGTTATTCATACCAAATGTACTTCAATCTGTTTGACTTGCTCACAACCTTCTACTTTTGGGTACAACCAACAAGAGCTGTTAATGAAATGGAAAATGTAGGTACCCCAGCTTTAATTTTGCGAGTTTGGTTGCATTTCAGCGTGTCTCCTCCTCCGTGTGTCACACAACATCAGAGAATGGCCCCTGTGCGTGTATATATGTGTGTATTATATGACCACGTTACCGCTGTCACCATCACACACACGCACGTGTCCGCGGCATTCTGAGTGATATTATTATAAATGGGCGGGTCATTCGGACATGCGTTAATTATTTTTTAACGCGTTAATGAAAACGGTAATTAACGTGAATTAACGCGATAATTTTGACAGCCCTAATAAAGACAGAACAGGCTTTGTCCGAAGCTTCACATCCAAAATCAGGCCGATGGCGGATCAGTCTCTGCATGCAGCTGCTCCGTGTGGAAGAGACGTGGATTTGACAAAATAAGTTGGGTACATAAAACAAAATTAAAAAAATTATGGAAAGCCATTAAACTCAAATAGTTTGAGTCTGACGAGCCAGACTCATGTGGTTTAAGCCCTTTCCAGGCGTATAAAGTATTTTGTTTAATTCAGCGCTCTTCCACACGGAGCCTATTTTCTAAACTTGGTCACAGAGTGGTTAAGGTTAAGTTCAAATTCACAATTGTGAATATGGAAACTAATACGGCAACAGTGGCTCATTTGGTACAGCAATGGCCTTTGGGCCTGATGGTCGTGGGTTTGGATATACATTAGGATATATGGAAAATGGACTGAGCCACAATCATCAACAATATAACAAACTTAGGCTTGCGTCACGTTGTGTATAAAGAGTCATATATTGGTTTTACAGTTTCAGTTGGAATTACAGAAATTAAGGAACCTTTGAACAATATAGTATTTTTCTGACTTTCACTTGTATTAGGGCTGTCACAGTTGAGGACTTTCTTGTGCGGTCATTATATGACTCGCAACACTGCAGTATATGAAGTATTAAACAGCTCATCAATTGAGTCATATGGCTACATTTAATACTTAAATACACCTAAATAACAGGATGATTTCTTCACCTTCTGTTGTAAGGGTCCCAAGCCGATGTTTGCCTGTTTGATGAGGTTGTAAGCTCAGACTTTAAATTAGCGCGCTCCTGCCGCCATCGCGCTGCAGGCGCTGTGGAAATGTGCACATTTAAATGCAAAGATCTGGGGTGAAATCCTCCGGTTCTTCTTCACTAAGCGCACATGTTGGAGAGAGAGTAAAGTCTGCCGTCTGCTCGGAGTTGATTCTCTACCGGCCCTGCTAATGTTAATGCATAATGTCCATATTTAGGAACAGTGTGAACTACAGGCCTTTGCTTCATCTGAAAATGCGCCAGTGTATTCTGCAGTGATCTATGCACCAGCAAAGTAAATGAATGACTTCTCCACATTGACAAACCACAATGTGATAATGTTACTTGGCTGTGGTGATCATGGTTGGTGGCGCCCCCTTGTGGTATTGAAATGTTGCAGTTACCGTGACAGCCCTGACCTGTTTTTCTATCCCCATAAACTGTAAGTATCTGGGTTGTGTCTGTTACAGGAGCAGTTCAGTGAGATCATGTCCCAGTATTTCAAACCTGTTCCGTCCAGTCCACATTACTTTTTCTACTGTCCTCCTTCCAAAAAAGAGGTGAGTAGAGCCAGTGAATGCAGTATCTGACATTTGCACACAGACGTGGTAAACATTCTTCACCTCAGCAGGACTCCGAGGACGAGGAGACTGAGAGGAGGCCCATCGACGAGATTCTCTCCGAGGCAGAGCCGGCTACAGAAGATGGTAATTACTCTCATACCGTGCAACCCTCAGTGAAACCAGCCGCAACTAACATTAACTGCAAAACTGGAAGCTTTTGGCAACAAGGCACTTAGTCATACATCAATAACGTCTACGAGATGACCCAACGAAACAAAACAAACGCAGACGGTCCAATAAAAATATTATTGGAGGTAATTGCAAAAATGAAAATCATTTCAGGGCTGGGATGACACAAAAATAGGAACATAAGAACATTAAAAACATAAAAACATACAGGAGGCTATGGAAACCAGGAAGCAGGGCACATACCATCAACTGAGATGGTGTGTCTTCTGTCTGTAACTGATCCAAACCTGTCAATATTGGACTCTTTCTACTCAGACCACTTTGTGCATCATGGAAGGCCCATGAAACACAGAGTTAAAATCCAAAATAAGCGAAATCCTTTAGTAGTCCCACAGTGAGAACATTCCAGTGTTGCTTCCCTAGATAAACAGTCGGAATGAGGAGCACACAAGAGACAAGTAACAACACAATACAACAATAACTAAATAAGCGCTTTGGGGTCAAGACTCATCTGCCATCTGCCCCTCGTGACGACCGTGATGTGTTTCAGAGGCCGTGTGCGTCCTGACAGAGAGCGACTCGGACCTGCTGGTGGAGTACGAGGACCAGCCGGGGCCCCTTGCTCAGGCGGAGGTCAGTTCTGCGTCAGACTCCAACACCATGAACCAGGACGATGACTCCTTCAGCATCCTGGAGGTGGACGGCTCGGTGGACGGGCTGCAGCTGGACATGCCCCCTCTCTTTGTGCACATCACCTGCTCTGTGAACGCCAAGGGCAGCCATGGCTCTGTGCCGGTCCAGACCCTGCCCACGTGTCTGGGTGAGTGCGCAAAACTCAATTCAACCCTATATTCAATTTATTCTTGTACAGCCCTATATCACAATAGTAGTCATCTTGGAGGACCCTAGAAAACTGTTGAATTTGCCTACACCGATCAGAGAATCATTAGTTCATAAGGAGAGACCCATGCCCATAAATGTCAAGTGTCCTGGGTCAACACCACTGTCCTTAGACCCTCCTGCGTTGAAAAGGAAAAGCGTAAATGTAAAGAGTTAGATTATTGTGACTGATTCTGAGCGTTCTGCCTCCAGCTCAGATCCTCCCGTGTCTGGAGAACGTGGAGCTGCTGCACTCTGTGGATCTGAAGGAGCTCTCGGTCACACTTGATATTTACATCTTGACCCTTCCTCTGGAGTTTGAAGTTCTGGCTGACTTCCATCACAACAGGTTACTCAAGACACATTGGAGCACTAGTTTTTTATTTCTACAAAAGAATATCCAATATGTCTTAAATTCTGCAGCATTTCAAATCCAATGTCTTTGTTGTTTCCTTTATTCTCATCTTGATCTGTCTGTGATTATCATTGTAGCATTTCTCAAAGAAAAAACACAGATTTTGGCCAAAGTCATAGAAATTTAAATATTTAGAGTGTGTGTGTGTGTGTGTGTGTGTGTGTGTGTGTGTGTGTGTGTGTGCAGGTACACATCAGAGAGCAGTGTGTCTTTGAATCGCTCACCTGCACAACCGTCTTCGTTTCGCTCTGATGATGGACTGATGGTGGGACTGGAGTGTCTGCGGGCCGGAGCTATGGATGGGTATGTAGTGTGTGTGTGTGTGTGTGTGTGTGTTTGTGTACATGTGTCTGTCTCTGTGTGTGTGTGTGTGTGTGTGTTTGTGTACATGTGTCTGTGTATGTGTGTGTGTGTGTTTGTGTACATGTGTCTGTCTCTGTTTGTGTACATGTGTCTGTGTATGTGTGTGTGTGTGTGTGTGTGTGTGTGTGTTTGTGTACATGTGTCTGTGTATGTGTGTGTGTGTGTGTATGTGTGTCTTTGTGTGTGTGTGTATTCTAACATACCGTATGTAGTGACCCTCCTTAGTAGAATGTTGTGTGTGCTTTTCCAGCATCAGTGGGGACTCTCTTTCCAAACTGCCTGATCCTCACAGATCTGCAATCGTAGCCACTATGGATGAGGTACGTACTTCTGACTGTGCACAGGAGTGGCCTTTGTGTATCCAAGGGAGAGAGAATGCAGTTTATTAATTCAGAATAAATGTCAGATTACAACAGTAAGAAATGAGAACATTATTGATTCCACTCAGAAAGTCCTTGTTCCGGGATTCAAACTCAAGACCCTCTTGATGAGAAGCAAGAGTGCTAATCACTATAGAAACTTGGCATAGAATATATGCCACACTGTAAAAAAGAAAAAGTTAGTTCAACTCAAAATTTCAAAGCAACCAGCTGCGAAGGATTTTTGAGCTTAATTCTTCACGTTTTGAAGAACTACACTTATTAAGTTGTGTCAGCTAAGTTTTCCATGTTCTGCCAACTAAGTTTTTAAATTCAAGTTACTGGAAATTTCAAGTCTGTATAAACTTACTTTTTTAAGTTCAGATTACTGTCCCCTACAATAACGTACTATTTTGAGTTTGAATTAGCCCCACATTAAACCATCATGATGTTTATTTATATAGCGCATTTTTACAGACCAAGGTCACTTGGGCAGGGGAAACCGGAGCACCCGGAGGAAACCTATGCAGACACAGAGAACATGCAAATTCCACTCAATAGCCCTGTTCTGACCGGGATTCGAACCCAGTACCTTCGTGTCAAGAAGGGAGACTGCTATCCACTCAGCCACCGTGCCGCACACACTCTGAACCCGATTAGTGGAAAATGTTTCTAAGACTGACCCAGGGAATATATGGGGCTACTTTGGTTTGGCCCTGTCAATTGTATTTATTAAAAATAAATACAATGATTTTTTTGGTCAAATTAGTTTTTTCAAAATGTTGAATGCAGCTGGTTGCCATGACAAATATTTAAATGAGCAAACGCTGATAAGTTGACCTCACTCTAGCTCGGTGAACTGTAAAAACCACAACTCAAAATTGTTCACCTTACTCAGATTTTTGCATTCACTGATAATAAAATTTCCAGTTGGAACTGGAACTGTCTGTTGTGAGCCACTTGAACTTTCAGAAGTTCACTACAACTTCAAAGTAAAATCAACTTAATATATCAAATAAGATGAACTTTTCATCAGAAACTTCTGAAAGTGAGTTCAAGTGGCTCAAAACAGACAGTTGCAGTTCCAACTGGCAATTTTATTATCAGTGAATGCAAAAATCTTAGTAAGGTGAACAATTTTGAGTTGTATTTTTTACAGTGCATATGCTATATATTGTATATACTTACATTATATACTGATAATAAACACTCAATACTACTACCTTCTACTGGTCACTAAGGTCCTACAGCTGTCTGTGTCTGAGCAGGACCCGAGGTCTGAGGAACTGTCTGGACAGAGTTATACTGAAGCACAGATCTGGGAAGGATACAAACACAAATATATAAAAAAAATATGTATTATGGTGTGGAAAATATTTGACCAATTGCAAAAGTTCAACTCAATACTTTGTAATGTAGCCCTCGTGAGGTTGTTATTGTTATTTGTTGACCAATAACTAGGAACTTGTTGTGCGTCAGATCCGCTGGCTGCTGGAGGACGAGATGGTGTCTGCTCTGCGCTCGTGCCGCTGCGTCGTTTCAGAGACGTTGGTCAAAGTGACGGAGCACGTGTCGCGCTCGGCGGGACGCTCACACTACCACAGCGAGGAGGTCCCTCTGCAGTTCGTCTTCGGTCCAGAGCAGTCGCTGGAGGAGTTCAAACAGGTCAGTGTTTGTCTTATGGCACATATCGTCTGCCTCGGGGCAGCTGTGGCTACAGTGGAAGTATGCTCAGTTGACGCTTCTGAAGTTTCCCCGTCTTGTCTTAGAAATAAAAACAATCTTTTATGAATTTTTTGATTTGGAATAAAAAAAAGGAAAAGAAAAGTGATTTTGTGGGCAACAGCTGAAGTCTTTGTAGAAAGTGTTGATCATAACGAGTCCCATCGATGTTCTGTTTGGCAGGAGTTCCGGCGCGTGTCGATGTCTGGATACGTGTTCAATGCAGAGGAAGATTTCTTCTACTTGTCTTTGAGCCGACGGCATCCTCAGCGAATGCTCAGCCCCAACAAGCTGCCATCGAACAAGGGGCCCCAACCCAGCGGCCCTTGCTCTGAGGAAGTGGAGGCCCCGGCTGAAGCAGACCCTGACCTGGTACTGTGTGTTCAGGGCTTTGAGGATCACACAAATGTGAAATGTCAAAGAAGTCAATAGTCACTAGAATCATGAATTATGAATTAGATCACAGCCCACTGGGGGCCAGAGTGTAGTTCTTTATAAACACAGTCTTTTATTCTTCCAGGTTCCTTAAGTCAATACAGCGCTTACAATAATATGCACCTAAGGAGAAGTCAGAGAATAATAACAATAAGAACAAATACTAAACTTGTACGCGCACACAGGATGTGAGCTCAGCATCAGGCTCAGACAGCAGGAGGTCCTTCTCTCACATTATTTCAGAAGTTCTTCATATATTAGTACAAGGTGGAGTTGGAGAGTTATTTTTACTAATGTCATTTCAGAATCAGAATCATTTTTATTGCCACGTAAGTAACAGGAGGTCACAGACTTAGAAATTGCTTTGGCTCAGTGCAACAGTCAGAAAGAGATAATAAAATAAAATAAAAAGAATAAAAACACTTCTAAGGAATACATTTAAAACAAAAATAAAAATAGAGTTACAATTACTATATACAATATACAAGTGCACATGGTGCACACAATGTAAGGTGACAGCAGTACAGTGAAGTAAAGTGACATCATAAAGGGCACTAAAGTGACTTTATAAAGAGCAGTAGGGGACTTCTAGAGGGCGGGGAGGTTAAGAAGTGTTCAAGAGTCCAACAGCAGAGGGGAAGAAACTGTTCTTGTGGCGGGAGGTTCTAGTCCTGATGGACCGCAGCCTCCTGCCTGAGGGGAGTGGTTGGAATAGTCCATGTGCAGGTGAGAGGGGTCGGCTGTGATACGACCAGCCCGGCCTCGAGCTCGGGCGACGTACAGGTCCTGCAGCGATGGAAGGCTGCGGCCGAGCAGTTTTTCCTTTTGGCTCAGGATGATGTTTATGTTTTGCTGAAAACCGCTTTTCTCCGTGGTTCATCTGTGGCAGACGCATAATCTATTTGTGACTGGCTGTAGTGTGAACCCTGACATGTGTTTTTAATCAGGTCTCTTTGTCCATCGAATTTAAGTCAGTGTGCTATGGGGCTCCATCCACTCATGACTAGTTCTCTGTATCTGTTGTTCTAGGGCCCCACAGACGGCCCTCATCTCAGTGACACAAACTCAGGAGCGAAGCCACCAGTGTCCAGCTCACCCCCCAAAGTGTCCCCCTCCAGCGGGCCCCTGGGGGAGTGTGTGGGGCCCAGCGCTCACAGTGAGTTGGTTCAGGATACTCTATTACCACGAGTATTACATGACATGTGACGTTTGTATGTGTGTGTGTGTGTGTGTTTGTCTGTGTCTGTTCTCCTGTTTGTATCTGTGTCTGTCTGTACGTTTGTGTGTATGTGTCCAGGTGTCTGTTGGCCTATGTCTGTTTGTGTCTGTTTTTGTGTTTTTCTGTATGTATCAGTGTCTGTGCGTGTGTCTGTGTGTAGATTTTTGTACAATATGTAATTATATGCATAATTTTTCTCCTGTAGCTCCGCCCCTTCAGTCTGTAAGCTCCTGTCTCACTCCTGTAAAAACCTGTAGTCATTTTTTTTCAATTTGTACTATTTGATGACGCTCAGAGAAGTTTTGGGAAGTGCCTGAGTGTCCTCTCTGCTCAGGTTGTGAGATGCCCAGGCCCAGGCGTGTCCAGAGCGTGGTGTCCAGTCAGGGCAGCCTGGACTCCGACATGCAGGGTGAGATCCCACACGCTGCACTGTAACCATTAATAATAAACAATATTTTGAATGGCACAAAGCAAAAGCCTAAAAAAACTATTTTGGTTCCACTGTGATGATACCAAACAGGAAAAGGGAGCTGGGTTAGACGGCTGTGCGAATGTTTAGTTTTACCGTACATGATGTGTTGCTGCAATAGTAGGCTTTGTGTAGCTATATTAGAAATCTAAAACTTTCTCCTTTTTCTGCTTCTTTTGCTCAGAAGTGTCTGAACTATACTTGAGTAAATTACTTCAATCATTCATTAAAATAGGATTGGAAGGTTGTGTACAAAAAATAACCTAGACAATAATTGCGGGTTTGAGGGCTGTATTTCTGTACTCTTTTGATTGTAGTGATTTAAAAAAAAAAAATCATTTAAATGTTTCTTTTTCCTGTTCTGGTCAATTATCATTTCCCTACATGTACGTCCAGGTCTGATCCTAGTGGCTGCGGTTACCCTGGTTGAATCCCCTCCGACCATTCAGTGAGCGGGGGAGGCAGGTGTTGTCGGTGACGTCAACAGTTAGCACCAAATTTGCTGATTGTAATTTGTAATTTGACAATGACGGGCGAACGTGAAGGCTGGAGCAAGAGGAACGTTTAGCAAATGTCAAGTTGTTATGGCTCTACTCCCCACGTGCTCCGTTAGAAGCAAAGGAGATGGCTAAAGCTAGGCTAAATGTTAAAGGCCTCACTCACTCAAACGCATTACATATGTCACAGTAAACTCAGATCCAATCGTTTCAATTTGCAAAAGGAGTTAACCCCTCCCACCTGTTAACGGAGCTCAATGGAGCTAATCCACCCTTTAGTACGAAATGTAATGAGTACTATGGTGTGGTAAGACCAGGCTAGATGGATAGTTGTTATAGTATTCATCTAAATGTCACATTATGGTCTGTTGAAGGTTACGATGGCGGCAGCAGTGATTCGGAGTGTGACAGCCCCACCCTCGGGGAAGGGGACACGCAGCCCCCTCTGATGCCGGACTTCTGGTTAATCCTGAGAGTGCAACAGGACAGAGTGAAGGTCTACTCCCACTCCAGGTCAGTCTCCCATCAGCCCCTGGGTTTTACAAAGGATGGACTATTCTCACTTCATACACATGTTTCTGATCAGGGGTGCACAGATACACAGGGTTTTACAAAAGTATTAAAATAGCTTGAGCTTTTTCACATTTAGTCATGTTTAGAACCATAAACATAAATATTTGATTTCGATTTCTTTACTGACAGTTCACACACAAGTAACAGACAACAGTGAAGTGAAAGTAAAAGGATTCTGTTTTCAAAAATACAAACATAACGTCATATGACCAAAGCACCTTCTTCCACATAGCAGCTGTGATTTATGACCTTCTTTCAATATTGGTTTTCTTCCTGCCACTCGTGATTATTTGTGATTTTAATGCCCTGTGTGATTTTAATGTTTCTATCTTGTTTTATTAAGCACTTTGTGTTGCCTTGTGTATGAACTGCGCTAGCCCGGTCCTTGGCACTAAAAGGGTGGACTCTGTATCTCCAGGCCCCGCAGGGTGGGAGTGGCGAGCAGCTGTGAGGAGCAGCTGCCTGAGCACCTGCAGCTCCATCAGGCCGTGGTCAGGAGGATCGGGGACATCTGCCGCGTGGTCAACCAGGTACGACTGCATGAAAGCGCTCAAGACCGGAGTTTGGACGAGACGAGCAGAGACGAGTGTTATTCATAATATGGCCATTTAGCTCTGTTTCCACCAGCACTAAATTCCTACTACTCTACTCTACTCTACTCTACTCTACTCTACTCTACTCTACTCTACTCTACTCTACTCTAATCTCCTCTACTCTACTCTACTCTACTCTACTCTACTCTACTTTACTCTACTCTACTCGACTCGACTCGACTCTACTCTAGTTTACTCTTATCTCCTCGACTCTACTCTACTCTACTTTACTCTTATCTCCTCGACTCTACTCTACTCTACTTTACTCTTCTCTACTATACTCTAATCGCCTCTACTCTACTCTACTTTACTCTTCTCTACTCTACACTACTCTACTCTACTCTACTCTACTCTACTCTACTCTACTCTACTCTACTCTACTCTACTCTACTCTACTCTACTTTACTCTACTCTACTCGACTCGACTCGACTCTACTCTAGTTTACTCTTATCTCCTCGACTCTACTCTACTCTACTTTACTCTTCTCTACTATACTCTAATCGCCTCTACTCTACTCTACTTTACTCTTCTCTACTATACTCTAATCGCCTCTACTCTACTCTACTTTACTCTTCTCTACTCTACTATACTCTAATCTCCTCTACTCTACTCTACTCTACTTTACTCTTCTCTACTCTACTATACTCTAATCTCCTCTACTCTACTCTACTCTACTCTACTCTACTGTGTAATGGAAACACAAACAGCTGGAGTAGAGACGATTGGACACAGGGCTTATCTGAATCTATTTTTACGTTTTAGTCCATTCTGGGCGCATGCTACTAAGAGAAAAAAGACAGAAGTTGTTCTTTGCAGCTTTGGTATTCGACCGAAACTTTGAACAATATCAGTTTTTGTGAAATGAATGTGCGTCTCTCTCCATAATAATTCATGGTCCCTGTAATCCTACCTGTGGTGTTCTGTGTAGCGCATGCTGCTCCAGGACCTCCACGACAGTCACGTCTGTAACTCTCTGCTGGTGGCCGAGAGCGAGGAGGACATCTGGAAGAACGAGCCGGTGTACCGGCAGCGGGCGCACACCTCTGACGGTCAGCTCGCCATCGCCTCGTCGCCGGGGTGAGTGTAGAACCGTCTGTAATCCTGCCGTCTCTCCCTCAGATTACAACACGGACACGGAGAGTTACTCGGCCCGCGACTACCTGGCAGCGACCATGCACTTCATCCCCGGACACTTCGCCTGCGACGTGATGTGGAGGACCATCATACACATTCACCCGCGCCTTAAGATGGGGCCGAACATGGGAGTGTCCAGAGGTAAACTACCAACACAACAGGGGCGGGAATGGGTCGATAAGTGACGATTCCATAGAATGCATTTTCTGTTCCACAATTCAATATTATTGTGATTCTTAACTCAATGCGATACGGCGAGTGTGATTCGATTCTGTGATATATTGGAATTCATGTCATTCATGTTTTTTAAAGGCATTACAAAAATTGAGGAAAACAAGACTGCTCCACTCCAATGTCACAGTTATTATGGTCTGCACATTAAGTGAAGTGCGAAGACTTTATGTGTTACAGACGACCTCTCACATGAAAGTGAAACAGATATAATTAAATATCTGTATTTATTATTACTTTGCTCTACTGTATCGATTTAATTACTTGAATTGAACAGAATCATTTTTCCCCACCACTAAAACGCAAACACTTTTATAAACATGTTCCATGTATCTTGGCTATCACAGATTTCCTTTCATTTTCTTTCTTAAGTGTCAGACAAACGTTGATGAGTTAAATGATAAATTACAGCTACACAAATTCATTGCTTTTACAAACAATCAAGCAGTGATTGATATTTTCTCGTTTCAGAAAAAAACAACTTTGTAATATATAGATAATATGTGTGTTTTTTGTTTGTTCCAGAATTAAAATATTCCAACAATTGTGCATTGAGCAAACATTGAACACACATTTAAAGTTCCCATCGCTGCTGTAGGAATCGTATGTGTGTGTTTTTGTGACTTGTTGTGCCTCGCTCTCCTCCTGCAGCGACCCAGGCCCTGCGCTCGGTGCTGAGCTCCTTCTGTGTGGTCAACCGGAAGAATATGTTTGTGTACCAGGAACGCACAACCAAGTCCGTCTTCTACCTCAGGTCTCTCCCGGCATTCTTGAACACATGTGCTGCACTTTCACATGCAGAGGAGACAAGAGAGAAGGAGAGAGAGAGACACAGGCATGTAGGGGAGATAGAAGAGAGAGGGAGAAAGAGAGAGAGAAAGAGACAGACATGTAGAAGAGAGAGAGGCAGACATGTAGAGGAGACAGAAGAGAGAGAGAGGCAGACATGTAGAAGAGTGAGAAGCAGACATGTAGAGGAGACAGAAGAGAGAGAGGCAGACATGTAGAAGAGAGAGAGGCAGACATGTAGAGGAGACAGAAGAGAGAGAGGCAGACATGTAGAAGAGAGAGAGGCAGACATGTAGAGGAGACAGAAGAGAGAGAGGCAGACATGTAGAAGAGAGAGAGGCAGACATGTAGAGGAGACAGAAGAGAGAGGGAGAAAGAGAGAGTCTTGTAGAAGAGAGAGAGACAGACATGTAGAAGAGAGAGAGGAGAGAGACGCAAACATATAGAAGGGAGAGAGGAGAGAGAGGCAGACATGTAGGGGAGACAGAAGAGAGAGAGAGACTTGTAGAAGGGAGAGAGGAGAGAGAGAGAGAGAGAGAGACAGACATGTAGAAGAAAGAGAGGAGAGAGACGCAGACATATAGAAGGAAGAGAGGAGAGAGAGGCAGACATGTAGAGGAGACCGAAGAGAGAGAGAGACATGTAGAAGAGAGCGCGAGAGACATGTAGATGAGACAGAAGAAAAAGAGAGAGACAGACATGTAGAGGAGACAGAAAATAGAGATAGAGAGAGATACAGACATTTAGGGTAGAGAGAGGCAGACATGTAGAGACAGAAGAGAGAGGCAGACATGTAGAGGAGACAAGATGGAGAGAGAGAGAAAGACACACAGACATGTAGAGGAGACAGAAGAGAGAGGGAGAAAGAGAGAGAGAGACTTGTAGAAGGGAGAGAGGAGAGAGAGGCAGACATATAGAAGGGAGAGAGGAGAGAGAGGCAGACATGGAGAGGAGACAGAAGATGGAGAGAGAGACATGTAGAAGGGAGAGAGGAGAAAGAGAGAGAGACAGACATGTAGAAGAGAGAGAGGAGAGAGACGCAGACATATAGAAGGGAGAGAGGAGAGAGAGGCAGACATGGAGAGGAGACAGAAGATGGAGAGAGAGACATGTAGAAGGGAGAGAGGAGAAAGAGAGAGAGACAGACATGTAGAAGAGAGAGAGGAGAGAGACGCAGACATATAGAAGGGAGAGAGGAGAGAGAGGCAGACATGGAGAGGAGACAGAAGATGAAGAGAGAGACATGTAGAAGGGAGAGAGGAGAAAGAGAGAGAGACAGACATGTAGAAGAGAGAGAGGAGAGAGACGCAGACATATAGAAGGGAGAGAGGAGAGAGAGGCAGACATGGAGAGGAGACAGAAGATGAAGAGAGAGACATGTAGAAGGGAGAGAGGAGAAAGAGAGAGAGACAGACATGTAGAAGAGAGAGAGGAGAGAGACGCAGACATATAGAAGGGAGAGAGGAGAGAGAGGCAGACATGGAGAGGAGACAGAAGAGAGAGAGAGAGAGAGAGACACACACAGACATGTAGAGGAAACAGAATAGAGGCAGACATGACCCAGAGCGTGTGTTTTCAGGCTGTGTGAAACCTCGTTGGAGAACCAGGGGCCTTCCCAGCGCTCGGTGGCCCTTTCCCGGAGCCAGGAACCCTCCCTGTTAGACAATCCCATGGTGAGTTATTATGATTCCAGTCCAGAGCTCCAGCAATCGTACGTTCAACTGAATTATTTATTATTTATATTATTATTATTTTTATTATTATTATTATTATTATTATTTTGTTATTCATTTGAATGACACGTCACTTGTCCTTATTAATTTGTCTGCCCTGTTTAGGGCTCACGGTCGTCCTTGGAGGCGTCCCGTCCAGTGGGACAGGTGGACAAACACATCCTGTTACTGGTGCACGGAGTGGAAAATGCAGGTGACTATTCTATCTGTTTGTTTTTATGGTTTTTACAGCCTTGAATGCACTGGACACACGGTACGCCACGCCTTCAGATTTACTAGCAGCCCAGCTCCAGCTCGTGGCGCCTAAGATTGTGATCCTAAACTTGGGCCTTCTCTGCGGTGCTAAACCAGGCGGACAGGGCCTTCTCTGCGGTGCTAAACCAGGCGGACAGGGCCTTCTCTGCGGTGCTAAACCAGGCGGACAGGGCCTTCTCTGCGGTGCTAAACCAGGCGGACAGGGCCTTCTCTGCGGTGCTAAACCAGGCGGACAGGGCCTTCTCTGCGGTGCTAAACCAGGCGGACAGGGCCTTCTCTGCGGTGCTAAACCAGGCGGACAGGGCCTTCTCTGCGGTGCTAAACCAGGCGGACTGGGCCTTCTCTGCGGTGCTAAACCAGGCGGACTGGGCCTTCTCTGTGGTGTTAAATAAGAGGCACAGGGAGTGTATTAAATGTATTAAATGTTTTCTCTCTTTATGGTATATTTTGACATGATTATTAATTTCTGTTTTTCTGTGCAGCACAATGGAAACAGTCTATGAATTGTGCTCTATGAATAAAGTGGATTGGATCCTAGAGTGTGTCATTTGAGAGCAAAGACACATCGTTTTTTCAGCTCTTTGTTAAAGCTTTGTGTGATTGATGCTTCACTGATGTGTTTGTCCTGCTCTGTGTGTTCAGGGTCTGATGTGTGTGTCCTGCTCTGTGTGTTCAGGTCCGGATGTGTGTGTCCTGCTCTGTGTATTCAGGATCTGATGTGTGTGTCCTGCTCTGTGTATTCAGGATCTGATGTGTGTGTCCTGCTCTGTGTGTTCAGGTCCTGATGTGTGTGTCCTGCTCTGTGTGTTCAGGTCCTGATGTGTGTCTCCTGCTTTGTGTGTTCAGGTCCTGATGTGTTTGTCCTGCTCTGTGTGTTCAGGTCCTGATGTGTTTGTCCTGCTCTGTGTGTTCAGGTCCTGATGTGTGTGTCCTGCTCTGTGTGTTCAGGTCCTGATGTGTGTCTCCTGCTTTGTGTGTTCAGGTCCTGATGTGTTTGTCCTGCTCTGTGTGTTCAGGTCCTGATGTGTTTGTCCTGCTCTGTGTGTTCAGGTCCTGATGTGTTTGTCCTGCTCTGTGTGTTCAGGTCCTGATGTGTGTGTCCTGCTCTGTGTATTCAGGTCCTGATGTGTGTGTCCTGCTCTGTGTGTTCAGGTCCTGATGTGTGTCTCCTGCTCTGTGTGTTCAGGTCCTGATGTGTTTGTCCTGCTCTGTGTGTTCAGGTCCTGAGATCACAGAGGATCTTGTCAAAGTTCTGCAGAAGCGTCTGGACGAGACGACCCTGGACATCATTACAGTCATGCTGGTCCGTAACTGCAAACTGACCCCTGCTGATGTGGAGGTGAGAGGTGGTCCTGCTCTGTGTCTCAAACACACGCCACAGACCAAGTCGAGTTTGTCGTCATGTACATAAAAGCGCTGTATAAAACTGACTGCATTATTATTATTAATGAGGCGTGGTGTGGATGCTCTCAGACTGGGAAGCCAACTTCATCATAAAAGTTTGGACTCTGGCTTTAGCGTATACGTTAGTGGCTTTAATAGAGATAACTTCACATTTCATACTAAATGTAAAAACTGCTGTATACCCCTATATATTCTCAGACGACTGTTTAGGTCACATGAGTTAAAACAGATGATGTGAGATATGTGTTTGTGTGCAGTTCATCCAGCCCTCCGACTCGCCGCCCTCAGAGGTCATGGTCTTCAGCCTTCCATCTTACTGTGGAGCCTGGCTCCCTGCCGTGGCGCACTACCTTCGCCAAAACCTCCTCATATTCCTGCATGTTCCAAAGTACACCGACAACAACATGGCTCACCACTTCAAGGTAACTCTACCTCTCATAGCAAACCGTCTATAACAGTGGTTCTTAACCTGGGTTCGATCGAACCCTAGGGGTTCAGTAAGTCTGTCTCAGGGGTTCGGCAGAGCAACATAGTGACAGGCAAACAATCCTTATTCCTGAAGCAGGCTGCTTTGCAACACAGTGTTGGAGCGTGCATCAAAACAGCCCAAAAAAAACGTGTCAGTGTCTCAGACTCTGCATCACTGCTTTGCTTTGTTTCAACTGTGTCGTGTGTCGGAGCGGTTCATTGGCTCAATGCACTTGAAACAGGGCTTCATATGTCCAGTTATGGCTGAGAAAGCCCTGTATTTTTTAAATACCATTTGTTGCAACATATTTTTGGGCAATCCTTTTCGAGGATGCTGGAAAAAACTAATAAAAGGAACAGTTTCGTTGTGAAAATGAAAGTGGCACATGCCAAAGTGAAGCCATGCTGTTTAAACTGGTCTCTTAAAGGCAATAGCAGAAGTCACACTGCGAGTTCATGCATTGTGTTGGTTTTGTTTTTTGAATAAGGTGATGTTCATGCTCAGGTCATTTTCTGCACAAGTGAAAAACACATGTCTTGAAAAAATACTATTTAAAAAATAAATAAATAATATTTTTCACTTGACGGGTTTGGACTAATAATCCTCCTATACATTTCATATTGAGGTGCATTGGACATTATTGTGTTTTTAATGACAACATTATATATATATATATATATATATTAGTGCTGTCCAACGATTAAAATATTTAATCGCGATTAATCGCATGAATTTCATAGTTAACTCGCGATTAATCGCAAATTAGTCACACATTTGTATCTATTCTTTATGTCCCTTGAATTAATTAAAATAAAATAAAAATAATAAAATAAAATTAATAATAATAATAAAATAAAATAAAAAAATGAATGAATAAGTAGATAAATATATTAATAACATGAATAATATGTGCATATGTGCATATAATGATAATACACAAGTCAGGGTAAGCGAAAGCTTATTTTAATGCATGACACGTTTAGTTAAGAAAAACACTTGGGAAAAACTGTGAGGTGACCAAACTGTTAGAGCGAGGAACTAGTTGACTAGCTTGACAAACATGTATATGGCGGCGCGCAGATGGGCAGGTGCTGCGTCGCTGCCAGTCAAACCCTTCAAATTCAACAATACTCGGCCGCAATATCAAGTGATACGCGGAAAAAGGAGAATAATAGATAACAGACTCAAGATCGCTGCGTGGACTATAACATATATTATCTGCGTTACATTGAGCTCCATCCGAGCATGTCTCACTGAGTCATCTACGCCACCAGCTGATGCAAATTCCCTCTACGTTCAACCTGGGATTCCCACCGCTTATGCCTACTTGACTATATCAATTGGACACTATACATCATACCACAGTGTTCTCAGCAATGGCAAAGCAATGTTCCGTAGCACAGCGAACAACAATGGGACCCATAAATATCCATATAGCCAGCAGAAACAACTTCTTGGTTACCTGATACTGACACTCCTGCTCGCTGGCGATGTTCAGCCAAACCCGGGACCAGTCGTCATTGCGGATATGTCTCCATGCCTCTACCCCGACAGAAACCTGGACTCTGGCGAAGACGCAGAACTGCGTGGGGCGATCTACGACGACAACAGTGGTGAGTTCAATTCACCCGGCTCGCTGCTTGCTCCAGTACCAAAGGTGCTGAGCCGCGTGTGCGCACAAACAAGTTCTACACCGCGTCCAAAATCAGGGTATAAGGTGAATCCAGCCGTCGTCAAAAACAACAAATTTAGACTATTTAGAACTGTCAATCATGCTCGTGTGCTGTGGGACGCTAGAGCTAAACCAAGCGGCTTACTAGGCGGACATCTAAACATCAGAAGCGCTATACCAAAGAGCGACCAACTGCAACATCTTCTGTACCAATCGAATCTGGATTTCTTGTGTCTTTCGGAATCATGGACTCACGAGAATTCTCCCATTGATGTATTAAACGTAAATGGATATAACATGTTTAGACGGGACAGAACTGAAGGACGCGGAGGGGGCGTGTTGTTCTATGTTAATGAGAACATTAAATGTGAGCAAATCAACTGGAAAAATGACCCTGGTCTTGAATGTATTGGTCTAAAAGTTACTCTGGCTGACCAAATGTCTTTTATCTTGCTGGGACTATATAGACCCCCAAATGCAAAACATATTTTTTATGACAAGTTGAACACATTGATAAAGCAATGTGATATACATAATGAAATAATATTAATAGGAGATTTTAACATTAATTGGAATGATAAAGTAAAAAGGAAAGAATTAAAAAACATTTCCTGTAAATATGATCTTAACCAAATCATTGAGGGACCAACCAGAATCACCAATACATCTGAAACACTCATTGACCTAATTCTTACTAATAGGCCGGATCGGATCAAGAAGAGCTACAATTTAACAACTGGATTATCAGATCATAACATGATACTGTTTATAAGGAAAGTTAAAACTAAAATAAATGCATTGTCTAATATGAAACGAGAACAGCTAAAAATTCCTAAAAAACAGTTACCTTTGCTTGAACAAACAATTAGGGAAACTGACTGGGCACAGTATGTTCAGGAAGATAGTCTAGAAAGTAGCTGCAGTATCTTTATGAATCGACTTAAAACAATTATAAATGGCTTCAGGAAGAAAATCACATGCAAACGAGGAAAGAGAAATAATCTGCCCTGGATAAATGGAGATATTTGGACTCTTATGAAACAAAGGGATCATGCTCTCAAAATGGCTCTTAAAAGTAAGAAAGATAATGATAGGCGATTGTTTACGTCTCTAAGAAATAAAGTCACAAAACTGATAAGAAATACAAAAGCTTCCTTTTTCATCAATGTTATAAATAATTCAAAGGGGAATGCAAAGGAAATATGGCAGAATTTAAACAAATTAACAGGAAAAAATGCTAAAGAAAATAAACCAATAAAATTGAAAATAGAGGAAACTGTCTATGAGGATGCAAGTGTAGTTGCCAATGCTCTTAATAATCATTTTGTCGCATCCATACAAAAATTGACAACTCATAACCAATCTAATTTTAAAGTCGAACCTATAAAAATTGATGCTCCCGTATTGACATTCACAGAAGTAACTCAGTCAAAGATAGAAACAATCATCTCATCTATTAAGTCCTCAAGGGCAAAGGATATCTATGATATTGATACCTTGTTTTTAAAATCAAATAAGGTAACATTAATCCCATCCTTATGTAAATTAATAAACTGGTCAATCACTGAAGGATTATTTCCCACTGCCTGGAAAACCGCTGTGATCACACCCATCTTTAAATCAGGGGATCACACAAATATAAACAATTATAGACCAATAAGCATTCTCCCGACATTATCAAAAGTATTGGAAAAATGTGTCTCAGAGCAAATCATTTCTCATTTAAATCATTCACCATTTAAGTTGCATCAAATGCAATTTGGATTTCGTAAATTTCATTCTACCGATACTGCAAACATTTATCTTACAGAGAATATCAAATCAAAATTGGATAGAGGGGGTATAGTTGGGGCCATCTACCTCGACTTAAGAAAAGCCTTTGATACTGTCAACTCAGACATATTAATTGCTAAATTATCTAAATTTAACTTTTCACCTAAGGTGCTACAATGGGTGGCATCATACTTAAAAGACAGGAAACAGTGCGTCAGGGTTAATAACAAAACATCTGAAGTAATGTATAACTCTATAGGTGTGCCCCAGGGCTCAACCCTTGGCCCTTTACTCTTCAGTTTATTTATCAATGATTTACCTGATGTATGTTCTGAAGCATCATGTCAGTTATATGCTGACGACACCATCATTTATGTTCACGCAAAAACGAAACAGCTGGCGGCAGAGAAGCTGTCATCTGTAATGGTGTCAGTCTGTGACTGGTTAAAAAATTCAAAATTACACTTAAATACTGATAAAACTATGTGTATGTTCTTCTCTAAGTCGGCAACTAAAGAGAGCGATCCAATAGTTTTGGTGAATGGGCAAGCACTACAAGTGGTGCAAGAGTACAAGTATTTAGGTGTCACCATGGATTCTCAATTATCATTTAAAAAACATGTTAAGAAATTGAGGAACAAAATTAAATTCAATTTAGTGAATTTTAAACACATTAGAAATAACTTAACAACTGATGTTTCAAAATTATACCTAAACGCCACAATTCTCTCGCATATTAATTACTGTATGACGAGTTGGTCTCAGGCCAACAAGACTACACTGTTGCCCATAGAAAGACTTTATAAGCAGACAGTAAAAACATTAGACAAAAAGAATAATTCATATCACCACTGTAAAGTTTTTACCAAACATAATTTCTTAAAGTGGGATCAGTTGATAATGTACTCTGATGTAATTATGGTCTATAAAACCCTAAATGGACTTGCACCGCCTCCATTACAGGAGTTTATACAGCTGAATGTAAATACAAACACGCGCTCATCAAGCAGAGGAGACTGTAGAATCCCATTTAGAAAAACTTCATTTGGACAATCTGCCTACTCAGTACGCGCAGCACATTCCTGGAACTTGATTCCAACAGAATTGAGGAACCTGACCTCATTTCACATTTTTAGGAACTCTGTGAAGAAGTGGCTTTTGGACAATCAGACATGTGAACACAACATGAACTAAAGTCACCAAACACTGATACATGTCTTGGTGGAGGATTTTGGTGTTGTGTATATTGTCCCTTTCTGAATTTTTAGTTGAACAAATTCTTATATATTCCTTGCATTTTTAACTATATGTTGTATTCTTCTTTCACTGTCTTTTTATGTCTCTGTGATGGTGTTTCTGCTGTATGTTTGTGCCTGTTGTATGTCCTATACTACCTATCTTGACATCAACCTGCCATGGGACTACGGATGAAAATTAGCCTATATGGCTAACTCCGGCGCATTTACATGTTGAAAAAACACATGTTGATTAATGTGCACTGTCCCAATTCAAATAAAGAAATTAAAAAAAAAAAAAAAAAAGGAACAAAATAAGAGAGGGAATGGGCCGGGCGTGGGCTCCCTCCCCCCTTTTTGGGGTGGGGGCCTGCTTGGGGGTCTGTGTGTGTGTCGGATTTGGTTTTGATGTTGGCTGGGTTCCGCTTAGCTTGGTGAAACTCAGGCGGGCAGACTTTATATCTTATCTTATCTGTGGGGTGTATGTGTGTGTGTGTGTGGAGTGTGTGTGTCTATGGGTGTGTGTGTGTATGTGTGGGTATAGACCATAGAAACATCATGGTGTCATTATGATGATGATAAACAATCTGTAAATATTTTGTAAATTTGTTCATGTAAATACTCTATGCTGTTTCTCTGTTTACTTTCGGTATATCTATGACTGTATACTGTTTGCTTGTATTGCCTTTTTTATTAACCCCTCCCCCCCATCTCCCACTTCATGTCCCCCCCCCCCCCCCTCCTATGTGCCCTTCTGGGTTTCTTCTTTGGCCCCCTGTATCTCCAACTACATATTGTTTGTAATCTCTGTCTACAATGTATCTGAACTAGTCCTTTTCTTTTTTTTTGTATATGTGTTTGTCTGCAATAAAAGTAAAAAAAAAAAAAAAAAATATATATATATATATATATATATATATATATATATATATATATATTTTTAATCGCGCGATAAAAAAAATGACGCCGTTAATATTGATTTGCGTTAACGCGTTAATAACGCGATATTTTGGACAGCACTAATATATATATATATAAGAACCATATGTAGCACCAATGGTATGATGCTAAATCTGGTGTACAGTGCCTTGCGAAAGTATTCGGCCCATTTCAACATTTCGTCACATTTCAGGCTTCAAACATAAAGATATAAAAATTTAATTTTTTGTCAAGAATCAACAACAAGTGGGACACAATCGTGAAGTGGAATGAAATTTATTGGATAATTTAAACTTTTTTAACAAATAAAAAACTGAAAAGTGGGGCGTGCAATATTATTTGGCCCCCTTGTGCTGATACTTTGTAGCGCCACCTTTTGCTGCAATTACAGCTGCAAGTCGCTTGGGGTATGTCTCTATCAGTTTTGCACATCGAGAGACTGGAATTATTCCCCATTCTTCCTTGCAAAACAGCTCGAGCTCAGTGAGGTTGGATGGAGAGCGTCTTCAGCTCTTTCCACAGATTCTCGATTGGATTCAGGTCTGGACTTTGACTTGGCCATTCTAACACCTGGATACGTCTATTTGTGAACCATTCCATTGTAGATTTGGCTTTATGTTTTGGATCATTGTCCTGTTGGAAGATAAATCTCCGTCCCAGTCTCAGGTCTTTTGCAGACTCCAACAGGTTTTCTTCCAGAATGGTCCTGTATTTGGCTCCATCCATCTTCCCATCAATTTTAGCCATCTTCCCTGTCCCTGCTGAAGAAAAGCAGGCCCAAACCATGATGCTGCCACCACCATGTTTGACAGTGGGGATGGTGTGTTCAGGGTGATGAGCTGTGTTGCTTTTACGCCAAACATATCGTTTTGCATTGTGGCCAAAAAGTTTGATTTTGGTTTCATCTGACCAGAGCACCTTCTTCCACTTTTTGTTGATTCTTGACAAAATTTTTTACATTTTATATCTTTATGTTTGAAGCCTGAAATGTGGCAAAATGTTGAAAGGTTCAAGGGGGGGCGAATACTTTCGCAAGGCACTGTAGCCATCTTTGTAACTACATGCTGTCCCTTAAATAAACAAACGTCTAACTCTTTTCCTGTTTTACACATGTACATTCGCCCTGTTGTTTAGGGCGGCACGCTGGCTGAGTGGATAGCACTCTCGTTTCTCAACTAGAAGGTCCTGTGTTTGAATCCCGGTCGGAACAGGGCCTTTCTGAGTGGAATTTGCATGTTCTCCCCGTGTCTGCCTAGGTTTCCTCCTGGTTCTCCAGTTTCCCCTACTACTAAAAACATGTGCAATAGGTCTGGCATGTGCCTGCTGTACTGGCGACTCCGCTCCCATCTCTGTGTGGAGTGAGAGGACAAATGCCCACAATTGTAAACTGCTTTGTGACTCTGATCTGTGAAAGACGGTGTATAAATAAAGATTATTTACTTACTTGCTTGCACATGTTTTAATGTTTGGGGAAACCAGGGGAGAACATGTAAACTCAGAAAGGCGAGAGTGCTAACCACTCACTGTTACTTTGGGAGCTCCGAAAGATATACATTCTGCTTTTGAATGTACTTTCAGCACGCCAATAATGTGAGCAGTGATGGGCCGGACGGAGACATTTACCTGTACAACAAACCAGGAGGCCAGGGCACCGGCGGCAAAGGTACAGTACACAGATCTGTCTGTACAATAACACCGCACTGTATGTTGACTCAGCACTCGTGAAATCTCGGCTCACCAAGAGATGTGAAAAACCTGTCTAACTACTACCTGTCTAACCATTTCTACTGGCACATAACAACTTATGAGACAGGGCCAGCAGATGCTTGTTAGAGCACAGGGAAAAGCCATGTTTAAGTTATTTTTTTAATATGGTTCAGAATGGCAATTAAGCTCCGTAAATATTCTATGTATTTATTTTAAATTAAAGTAAATCACCAACCGGCCAACACCCGGGATACAAGACATTTTCAATCGAACTGTGGATAAAGCAATGAATTCATGCTGGAATCCTTGTTAGAGAAAACAACACTTGTTTTTCTACGAAACTGCCGGTAGGCGCGGACTTGCTCCCCGGCAGGATACGAGTCTTTCATAGAGGACAGTTGAGCAACCTCGAACTGACTTTTCTTTTCACAGACTCCTCTTCTTCTGCTGTGTGACTGCACTGTTGTCCCTCTGCACAGGTATCGCCTGCATCACCCTGTCCTTCGTGAGCCCAGAGGGCGCTGCTGTCCCCGTCCTGCCTCAGAAAACAGAAAGTGTTCTGACCTTTGATCCACAGCATTATGAGGAGCTGACCAAGGTCCTGAAGGTGGACTCCTGCTCAAAGGACAATGGTAGGGACTCAAGTCATTATTATTAAGGCAGGTATTTAAAGCTGGGGTACTTAACTGCTTTCACTACGTTATGGCATGTCTATAAAAAATTAGCAAACAAATATTTATAATATTATTTTGCATACTTGTAAGAAAGAGAAGCCTCACCACATAATCAAGTGTAATCATCACATAATCAAGTTTTGTTGAGTGAGGTCGATCCTCTCTTTGACTTTTCTGTCTAAAAAAGCAACAAAAACAAATGAGTAGAACTGTTGTACTTGCTGAGGCAAAATAAGAATGGATTTAAGAATTCCTCCCGATGTGTTTTTCGATACCCACTATGAGGACGTCTGGTCTCTGGGCCGTCCGTGTCCGCACCAGTAGTACGTTTGTGTATCGTCCCATCAGCAGTTCCGTACCGGCTGCAGAGTGTTTTGTCTATCGCTTTTGTGCTCAGGTGTGTGTCACAATCCTCAGCTATACCAGAAACATGCAAATATAAAGGTTCTGGGTTTTCAGCTTTGGGGAATCATTGGGGAGGATGCGATTATTTGCATTAAACAGAATCATGCACAGTTTTGGTTTCAATTTCCAACAGTATCTTCTGTTCTGTTCCTCTGCAGAGCAACAGCTGCTGCTGCACTTCAACATCTGGGAACAAGGAAACATCAGCCCGCTACAGCTCAGCGATAAACTCCAGGGGGCGCTGCGGCATGCTCTGTCTGATGTAGTGATGGAGCTCCAAGTACTGCCCAACCCGCTCTGTGTGGACGTGTCCTACCAGCCAGCCAAGGCCTCCAGGGACGAGGGCAAAGGTAATATGTGTTTATAAAAGACTGGACCTTTGTAACCTCGGCGGCTGAATGTCTGGATTATAGACACTGGTAACTCAAAAGGTTTTTTATCAATGTAATGTTAATAAATAAGAAACCCTCTAAATAAACAAATACCCAAAAAACAATCACTAAAATCAGTCTATACAAATACAACACCAAAAATTGATGTTTCAACCCCAAGCCTTTAATTCTTCCGTCCTCTGTCATCTGCTTTGGTCTGACAAACCATAGTAACGTTTATTTTTCTAGTATTTCTTAATCAATCTTATTCAATCTTTCGTTAACTGCGATCCCCATGTTGCAGACCCGGGAACGCCAACGCTGGATTTGAAGGACCGGCAGCGCAGTGTAGCACGGCTCCTCAAAGGAAGTCCCTCCCCCATAGTCTACAGCCAGGGCACAAGCTCCGCCCCCCTGTCTCCCGAGTCCACCACCCCGACAAGCAAGAGCACCCGCCGCAGCTTCTGGGACATCCTGGTGAGTTTTGGATCTATCGTTTTTAGTTCTGATTGCTTGATTTTCTGGATTTTCATTTTAACATCAACATAGGTCTGAGCAATATGGCTGAAAACTATATCACGATACAAGTGATTCATATCAATCGATATCAATAACTGTTGATTTGTTTTTTTAAACATATATATTTCTCTGACAACGTTCAAATCCAATTTAAAAACAGTTGAACTGAAGTGATGTTTCTTGAATGAACAAGACTGCGACACATTTTGAAGCGTACATGTTCGAATCCTCCAGAGTAAACCCGACTCCACGGAGCTGGGCAGTCCAAAGACCACAGATGACATTGTGCCGGAGCGCGGTGAGGAGGGCAGAGGCACGCGCCGCAGACACAAGACGGAGACTGTCAAACAGCCGTGGGGTCAGGAGCGCTCCGGGCTGCTGGAGCTGGAGCAGCAGAGGTACAGCACAAGAGCTCGTCATGCTGTTTTTAACTGAGCTCTTTTCAACTCATGAACTGCATGATTAACCTCCAGCGTTGTTTTAAGCTGTTGTTTGTGTTTGTGTGCAGGAGACAAGTGACCCAACTGGAGGAGGGGGATGTGGGGGCTCTACATCCCATTTATCAGCTCTTTTTTGAGTCCTGGATTACCTTCATGGCCAGACTGGGTGTGTTGGAAATATCAGTTTGGGGCTCACATCGGCCTGGTCTTAGCCATCCATAAACTCCAGTCAATTATAATTTCCTACAGTCTGGGTCTGGTCTCAGTGGCTGCGGTTACCTCGGTTAAATCCCCTCCGACCATGACGGCAAATGCGATAGTAAAGGAAGCTCTTCAATCTGTTCTGGTTCGACTCAAAACATCAAGAAATGTAGCCGGAGCAAGAGGAATGTTTAGCGTTTTGCTGCAACGCTAAACATTGGGGTTCAGCAAAAGCCTTATTTTCCTGTTAGCTCCGTTAGCGGTTAGATGGCTAGACTAAATGCTAGTGAAGCGCATTACAAACTGCAAAAGGAGTGACCAGGCTAGGTTCACACCGAAAGAAAGGAAAATAATAATAATGTGTTTAGATATGTTTTGATGAGGGAATAGTTAGTTTGATGGTTTGTTTTGGTCTGGGATAGACTGTATCTCTCCGAGGTAATGAAAGTGTACTTTATACCTCAATCAAATATTCAATAATCCAGTCGGCCACAAGTCTGGTTGATTTTTTTTCTTTTTTCAGTTTAACAAATCCCTTGAGGGTTAATTGTAGATCGATAGATAGATAGATATACTTCAGTGATCCCTGTAGGAGAAATTAAGTTTGTGTGTGTGTGTGTGTGTGTGTGTGTGTGTGTGTGTGTGTGTTCTCAGGCTGCCCATCCATCCAACAGTGCACAGCAGAGTTGGCCTCTCACTTCCTCCTGCCCTCATTCCTTGCAGAGATTGTCAACTTGGTCAGTTCTTTGGCCAGTGACACAATGGTCAAGGTTTTCCAGAAGACCAGGTAAGACGCTCTCCAGTTTTGCAGGTACTGGTTTGTTGTGGGGAGGTTGCTAGGATACGGGCTGGTGGAAACGGGGCTTAAAGATCCGCTCGTGTACCACTGTCTGTGTTCGCTTCACATCAATCTCTGGAGTTTTTACTGCTATGCCGACCATAGACACAGGTCTCATGTCCATATAGAGAAAATGTGTTTTCGGGTGTACATATGTGACATTACTATTTGGCCCAAAGACAAAGCAATGCGACAAATGTAGCTGGACTTTATTCAAGAAGACCTGCCTTCGAAATCTGCAAATAATCTGTTTATCTGCAAGCGCCGCTTCATCAAAGACTGCTTCCAAACCCACGGTTACCATGAAACTGGACTTACTCAAAAGCTGATCTTTAAACCTGGTGTTATTCCCTAATAATAGATGCAAAGGAGGAGCTTAGATCTGTAAGTACAGTGCTACTAACTGGTCGTATACTACTGTGAACAAAATAATTAGGGTCCATTTCTGGATCAAGGACAGAGCAATCTTTGTAACACATCAGCATTGTTGGAAAAAGTTTATTCTTAGTAAGTACTGCCTTAGACCTGCTTTAGTTCTGCTGTGGACCTGCGTCAGACCTGCATTAGGCCAGCTTTAATCCTGCCTTAGACCTGCTTTAGACCTGCTTTAAACCTGCTTTAGACCTGCTTTAGACCTGCTTTAGACCTGCTTTAGACCTGCTTTAGTACACATCTTCAGGATCTATAGCCTGTCCTGGATCTACTGCCTCAGTCCTGGATCTACAGGACTGAAGCAGTAGATCCAGGACTCTGCCACTCCCGACATTGTTCATGATGATTATGCTTGGTTCATGATGAGTTGGTGTTAGTGAAGATAGTCTTTAGTGCTGAAGGTTCATCATTAATGAGCTCAGGCCAAGTGCACATTCAATAGTATGGAGTGCACCATCCATACTATTGAATGTTGTTGAAGTGCCTTACAAGTGTATCTTTGTGTTTTTGTTTTTGGTGTTAAAGGCAGATACATATTTCCTTCCTGTTCCAGCTTCCAGTCCACTGGGGACCTGTTCCTGCCTCTGAGTGTGGGGCAGAACCTCAGCCCATCCCTAAATCCCTCACAGAGCTTTATAGTCACCGGGCGCAACTTTCACCAGTGGCACAACAGCACACAGCAAGGTAACCGGCCCGTCTGTCTGTCTGTCGTCTGTCTGTCTCTCTGAGTCAGGGCTAAACATGTGGAGGCAGCGTCTTCCTGAAAATGTGAAACAGGCTTCTACTCTGACAATGTTCAAATGCAGGTTAAACTGAAGGATTGTATCTTAACTCTTTTTATTACACAGCTCCTCACAGCAGCAGTAGAACGCTCCATTGATTTGAATGTAATTTCAAAACGTTCTATACTGTTTTAATGCAAGAAAAAGCGATTGCGATAAACCCAGAAGTACGTTCCGGGACATTTTAGGAGCATTTGCAGAGGATCGAATTATGGATTTAGGTTAAGTTTATGTTTGGGTCACTCACCGCTAATGTTCAGAATTGTTTGTTCAGTTTTCATGCAGTACGAGAGAATTCTAGTTTTGACGTTGCTAGCCTAACTGTTACTCACATAGCCACGGGAAGACCTTTGGGAACTCTTTTATTTGCAGTCATTAAAAGTGGACTGAAGTTTATTTTGTGTGCTCTGTTGGTACAAAGCCGTATGATAAGCGGCTTACTTTATGTACTGTCATTCTTTTACTTTTTGTACGGAAAGTGTTCTACAATTATAGATCGATGGATAGAAACTCGAAAAATTTAATTTTCAAAAGTCCATTTACTTTTATGAGAAACCAATATATGACAGACTCATTACAGCAGTGTGAGAGACATCAAGCCTTTATTTGTTATAATGTTATTCACAGTAAAAACACAAATAAAAAGGACCTTTATACACAATTTACACAATACAATTTATTCTTGTATAGCCCTAGGTCACAACAGAAGTCATCTCAGAGGACTTAACAAAACCATTGAAATCACCAACACAGGTCAGAGAATCAACAGTTAAAACACATGAAGAATACAGTATAAAGCACACACAGAAGAAAATGTCCATACATGTTGTAGAATGCTAAAGTGTCCTGATCATCACCAATCCTTTCTGTTGGACACTAACTGTCCAACAAGACCCTCCTGCATCGACAAGGAAAAACTCTTAAAAAACCCAGTGGGAAAAAGTGAGAAACCTTGGAGGAGAACTAGGGAAACCCACAGGGAGGGAGACCCATATGAGAAAGGGATCCGCTCCTCCGGACGGACAGACTAATGATCTAGGACCTAAGCTAGCTACAGAACGTGGACCAGTGGACGCTGAACGTGGACAGGTCCGGTGCAGGACCGAAGCACTCCCAGGCGGGTCGGGCGGGGCAGTCCGCAGGTGTAGATGGAAGAGGCCAGGCTCAGAGATCCCGTCATCGTACCATGAAACAGACAATGGGACAACGGGTGAATAGCAATGAACAAACTACAGTCAGAATCCTACAAATGCTAAACAGATAAAGTAGGAAGGAGGAGAGGATAGTGCTCTTTATCTTTTCAAATGACAACACAGTCCAGTTCACAAGGAACTGGCTTAAAGGTGACCCGTCAGGTGAAGACCACTGGGTCGATGTCATTGAAGAGATTTATTCAATTAGAAAAAGAGGCTCACACTATAGTTTCTCCATGTGTATGTTTGTGTATATATACTGTATGTAGTTTTAAGTATGAATGTCTTTATGTTTGTCTATCTGTGAATGAACAATGCCATGTTGTGATTGTTTTATTATTTAAGATGTTAAAATCAAATCAAAATACTCTACCCATCTGAGATCCACCTGTACTTGCTTAGTCGGCCACGAGAACAGCTTAAAAAGGCCTGAGCGGGACACGTGAAACAGATGAAGCTGAAGAAGTGTGGCAGTGAACCCCGCTTTACTGAGACATTTGTACAAAACCGCCCTCGGACCGAAGATACTGAACCTTCGCCCTGGAAGCAGCCGCACTCCTCTCACCCTCCTCTGGCTGTGTTCTTGTCTCCACAGTGAACAAGGGCCTACAGCACTTCGAGGCCCTGGATCCCAGCGACGGGTCTGTTCCAGCGACGGGGACCGACGCTGCTCCACGACAGAGGTTTCTCTTCGTCACCATCACTCGCAGAAAGGTGCCGTAGCCCGAGTTTGGCAGATCCGTTTGGTCAGAGCTCGGCTGATCCCGGCCGCTGGACAGAAAACTGCAGTGTGGCAGAAATCTAATGTTTTATTATGGAGAGAAAAGACCTGAGGTTGAATTGGATTGGTTTAGATGTGTTTGTCAAACGGTGGTTCAGGATCCATGCAGCAGGTTCAGATCGAGTCCGACCAATAAAACAGAAACTATTGTATATTTATTACTGATATTTCATGGATTGTTTTAAACATTGGGAGAAGACACAGAATATAAAGGTCCTGGATTCGATTCCACCTGCAGGCAGTTTGCATATTCTCCCTGTGTCTGCGCCGGTTTTCCCACCACTATAAACATGTACAATAGTTAAAGGTGAAGGGCTTTGTGAGTGTGACTGTGATGGGACCAAAGATGGAATACAGTGCCTTGCGAAAGTATTCGGCCCCCTTGAACCTTTCAACATTTTGCCACATTTCAGTCTTCAAACATAAAGATATAAAATTTAAATTTTTTGTCATAAATCAAGTGGGACACAATCGTGAGAGTCTGTCCATAGGACAACAATCAATCGTGCACTGCACAAATCTGGCCTTTATGGAAGAGTGGCCATTTCTCAAAGATATCCAATAAAAGTCTCTTAAAATTTGCCACAAGCCACCTGGGAGACACACCAAACATGTGGAAGAAGGTGCTCTGGTCAGATGAAACCAAAATCGAACTTTTTGGCCACAATGCAAAACGATATGTTTGGCGTAAAAGCAACACAGCTCATCACCCTGAACACACCATCCCCACCTCAGCTGTAGTTATCTGCAGTTCATCCAGAGTGATCATGGGCCTCTTGGCTGCATCTCTGATCAGTCTTCTCCTTGTTTGCGATGAAAGTTTGGAGGGACGGCAGGGTCTTGGTAGATTTGCAGTGGTCTGATACTCCTTCCATTTCAATATAATTGCTTGCACAGTGCTCCTTGAGATGTTTAAAGCTTGGGAAATCTTTTTGTATCCAAATCCGGCTTTAAACTTCTCCACAACAGTATCTCGGACCTGCCTGGTGTGTTCCTTTGTCTTCATGGTTCTGTCTGCACTTTAAACAGAACCCTGAGACTATCAAAGAGCAGGTGCATTTATACGGAGACTTTATTACACACAGGTGCATTCTATTTATCATCATCAGTCATTTAGGACAACACTGGATCATTCAAAGATCCTCACTGAACGTCTGGAGTGAGTTTGCTGCACTGAAAGTAAAGGGGCCGAATAATATTGCACGCCCCACTTTTCAGTTTTTTATTTGTTTAAAAAAGTTTAAATTATCCAACAAATTTCATTCCACTTCACGATTGTGTCCCACTTGTTGTTGATTCATGACAAAAAATTTACATTTTATATCTTTATGTTTGAAGCCTGAAATGTGGCGAAATGTTGAAAGGTTCAAGGGGGCCGAATACTTTCGCAAGGCACTGTAATCCCATATCACTCTCTGGTTTATTTATATACACACGGTTTCATCCAAAGAAACATGTGCAGCTGGACATTCAGGCTAAAAAGATTCTAGATAGATTTTGGTTTCATCAGACCCTAGAATCTTGTTGCTGCACTGATGGTTTATAGAACTCTGTCCCCATCCCTCCTCAGGTGTACTCCTCGCACATACTGGACTCAAGCACCCGCTATCGTACTCGTGCTCGTAGTGCCAAACATGTTGTCTCTTTTACAGATGGCTCTGTTCAGCTACAACTGGTCTGTGGACTTGGGCCAGACCCTGAACCGGGAGCTGCAGCGGCTTGTTCACTGGCAGAACGCTCGAGCTCATGTGGTGCACTGTCTGCTGAGCCAGAAGATGGGCCTGTTCCACCACTTCTGCTTCTCCGACACTCCGGTGCACCAGCCAGACCCCAAGCAGGTAAAGTGTGTGTATATTTGTCTGTTTGAACTCGGGCCACGTCCAACAGAGCAGTACCCGAGCCAGACATCTCTTTTTCCCCTCATAATGATACAGACATGTTTATTTATTCCCATTTCCTTTGGGGTCATAATATCATTTTTTCCTTGTCATCATACTATTTCCCATGTTCGCTTTCAAATGTAGCCGGTGAAAGCCAGATCCCATCAGACCCCTGAAGCTAAGTAGGGCAGGGCTTGGTTAGGGCTGTGATGGGAGATCTTGGGGAACACCAGGTGCCACAGTGAGGGCGGCTGCGGCTGTAAAATGCTAAACTGCACATACATTGCCTAGAATGTGTCTGGTGTGTGTGTGAATGGTTGGTGGTGATCGGAGGAGGTGCACATGGTACATACTGGTTGCCTCACCTGTGTCAGAGGGCATCTGTGGCTACATTAGTACTTTATCACCACCGTGTATAGATAGAATGAATACTGACATGTTAGCACTATAGGTAGTTAGTTAGCAATGTTTACAATTCATGCACTTAGAGAATGTGTTTATAGAGATGTGTTTTCTGCTGCTGGACGCCTGAATTTATCTTACGGGGATCAATAATGGATCTCTGTATCTATCTATGTATGTGAAGTGTCTTTGAGCGTCCAAACAAACGCTCTATAAAAACCGATCCATTACAATGATATTTTTCCAAGTCGATGGAGGTGGCGAACCTTGCGTGCTTCTTGTATGTCGTGTTGTTTAAGAGTCTGTACAAGTTGCAATAGTCCCTCGTCACTAACCGACGTGTCTGTGTAGGACCCAAACCCGTTCCTTGGCCCGTCCATGGAACCAGATGCCTTGCTTCGGAACGCCATGCCCCCAGTGTCCAGTAAGGAGCAGGGCAGGCTGGGGGGGATTCGCAGCCTGGCCCCCCTGCACTTCCCCTCTGAGCTGCTGCCGTTCGACGAGGCTCTTCGCGACGTCTGCTCCATCCCTGCGCTGAGCGAGGGGGACGCCGTGTCTCGCCACGGCGGCCAGCTGCTGGACATCAAAGCCTCGGAGCGCAGAGGTCAGGCCACACACTGCCCACAGCCGGGACGAGGCGTGTCTGTGTGAACCGTCGTAGTCATGTGGAAAACACCTGTAACAGTGTCTCTCTCGTCCTGTCCCAGAGCTGGAGAAGCAGATGAAGATCGAGAACCTGTTTGTGACGTGGCAGCAGCGCTCGGCTCAGTCCAACATGCCCATCTCTGTGAGCCCACAGTTCAACACTCCTCCCTCAGACATGAACTCTGTCTGTCTGTCTGCCTCTGTCTCTGTCTGTCTGTCTCTCTGTCCGTCTCTGTCTGTCCCACTGTCTGTCTCTCTATCTCTGTGTCTCTCTTTATGTCTGCCTCTGTCCGTCTGTCTGTCTGTGTCTGTCTGTATGTCCGTCTCTTTGTCCGTCTGTCTGTCTGTCTGTCTGACTCTCTGTCTTTCTCTCTTTCTGCCTCTGTCTGTCTGTCACTTTGTCTGTCTGCCTCTGTCTTTCTGCCTCTGTCTGTCTGTCTCTGCCTGTCTGTCCTTCTGACGTAAACGAGACACCATACATGTTTGTCTTTTTTCTCAGTGAGTGTACATTTTCACCCCCTTGCACTGTTTCATGATTGGTGTCTTTTCATCAAAACAATATTCAATCTGCAAATTAATCATTTTTGGCCAAAGGTACTTTTCAATCTCCTTGTTTGTGCTACAGTTGATGAAAGGATGAAAGGATAATAACAGCGGGTGAAGGAGGGTTAGGGTTAGGATGTGGGGACCCCGCTCCTTTGTCCAGCATAAGGGGCAGTTATTGTAAGACAGACAGAAAGACATGTTGTATGAACATGACTTTTGTTTTGTCTTTCCCTTTTAAAACCATTGTCTTTTCATGTACAATACAGACCAAAAGTTTGGACACACTTTCTCATTCAATGAGTGTTATTTCTTTTCATGACTATTGTCTGTAGATCCACACCCGGCTGTGTAAGAGCTGTTTGACCAATAAGCAAATAAGCAGAGTGATGGTGCTGGGCCACATGACCTCCACAGTCACCGGACCTGAACCCAGTCCAGATGGTTTTGGGGCTGGACCACAGAGTCAAGGGGCCAACAAGTGCTAAGCATCATGGGAACTCCTTCAAGACTGTTGAAGACCATTTCAGGTCCTCTTGAAGCTCATCAAGAGAATGCCAAGATTGTGTGAAGCACAAATCAATTTTTTTTTTTTACGCACATAATTCCACTTGAGTTAATTCATAGTTTTGACGCCTTCAGTGTGAATCTACAATTTTAATAATCATGAAAATAAAAAAACTCTTTGAATGAGAAGGTGTGTCCAAACTTATGGTCTGTACTATATAGTAAGTGTAAATGTGTGTGTTTGTGTGTGTGTGCGTGTGTGTGTGTGTTTGCAGGCAGCAGATCTGGAGATCCTTAAGCAGTCGTCCAGAGTGGTCCACTACTGTGCCACTCCTCTGCTCTTTGACCCAGTTTTCCGTAGAAAGATCCAGGAGGAGCTGTTCATCCATTCTCCCGTCAAGGTACACAAGCATCTGTCCAGACAAGCAGTACACAAATACATTTATTTGACATGTATGATTGTAAAGTTGTAGTTTTACATTGGGTCACACTGGGGTCCTTTGAGATGGTGATGGAGAAGGGTCTAAGGACAGCGACATTTATCAACATAACGACAGTGGGCGCCGCTCCCTACGGACCAATGGCTCTTGTCTGATTGTTATTATTGTATTCCCTGTGTTTGAACATTCTCTGTTTTTTTTGTTTTTTTTATTTAGTTTATTATTATTAATGTTTATTTGGATCTGTTGTTGAGTCCTCCAAGACAACTGCAGTTTTGATTTAGGGCACAAGCAAATTATAAATATATACTGTAAATATACATTGGTATTAACTTGCTGCTCTTCTGAAGCATTTACAGTTAGTTAAGAAACATTGTAGCTACTTATATTGAATGTTGTGTGCTCCTTGCGTGCTCTTGCTGCTGTCTTGTTAGTGCGCAGCAACATCAACATGTATTTTTCTTTAAAAGTGTACTTATCCTGTCTTATCTTAGAAGCGGCACCGCTCCAGTGACTCGAGCGCATCAGGCCGCGACCGCAGCTACAGCACAGATTCTGGGGACATACTTCCCACTCGTCTCTGGGAAGAACCTTGGCTCCAAGACGTGTCCTGCTCCTTCCTGCAGCACTACGTCCAGTACCTGCAGAGCATGGGCTTCATCCTGGTGCAGGTGCGGCCGCAGTCCCCCGCTCGCAGGTCTGTCCCACCTTCACACATACTGCACCTTTGATTATGAGAAACCGCTGAAACTGTAACGGTTTGTGCTGCAGCATCGCCCGCAGCCGCGCCGCCATGTTGAACTCCATGTCGTCTGAGGGCCGGATGTCCTTCTCTTACGTCAAACAGAAGAGCGAGGACAGCCCCAAGGTACAACACAACACACTTTTATCTGTTTTTTAAATCCTTGTTAAAACCTGGTTGATTTTATTCATTTTTTCCATCTGAAAAAGAGAGGGGGCAATCCTTTTTTCCAGTAAATTCCTTGATTTTGCATCAGATCAAGATAGTCCGTTTTCATAATTTTCTAAAAAGTCATACGACAGACATAATACACATATTTACTGAACACCTTTTTGCAAATCCAAAGATGTCTTTGAGCCGTCTCCACAGACAATGTACGAGTCTTTCTATAATTCAAGGACTGTCCGTCATCAAACAAGCTATTCTCGGCTTTCGGTCACATGACCCAGCCTTAGCAACGGTTGCTGTGCAGGCTGTACAAAATTAAATTGAATTGAGGGGTTAGTTTTTGGGTGTTTATTAACATTAAACTAACAAATTTGCTTGAGGCCATCCGTCTGAAACTGAATCTAACTTACAAACAGTGAACGCCAAACACCTCAGCAATATTCTCTTCCCAATACAAGCATTTATCGCTGTTTTTTCCCAAAGAGACGCAGAATGTACCACTGGAGTTGTCCCACTGACTCCATTGTCTTAAAGAAACGCTGACACAAAAAGAAGGGCATAAAGATGGCGGATGTCAAAAGCTCTGTGACGTCATATGAAATCAGAAAATAGGGAGATAATGTAATGGTTAAAACAAACAACATGGAAGCGTTAGTCCTACTTTGACTTGTGTTTCTAGGCGTCTCCATCGGCAGCCACTCATTATCACCTGCAGAGGGCGCTGCCAGGAGGAATCGTGCTCATGGAGTTGGCTTTCCAGGTAAAAACACATTTGATCAAAATATTATTTTGACCTGTGCATTACTGTGACTCGTGTCAGTTTAGCCTAATTTGTTATTGGTATATTTCTCAGCAAAAAGTCCTAGATATGCAAATGAGCTCAGGTGGTTTTAATCCGGTGAAAACAACTTTTCTTACTTTGAGACCAGAGGCTGTGTGAGTGGTCAGCATTTACCGACTTTACTTTCACAGTGTTTCACAGAGAGTCATTCACGGTCAAATAGGAAAATGTAGTGTTTTTCCTTTTTCACATTAAAAGTTGCCTAACGCCGCCACGGTGGCTGAGTGGTTAGCATCCTGGGAATCCTGGTCGAAATGGGACAAAACAGGACTCCCTGTGTATGTGCAGGTTTCCTCCTGGTGCTCCGGTTTCACCTACAAAAATTAAAACCAGTACAATAGGTATAATCCTCCAGCTCTGGTACTGTCCACGAGTACCAACATCTGAGATGGGTTCTTGTTACTACGGCGACCACTGCTCCCGATAGAGGCCCTAGAGGCAACTAAGGATGGGTCAAATGCAGAGGACACATTTCCCTAAAGTATAACTAACTCACTTTAAAGGTGTAGTTTTGTTTATTGAGTAAAGTAGATATCAATTTTTTTTTTTTTTGTGTCAACTTATCCCAATTTAAAAACTGAAAAGTGTGGCTTGCAAAGGTTTTCCACCCCATTTCTCTGAGTCCCTCCTGGGCCTTTAGATTAGGCATGTCCAAACTGAGACCCGGGGGCCTGCTGTGCTATTTTATGTGGCCTTCTGCCGCTAACACAAAGTATCAGTCATCCAGCCAACTTCAGCTTCACCAATACACTCATGCAATACCTCGTTGGGAAGCTCAGAACCTTTGGAATCCAGTCTTTAATGTAGCTGTGGTTGTGAGTCAATACGAAAAGATAAGATAAGATAGACTTTATTGATCTCACACAGGAGAAATGTACATGTCACATCTGGCATGGATAGAAACACTCAAGATTGTGCAAAAGAAAGAAATGTGCAACATGTTAAATGCAGGATATATTATGTACAGTAAAAAGTGGCAATCAAGAAACAGTGTCAATAAGTAGTGCAGGTTTTTCAGTCTTAATGCAAGTGACTTAAAGTGACTTATTGTACAGTCTGACAGCGGTGGGGATAAAGAGCAGGGTCTTTATCCCCACCGCTGTCAGACTGTACAATAAGTCACTCCTCATTCTAAAACCCAGAACAGCCCGAATCCCGTCAATACAGTTTTACAATCTGTTGGTGGCCCCTGGTCTCGGGGCCTAAAGTGGCTAAAAAGACTGAACAGCCCTGCTCTGGAAGATTCTTGAGTAATGGTCAAATGTGGACCTGACTATTAGATGGAGTGTATCCTAATCTCAGTATGTTTACAGCTGGGATTCATCAGGAGTAAGAGCAGAATTGTCACTTCCTGAGTTTCGGCCCAATTTGAGCTCTATTTACACCTCTATCCAAACAAGAGTTCTGTTGATGCTGTTTCTGTGTGATGTCATTCTAAACCTGTTTACTCCTCTCTGTTTTCCAGGGATGTTACTTCTGTGTGAAGCAGTATGCCCTGGAATGCTCTCGCATCCCCGTGGGTCAGTCTGTAAACTCCCAGGTAAACATGACACCAGTATCCATGGTAACGCACTGCTTTGTTTTAGAGATTTACTGTAGAATAGTCACCTTAGCTCCAGCTCATCTCGGGTCGACGTCACAGTCCAAACGACAGAGGACTCAGTAGGAAATAACGCGTTTAAGTTCAGAAGAATAAGATAAAGCTAGAAATAGGAGAGACACCGCGGTAGTCTTGCACAGTTTTTCCAATGTGGTTTTACTGCAAATGGCAAATAAATTCTTAAATCTTGAATTTATGCACAGTATTTGGTTTTTCTAATGGAGCCTGATTATCGCTTGCTCTTCCCACATACTATATTTTCATTTTTTGTACGCACATTTTAAACTTAGCATATTTTAACTTGCATTTTATCTGTTTTTTTACTGTGAAGCGGTATGTGGCCTTGGTCTGTATGGATAAAGCTATTTACTTTCTAAACTTGAAACTGCAGACACCTTTTAAATGTTTATTCATAGTCCGTGAAAAGCCAGTTGGGAATGAACATTAGCTGCTACAGTACTAAACGTATTACATCTAAACCAAGCATTTGCCATAGTCTAAATCAATCCACTTTGGGGATAGGATAAAGCTTTTCAAACCCGAACACAGAGTACCACATGAGCTCTAAACCAGGCGGGTCAAAGCTGTAGCGGCTTTAAACAGAATATCTCAGGAGCAGTGGTTTTATAGTTGCATAGTTTTTACAGGCTCCAAAACACTGTGCAGAGGTGTGATTTTGATGCGATCCTAAATTACAAGACATCCCTGGTGCCGGTTATTCCCCGTGAGTCCAGCAGAGGCCGCCTCCTCGGCTGAATAACCGGCTCCACTTGTGTTATGAGTTTTACTTTGTGCTTCATCAGGGCAGCCTCCTGGCCAAACCACGCTCCAAGCCGTACCCCGATGCCCCGCCCGTGTTTGACTGTGCGGTATGTGCCGGCCGTGGGGCAGGCTCTAATCACGCTGTCTTCCCGCTGTGATCAGCTCTGTCGCTTCTGCCTGTCCTGTGTCTGACTGGGGGTTTTGCTGCGATTCAAACGGGGATCTTGCAGGGTGTCGGGCGAGTGGTGGTGGGTCCGTGCGGCCGATGGAAGACGGCACTGTGGCTGGATCATGGTGCTGTGATTGGCTGTTTCCTTTGTTTTCCTCACAGTCTACCATTTGGGGATCAGTGTATGCATGGTCTTCCCATAGATGTGATTTGTGTGGGAGAAAAATCATATCAATTAATCTAGTTCTGAATGTGTAGGCTTTTCTCTATTGAGTAATAATTGTGTGTTTGGGGCTAACCCTTTCCTGTGTGCCTTATGTGCAAGGTTATCATTGTCATTTTGATTTAGAATAGTCATGTTCAAATAAAACAGGACAAACCCAGCTAAACCGATGGTCATGGTAGGTTTTATATCACCGTTTACCATGTCCCTTCTCCACAACCGCCTTATATTGAGTGAGGTAAGTGTAGCGGACATGGTAATAACACAGTATGAAAAAAGAGAAGTAGAAAGGTATTAAAACCATGACCAAATTGAACTGAAATACAGAATATTTGCATTGAGAGAAAAGAGAAAGCTGAAATTCTCGTTCTTGAGTCTACATTTTCAACATAGACCTGGAGGATTGACTGAGCACATGTCTAATAATCTCCAGGTTATTTCTGCCCTGTGCCTTATTCCATCTGTGTGGTTTCATCCAGTGGACATTGAACCTCACATTTCCATCTGAGTTTTGCATTCTGTGTTCAGCTCTACATTAGCGGTGGGACTTTTACAGATATTTTAACGCACTAATTAATGAAACGCAATTGGTCGTATTTTTATCGTGTGCACTCACAGTTGACGTGTACCTATGATGAACTTTAAGAACCAATTTTAAGGCGGACGACTTACACAATCAACAACTGCCTATTGCCCCACCGCACTGTACATGCAGCGGACTGAAGCCTTTTAAAGCCGCCGCTGCAGTGTCTTAAACTGTTTTTTATAAATCCGTGGAAGACACTCATCCTGGTCGCTGTAGGTAATGGAACATTTGTGGTGGAACTAATGTGTTCTTCCCGTTATTGAATAATGTAGGTGTTTTTAGTTTTCGATTAAAATGCGGTTAATTGTGATGAATTACTTTAAGACTAATTAACTTAAAAAATTTGAATGGAGTCCCACCTGTTTTTGTTTATAGTAATCCGAGGCAGAAGTCAAACTGTCTCTGTGTGATTTATTGAAGTCGGAAGGTTAGCAGACCTCTCTTCAGGGTCAGCTAAGTCCTCTGACCAGAAGTAAGTAGTAAGACCAGAAGTAAAGGCAGATGGGAAAGGGAAGGGCGGGGTGAGAGGGAAGAACGACAGGGGGAGGAGGTGAGAGGACGGAAGAAGACAGGAGAGGAGATTATGGGAGAGGAGAGGAGTTAAGAGGACAGGGGAGGGGGGGACAGGAGACAAACCCGATTTCAAGATTGTGACATCAGACCAAAACACATCTAGCCTCGCTCCTACCGACATTTAGCCCCGCCAATTTCATGTAGGCGTGGCTAAAGTTCGGTCTGGAGTCAGGCTAACACACATCTAACCCTCTCATACAAACAACACCAGTGTCTGAATGAACGCAAAGACCCTCTGTATTATGTGTTTTATCTAAATTACAGTAAATTCCCACTTCACAGCACTAGTTTACGTGCATGCCCTAGAACGAGTCTCCAGTCTCCTCCCGTCCCTGTGAAGTCCCCGGCTGAGGCCCGGACTCTGACGCCCGCTGGTGCTTGTGTGCTTCGCAGCTGTCCATGCTCTTCACGGAGGAGTGCGACAAAGTCCGGGACCTGATGCACGTTCACTCCTTCAGCTACGACTTCCACCTGCGCCTGTGCCACCAGTACCTCCAGGGCAGTCACATGACCCTCCGGCAGGGATACCAGCTCACCGACTTCCTGGACGACTTCATCACCCACCATCCGGACATCCCCAAGTTTGGCCACAACCACGTCTTTCAGGGTAATCCATGGAGTCATTTAAAAGCAATTTTATGTAGCTAGCATTTGTTTACATTTCAGAATGATAAAAAGCTGTTTGGATATTTAGCAGTAGTGGAAGTGAATTGGCTTTTGGTCCAACACCTTTGAAGTTATAATAAAAATAATAATACATCAGTTTTATATAGCACTTTTCATAAACTTCACAAGATGCTTCACAATTCAGGACGGACACACACACACGTTTAGACAGTCACATAAAACTAAACATCTAAAAACAGGAAAGAAGAGTATAAAGTTGAAACTAAGAGTAATATGCTTAGAGGAAGAGGTGAGTTTTTAGCTGTTTTTTTAAGGAGTTTAGTGAGTCCGAGTTTCTGGGATTAGGGGGGAGAGAGTTCCAGAGAGTGGGAGCAGAGATGGTCTCCCAAGGTCCGGGGCTTGGATTTGACGGTGGGAGTGAGGAGATGTGCGTCTGCAGATCGAAGTCGACGGGAGGAACTGTAGGATTGGATAAATTCAGTGAGGTATGGAGGGCTCTGTAGGTGTTGAGGAGGATTTTGAAATGGATGCGCTGTTTGATGGGGAGCCAGTGGAGTTTATGGAGGACAGGGGTGATGTGTTCTCTGGAGCGGGTCCGAGTGATGAGGCGGGCGGCAGAGTTTTGGACATATTGCAGTTTTTGGAGATCAGATGAAGGAAGGCCGTATAAAAGACTGTTGCAGAAGTCGAGTCTGGAGGATATGAAAGCATGGATCAGGGTTTCAGCAGCGGTGAAGTGAAGTGGTCCAAGACACACAAACTGAATTAGCACTGGATATAAACTAAAAGGGGATTACTGCAGTGTGTGTTGGTTTCACTGGACTCTGCAGACACAACAGATGTCTGCAGAGTTGTGCGAGTTGATGTCATGAATTGTGTTCCTCACATATTTTGAGAGGAACGCAATTCTTATTTGCATAACAAGTGCATAATCAGAAAAAATTAATCTCTTTGTGCAAGAACATATAGAAGTGAATTCCACTGAGATCAAGATGAAAGAAATCCCAAACATTCAGCACCCACACATGTAAATACTGCAGGGGTTTACCAACGTGTTAACAGACACAGTGGTAAAAGCAAATATGGATAATGCCTTCTCGTGCAGTGGCCGTAGGATGGAGTGGACGGTTATTTTGTCCAGAGCCATATTCACCATGTTGTGGAGCGACTCAGTCTCTCTCCCACTCTCCCACTTGCTTCTGCTCCTGATGTGGATGTTTGGCTCTAATCTCATTCCAGTGTCGGTGCTGTTCACTGAGTGTGTTCAGAGGCCTCTTGGCGCCACCTCTTGGCCGCTGTGTGCCCGCGCAACTACTGACAATATCTAAGTACACTTTACTTAGATATACGTTTATTTAATCTTTTATTTTCTGTATTTTTTCTTTGAGCGTCAGGTCCATGCAGCAGGATAAGCACAGTTATTCAATAAGTAAAGTGAGAAAATAGGTCAGTAGTCGATTGCTCCCACCTTAAAATATTTTTTTTAATGCTCTAAAAACCTACAATGGGATTTTTCATATTCTGTCTCTCACAGTTGACGTGTACCTGTGATGAAAGTTAAAGACCTTATGACGGGTTTGATTTATTTAGAAATACAGTTTTAATACCATTTTATATTAGAAGAGAACTACTAAAGGTTTCAAAATCAGTTGTTGTTTTTTTTGTCTGATCCGCCCAAATCGAAATAACCCCATAGCAACGCCCTTAGAAACGAAAAAACTTCACAGCCCTTGGTGACGTCAGAACGGGTATGTTTCAATGCTGTAAGTTGTTTACAATTTGGCATTCGTTCTTTTTTCGCGGATATTCAAGATGACAAGGCCGTGTACAGCGAGTCTAAGATAACTACTAGATTGTAACATTTCGTTGTCACTGAGATAGTCCAGTGGTTGTGTGGATGGACTGCCAATCCAGATACTTGGGTTCAATTCCCACCTCGGACAGTTTTTCACACTGAAAACGGCAATTTATGTGTAGAGTGCAGTATTGTGTTGGGCATCAGTGGAGAGAAGAGAGAAAAGGCAGTCCTGTGGCATAGATCCATGGTTTTCAATGCATGGGCGTAACCCGCTATGACGTCACACACAGGTTAGAGCATAGACAACTTAAATTCATGAAAAACACGTTCTTTTTATAAAATATAGGATTTTTTTTGCCGGAATATTTCTTTAAAATTGACATTGTCATGCAATTTTGATATCCACTATTTTTTTTTTTAAAACCCGTCATAAGGTCTTTAAGGACCACTCTCATTTTTGTGTGTGACTCATGTGGCCTGAGCAACTGAAAAGCACAGCCAAAGGAATAAAAGGAAACCCCTCGTGGAAGGGGAGGGGCCTCCATTGCACCCCAGTGGAAGGTCCCCCTGCGGTGTCCAATGTATGAGAAGTTCAAGTCCTGCCTGCTCGACCGGAAAAAGGTGCCTTGCCCTCTTCAGGCGGGTGGAGAGGTCCTTCCTCAAGTGGAGGAGTTCAAGTATCTCGGGGTCTTGTTCACGAGTGAGGGGAGGATGGAGCGTGAGATTGACAGGCGGATCGGTGCAGCGTGCGCAGTTATGCGGTCGCTGTATCGGACCGTTGTGGTAAAGAGGGAGCTGAGCCGAAAGGCGAAGTTCTCGATTTACCGTCAATCTTCGTTCCCTCCCTCACCTATGGTCATGAGCTTTGGGTAATGACCGAAAGAACGAGATCGCGGATACAAGCGGTCGAAATGAGCTTCCTCCGCAGAGTGGCTGGGCGCTCCCTTAGAGATAGGGTGAGGAGCTCGGTCACACGGGAGGAGCTCGGAGTAGAGCCGCTGCTTCTCCACGTCGAGAGGAACCAGTTGAGGTGGCTCGGGCATCTGTTCAGGATGCCTCCTGGACGCCTCCCTGGGGAGGTGTTCCGGGCACGTCCCACCGGGAGGAGGCCCCGGGGAAGACCCAGGACACGCTGGAGAGACTATGTCTCTCAGCTGGCCTGGGAACGCCTTGGGGTCCCCCCGGACGAGCTGGAGGAGGTGTGTGTGGATAGGGAAGTCTGGGCGTCTCTGCTTAGACTGCTGCCCCCGCGACCCGGCAACGGATAAAGCGGAAGAAAATGGATGGATGGATGGAGTCCTGCCTGCATTGAATTTAGTCGTACACTTGCAGGTTTTCTCTCTGAGTCTTTGGTCTGTAGTTCAGCAGGTCTTGAAGCATGGACTCAGCTCTGTCCCACGAGCGACAGAGACAGAAACAGTATATTCAATGTATCGTTCAGTAACGCTAACCACTCAGTGACAACATAAACAGTAATCAGATCACCTCATTACTCAAATGATAACATTATTTTAAAAGTGGTTATTTTACATTTCTGTGTTTGTTTGTTTGTTGTCAGGAAACTTTTCCATCTCCACGGGGATCATCACCTCGCACCAGCTCTACAACTACCTGACGGACCACGCCGGGACCTACGGCATGAAGCCCCTGCGCATGTCCCGAGCCGCCTCCGCCTCCGACAGCAAGAAGACCTCCCCCGAGCTGCACGAGTACGCTCTGGTGTCGCTGTGGTCCAGGTCAGCCCACACTTACGCCTCATTCTACCAGCCTACCAGTATCCTAGCAACTTACCCACAACAAATCAGTATCCAAAGAAATCCCTTTGTAACCACGGAACCAGCTGCACTCTGGCCTCTTTAGTACCCGCTGACCCTAACCCAGGGCCAAACAAAAAACAAAAAAAATAGCTGGTACCGGTACAACAGGACCGGTGGAAATGCTCACAATCAGGGTAGGGTAGGGTAGAGTAGAGTAGAATAGGGTAGAGTAGGGTAGGGTAGGGTAGAGTAGAGTACAATAGGGTAGAGTAGAGTACAATAGGGTAGAGTAGGGTAGGGTAGAGTAGAATAGGGTAGAGTAGAGTAGAGTAGAGTAGAGTAGAGTAGAGTAGAGTAGAGTAGAGTAGAGTAGAGTAGAGTAGAGTAGAGTAGAGTAGAGTAGAGTAGAGTAGAGTATCTCCTACATCTCCTGATGTCTATCCTCTCCTCTCTCCGTAGTTCTGGCTCGTACAAAGACCTGGAGGGCCTGCATCACCATGACGACTTTGACGTGTCGCTGGTGGTGTGTCACAACGCTGCGCCGTTTGAGGAGCAGCTAGAATCAGAGAAACATCTGCTCAGGTTTGTCAAACACACAAACTGAGGCTGTGTCCACGCCCCCTGAATCCACTTTTCTTACAGCATTTCAACTCAGCCTTCTCTACCTATTCTTAATGCTCTCAGGAAAAAGCATGTGATTTTTGGATGCCTTTTTTTCATTCAATATTAAAATAATTCAATGTTGTGATCAGATAGATCTATGCTGAGTAAATAAAAATGTCACTAATATTCTTAACGGAGGGAGTCAAATTGTATTTTAGAGAGTACAAATTTTGAAATACTTACCGTTAACATGCGCACATTGCGGTGAAGGACGTCCCGCACGTACCACCTGCACTGGGACCGACCTCCTGCTGGGACTAGTCTCAGGTCTGCTGGTGCCCATAGTCAGGTATATACATGGGGAGGCAGCATTTCAACAGATTTATGCCACTAAAATCTGGAACAGTCTTCCTGAAAATGTGAGACAGGCTTCTACTCTGACAAAGTTCCAATCCAGGTTTAAAACAGTTCTGAGGGATTGTATCTTTACCCTTTTTCATGTATGTTTTTTGCCTTGTGCATGAACTGTGAAATACAATTAAACTTGCTTTAATAATTGCCTCGTCTTAAAGGAGCAGTATGTAAAAATCTGGCCAAAAGTGGTACTGCAGCCTCTCCCACTCTCCCTGACTCAGGTTGCCAGATATGCAGACGAATCCAGCTGGGACCATAACAGCTGAATAGACAAGAGTTTTGTCAACAACAAATCTATAACCAACACCTTTTTCACAAAGATAGAAATCCTGGTTTTATTCCTTGTTTTCTCGTTAATGATTTGAGAATCATAACGAGACCTTTTTTTAGTTCTGAGGCCACATGGTACTTTACCAGTGAGATTAGCTCCACGTGGTTAGTTCTGGCGCCCGGATCACAGACTTTCTGATTGGTGAAACGGTGGAGGGCGGGACAAGATTGGATAGTTTAAACTTTTTTAACAAATAAAAAACTGAAAAGTGGGGCGTGCAATATTATTCCGCCCCCTTGCGCTAATACTTTGTAGCACCACCTTTTGCTGCAATTACAGCTGCAAGTCGCTTGGGGTATGTCTCTATCAGTTTTGCACATCGAGAGACTGGAATTCTTTCCCATTCTTCCTTGCAAAACAGCTCGAGCTCAGTGAGGTTGGATGGAGAGCGTTTGTGAACAGCAGTCTTCAGCTCTTTCCACAGATTCTCGATTGGATTCAGGTCTGGACTTTGACTTGGCCATTCTAACACCTGGATACGTCTATTTGTGAACCATTCCATTGTAGATTTGGCTTTATGTTTTGGATCATTGTCCTGTTGGAAGATAAATCTCCGTCCCAGTCTCAAGTCTTTTGCAGACTCCAACAGGTTTTCTTCCAGAATGGTCCTGTATTTGGCTCCATCCATCTTCCCATCAATTTTAGCCATCTTCCCTGTCCCTGCTGAAGAAAAGCAGGCCCAAAGCATGATGCTGCCACCACCATGTTTGACAGTGGGGATGGTGTGTTCAGGGTGATGAGCTGTGTTGCTTTTACGCCAAACATAACGTTTTGCATTGTGGCCAAAAAGTTCGATTTTGGTTTCATCTGACCAGAGCACCTTCTTCCACATGTTTGGTGTGTCTCCCAGGTGGCTTGTGGCAAACTTTAAACAAGACTTTTTATGGATATCTTTGAGAAATGGCTTTCTTCTTGCCACTCTTCCATAAAGGCCAGATTTGTGCAGTGCACGACTGATTGTTGTCCTATGGACAGACTCTCCCACCTCAGCTGTAGTTATCTGCAGTTCATCCAGAGTGATCATGGGCCTCTTGTCTGCATCTCTGATCAGTCTTCTCCTTGTTTGAGATGAAAGTTTGGAGGGACGGCCGGGACTTGGTAGATTTGCAGTGGTCTGATACTCCTTCCATTTCAATATAATTGCTTGCACAGTGCTCCTTGAGATGTTTAAAGCTTGGGAAATCTTTTTGTATCCAAATCCGGCTTTAAACTTCTCCACAACAGTATCTCGGACCTGCCTGGTGTGTTCCTTCGTCTTCATGGTTCTCTCTGCGCTTTAAACAGAACCCTGAGACTATCAAAGAGCAGGTGCATTTATACAGAGACTTGATTACACACAGGTGCATTCTATTTATCATCAGTCATTTAGGACAACATTGGATCATTCAAAGATCCTCACTGAACTTCTGGAGTGAGTTTGCTGCACTGAAAGTAAAGGGGCCGAATAATATTGCACGCCCCACTGTACAGTTTTTTATTTGTTAAAAAAGTTTAAATTATCCAATAAATTTCGTTCCACTTCACGATTGTGTCCCACTTGTTGTTGATTCATGACAAAAAATTAACATTTTATATCTTTATGTTTGAAGCCTAAAATTTGGCGAAATGTGGAAAGGCTCAAGGATACTTTTGCAAGGCACTGTACTTTAATATTGTGGTTTTGGGTAAAGAAACAAAAAGTAGATCTTAAAACAGTGAGAAACAGGTGTTTACACTCAGTACATCCACGCCCTGTGTGTTTGTGTGGTCCAGGCTGCGGTTCTTCGTGTTGATGACCAGCCAGAGGGAGCAGTTTCCTCGCCTCACTGCAGACATGCGACGCTTTAAGAAGCTGCCGCAAATCCACAAGGAGCCAGAGCAATCTCAACACACGGACAAGACGGGAGCTTCTCTGGACGCGGGGGACCAGGCACAAGAGGCCTCTGCCGAAGGGGCCGACCCGTACCCTCCGCCTGGCGTCCCCGAGCTGTCCCCTCTGTTCCCGCTGCTGCAGACCGAAGTGTCCACGGCTCAGAGGCAGATCATCCAGAGCACCGTGGAGCAGGCCATGAAGCACTGCCGCCGGGACAACCTGTGGAGACGCCTGTTCCACGGAGAGCACGTCACACTGGACAAACTCAAACTCACCAAGCTGTCCTTCATGGAGCTGGAGGAGCTGCTGGACGCCGTGCAGAGCTGCTCCGTGGAGGAGATCGACCGGCAGCTGGTGAGTCAATCAATGAAGCGGGAAAAGTGAGAAACGTTCAGGTCCTGGACGTCAGAACTCCCTCACGTCGCTCTCTGCCCCTCAAACCAGCCCCTTGCCCATAAAGAATAGAATAGAATAGCTTGTTTTTCATTCACAAAGATTGTTTACAGGTCACCTCCCTCACTTATGGTGCGTAAGGAGATTACCCAAGGAACAAAAGTCAGAAGCAGTCACGCTCACTGCTGATTACTGTACGTCCATCAAGAATCACACCTACTGTATCTCCAGGTCACAGCCCTTCTCTCCTCGTTAGGTTTTTTCCGGCGGTTGGCGACCTATTTTTGCGCATTACCGCCACCTTCTGTTCCGTGGATGGGTCAGTAGGCTCACACTCTAACCCCACAGACTATCAGTCTGTGGTCCCACCAAGGGAATTGTAAAAGAAAAGAAACGAAAAAAAAAAACAAAAATACTACAAAATACAAATAAAAATAACTAACCAAAATTCATACATACCTAACTATACTATATCTATATTCTGCTGAATAACCCGGCTTCCTTTAAAAACGACACTAATGCCCTCACTTGCGCACTCCCTCCAGTACCCAAAATACTCTTTAAATTAAATTCCTTAACCCCCAGTTCCTTAAGCCTCTGTTTCAGTACCTCCCTACACTCACTATATCCCCTGCAGTGCAACAGCACGTGCTCTACAGACTCCTCCTGCTCTTCACATCCCTCACAGAGCCCCGTCTCATGCTTCCCTATGATACACAGTGTTTTATTCAGCGCACAATGCCCCAATCTAAGCCTAGTCATGACCATTTCTTCCCTCCGATGGCCCCCCTGCCTTCTGCCATCGCTCACCTCTTTCTGTATGTGATAAAAGTGCCTTCCTGAGGTCCCTGTCTCCCAACGTGTCTGCCATTCCTGAATTATTCGTTTCCACACCACACTCTTTGCTTCACTCTTGCTACTTTTCACACTCATCTCTACCCTTGCCTTATTCAGTGCACCCTTTGCCAGTCTGTCCACTACTTCATTACCTAGAATACCAGAATGTGATGGTACCCACAGAAACTGCACCGTGTTCCCCTGCTGATGAATTCTAGTAACTGTCAATAGAGTCTCATACAAAATATCCTGTCGACCCTGTGATTGTATAGACTGGACACTAGAAAGCACAGACGCTGAATCAGAACATATTAAAACCCTACTCTTTTTAGCTTGCTCTGCCCACCTTAACGCCACTAATATAGCAACCATCTCCACTGTGTAAACACTCAAACCATTAGATGTTCGTCTGTTAATACCAACTCCTTTTCCCTGGCACCGCTATTCCGAATCCTGTAACCTCAGATTCTGGACTCTTTGACCCATCCGTAAAGATGTGAATATGACTTGAGTAGAGTTGAGATACGTGGTACTCAAAAGCTACAACCAGATCAACCCTCCCTTTTTCCTTCTTCTTCAAGTCCAGCAGGTGCCAATCTACTCCTGGGCACGCCAACTTCCATGGGGGTATTGCAGGAAACACTAAAGCAGAACTAATCTGAAGATCATAAATACCATAGTTCTGAGCCATCTGGTCCCCCACTTTCCCAAAATGATCTCTCTGGGCCTTACCATATTCCCAGCAGTCCCTCAATGTCTGTTTTGTGGGATGAGAATCCCCATGGCTTTGTAAATGAACCCAGTAGTTCATCATTATCTGCTTCCTTCTCAGATCTAGTGGCATCTCCCCCATCTCTACCTGCAATGCATTCACCGGAGATGTCTTAAAGGCTCCGCAGCACAGCCTCAAGGCACGGGCCTGTATCACATCCAGTTTCTTCAGTATGGATGGGGATGCTGATCCGTACACCACACAACCATAGTCAAGGCTTTGATGGGTCCTTTCCAGGCTTCCTTATCGGCACTATCACAGCCTCTTTCCACTCACCTGGCACCTTTCCTTCAGTCCAAACTCTATTATACAATAGCAGCAGTTTCTTACGGGCTTCTATCCCTAGCCTTCTAATCATTGCATAACATATCTGATCCTTACCTGGAGATGTTTGTTTTGCCCTTCTAACTGCCCTGTCCATCTCCTCCAAGGAGAAAAGGGAATCCTGATCGATCTTGATTTAAAGCCTCCTTAGTTACAAATACTTCCTGGTTCTGATCTCTGGTTTGATCTCTCCTGCTTTTAGCCACTTCTGATAAGTTATCTGAGCTATGCACCTTTACAAAACTTTGGGCCATGACCTCTGCCTTATCCCTGTCCGATATTGCTGTGCCATTCTGAGTCACTAATACTGGGTAATTCCACTCACGCCTGTCTCCACCCATCCTTCTTACCATTCCCCAGACTTCACCCACTGGTGTTGTTCTCCCCACTTTTGAGCAAAACTCCCTCCAGCTAGACCTTTTTGCTCTTCTAATTGTCCTCCTAACAATTGCCTGCGCTTTCTTGTATTCCACCAGATGCTGAATACTGAGCGTTCTCTTAAACTTCCTAAATGCCTTATTCCTCTCCTTGACCGCTACCCGACACTCCTGCGTCCACCAGGGAACCAGAACTCTGTTATTCTTTGGCTTGCTCTTTGGAATACTCTTCCGTGCAGCATTTATCATTCCCTCCGTAATCTATTTATTCATTTCATCTACGCTGCCTTGACACCCCATTTCATCTGCAGCCTCCTTACATAACTTTTGGAACTCATCCCAATCAGCTCTATGGAAAGCCCATTTCCCCAAACCCTCTCTGCTTATCCCCTTCACCTTACCCCCAATTGAGCTCAAAACAGGATAATGGTCACTCCCCAGGGTTGTATCTGTCCTAACCCTCCACTGGCAGCCCCCTGCACATGCGCTAGACACCAGGGTAAGATCCAACGCTGAGGAGGACCCATTCACAACATTAAACCTTGTACCAGAACCGGCATTCAAACACACAAGATTCAGCTCATCCATCAATTCCTCTATAACACTTCCATTGGCGTCTTTATGCTGACCCCGCCATACTCCACTGTGAGCATTAAAGTCCCCCACCCAAACAACTGTCCTACGGTCTTGTCCCTGAATACCCCGGAGGCTCTGAAGCTCTAACCTGGCACATGGATTATAGAAATTTATGACCACTGTTGGGGCGACAGTAGCTCGGTTGGTAGAGCATTGGCCTTTGGGCCTGAAGGTCGTGGGTTCGAGCCCACCGTAAGACCTACTTCACGACTCCCACTGATGACTGTTGTCGTTGTGTCCTTGGGCAAGACACTTAACCCTACTTTGCCCAAAGCCCCAACTGAAAGATCTCAGCTCCTGTGGACTCACCACCTGCAGGAGGATCAGTGAGGGGCTGGTGCTAAGTGTACTGGTTGCAGCTCTGACTGCCACCCCCCAACCCAGAAATGGATTAAGGGGAAGAAAATGGATGGATGGATGACCACTGTTGGTTTTTGCTTCTCCCATACTTCCACTACAATGCACTCCAGATTTCCCCCTACCCCCAGTAACCTGTAGGGGATACCGCTTCTAACAAATGTTGCACACCCCCCTCCATCTCCATGGTCTCGGTCATTTCTAATCACAGCATATCCATATATTATAAAGTCCAAAGAAGGCTTAAGCCACGTCTCCTGCACACATATTACGTCCGGTTTCTCTTTAAGTCCTTTAATGAAATACTTAAACTCCTGGCCATTGATTGGCCAGTAAACTTCTTGCATTCCATTGGAGAATAAGCACCATTAGGAATACAAATAACATTATACCACTCGTCCTGACTGAAGCCTGAGGTGATCACTCACCTTTTCCCATGTCAGTCCTACCACTCCTAGCAGCTTTACTGCTGCCTCAACAATCAATTTGATCCTTTCATCTCTAGTTTTGACCCCAAAAGTGCAGTTTATTACTTCAGCAATAAATGAAACTAGCGCAATTGGCTGTACACTTAGATTACTTTTGCTCTGCCCAGTTACTGCCTCCGGCTCTTCTGTTCCCCGCCCCCTCGTCACAAGAGGAGCACTCTGCCGTGATGTCCTCACAGCCTCTGCATAAGAGATCCCCTTCTCTACTCTCACCTTTTGAATCTGACTCTCTTTCTTCATAAACTCACATCCAGCATAAGCCACACTATGTGCCCCACCACAGTTGCAGCACTTGGGCTGTACTCCTTCCCCACACTTCCCATATTCATGGCCCCCTCCACATCGAGCACACCTTCTCTTATCCTTACAGTTACTTGCTGTGTGGCCAAAACGCTGGCAATTAAAGCACCTGAGCGGCTTAGGTATGAATGCTCTGACTGAGTAACTCAAAAACCCAACGAACACTTTCTGAGGCAAAGTTGCTTCTTCAAACTCAATAAGTATAGTTTCACTGTCCACTTTCACTCCGTCCCTTGTTGCTTTCATCCTAGTCACATTTTTAACTACCCCCCCTTTAATATGTCTCTTCAACTCCTCCATCTTTACATTAGCAGGTATTCCGGTGATTACTCCTCTGCTCCCGCCAAGTCGAACTCCCACCTGACTCGCGCTGCTAACTTTAAACTTTCCCACCTCCCTCAAGCCCAATGCCTTCTTCATTTGCTCCTCATTGGTACAATGAATTAATAAATTTCCATCATTCAACACTTTAGCTGATGTTACATCGCCCAGCTTGTTCCCAATATCCATTGTAAGACTAAATGGACTTGCTTTCCTCACACTGGCTTGAGTTTTCTCATTAAACCTCAGCACAACAATCATCTTACTCGGTCTCTCAATAACTGAATGAACACTGCTGTCACTACCACTCTCATTCCGAAGCCGCTTACTACGCTTGTTCACTCTCTTCTGTGCTGACTGTAACTCAGCGTCACTTTCACTCTCCTCAGCCTCCATACTATCGCCCCAACTCCCTACCTCTGACCCATCCACGGAAAAAACAGGTTCTGGGATTAAGGTAGGTGGTTGTAGATCAATGAGATTTAAATCTCGCGCATTTCTCCTCGTCGACGCTCTGCCTCCGCCTGCTGACGCTGCCGCCATTCCGCCGTCCTGCAGCCAACCGCACGGGACCAGGTCACAGCCCTAACGTTATAGTTTGATACACTGCAGTGATCGTCAAATACACAGTGAAAAAAACATCTGACAACAGCTGACATGAGAGAAAAAAGACTTTTAAAAGACAACTAGGGATTCCGTCTATGTTCAAGACTTCTATACACTGTAAAAAGGCAGAGAGGGTATTAAACAATCCAAATGTCTTTCTTTTTGGAGAGGTTTTGATTAATTCTGCTCAGACATTCTTAAACAGAGGCAGAGAGGTGAGACAGCGGATCGATAACTGAGGCTGTTCCAGTCTGAGGGAGATTTACATTTCAATGAATGTTTTACGACTTATTTTGACTCGTATGTTTTCCTTCTGATTAAAAAGTCTGAATGCTCGAGGGTTTGAAGAGACGCATGGTTTTGGCTAAATGTGTGTGAGCCCACTTTGTGTATCTGAAGTGTGTGAAGTATGTATATCTGCTGCTGTGTGACAGGAGTGCTTCCTGACCATGAGCCCAGCCTGGTATCAAAGTCTGATCAAAGTCCTTCTGAGCCGCTTCCCTCAGAGCTGCAGATACTTCGACGACTGTGGTGTGCAGTACCTGGTGAGACGCTCAGTACATGTGCGGCTGCAGTCACACGTTTACATGCACCTGAGCAAACATACTCGACAACCTTTTTCACAGTTCCTCAAAGTTTGGCCAATTTAAACTCCGGAGATCAATACATCATTTACGTACTATGTGTTGAGGTTTGTGTAAATTCAACAATATTAGATTTATTCATAATATCTGATTTTCAACAGGTTTTTACCCATACATTTTATTTACATATCTGTACTTTAGCATGTAAGTGCACCAAGCTGATGCAGGAGGGTCTAAGGACAGTCATGGTCTTCCTATCGACCAATATTATATTTCTTGTGTTTGAACTGTTTCTCTCTCTGGTTGCTCTCTCTCTGGTCTCTCTCTCTCTGGTTGCTCTCTCTCTGGTCTCTCTCTCTCTGGTCGCTCTCTCTCTGGTCTCTCTTTATCAGGTCCCGCTCTGGTGTCTTCCTGGTCTCTCTCTAGAGTATATCTCTGGTATTCATCTTTGGTCTCTATCTGGTCTTGCTGGTTTCTCTCTGGTCTCTCTCTGTTTTCTCTCGCTGGTCTCTCTCTAGTCCCTCTCTCTGGTCTCTCTCTCTGGTCTCTTTCTCTGGTCTCTTTCTCTGGTCTCTCTGATCTTTCTCTGGTCTCTCTGGTCTCTCTCTGATCTCTCTCTGGTCTCTCTCTGATCGCTCTCTGGTCTTTCTCTGGTCTCTCTCTGATTTCTCTTTGGTCTCTCTCTGGTCTCTCTCTGGTCTCTCTCTGATCTCTCTCTGGTCTTTCTCTGGTCTCTCTCTGATTTCTCTTTGGTCTCTCTCTGGTCTCACTCTGGTCTCTTTCTTTGGTCTCTCTCTGGTCTCTTTCTGATCTCTCTTTGGTCTCTCTCTGGTCTCTTTCTGATCTCTCTTTGGTCTCTCTCTGGTCTCTCTCTGGTCTCTCTCTGGTCTCTCTCTGATCTCTCTTTGGTCTCTCTCTGGTCTCACTCTGGTCTCTTTCTTTGGTCTCTCTCTGGTCTCTCTCTCTGGTCTCTCTCTGGTCTCTCTCTCTGGTCTCTCTCTGGTCTCTCTCTCTGGTCTCTCTCTGGTCTCTCTCTGATCTCTCTTTGGTCTCTCTCTGGTCTCACTCTGGTCTCTTTCTTTGGTCTCTCTCTGGTCTCTTTCTGATCTTTCTCTGGTCTCTCTCTGGTCTCACTCTGGTCTCTTTCTCTGGTCTCTCTCTGGCCTCTCTTTGATCCATCTCTGGTCTCTCTCTTTGGTCTCTCTTTATCAGGTCCCGCTCTGGTGTCTTCCTGGTCTCTCTCCCATCTCTCTAGAGTATATCTCTGGTATTAATCTTTGGTCTCTATCTGGTCTTGCTGGTTTCTCTCTCTGGTCTCTGTTTTCTCTCGCTGGTCTCTCTCTTTGGTCTCTCTCTGGTCTCCCTCTGATCTCTCTTTGGTCTCTCTGGTCTCTCTCTGGTCTCTCTCTCTGGTCTCTCTCTCTGGTCTCTTTCTCAGGTCTCTCTGGTCTCTCTCTGGTTTCTCTCTGGTCTCTCTCTGGTTTCTCTCTGGTCTCTCTCTGGTTTCTCTCTCTGGTCTCTCTGTTTTCTCTCGCTGGTCTCTCTCTCTGGTCTCTTTCTCTGGTCTCTCTGGTTTCTCTCTTTGGTCTCTCTCTGTTTTCTCTTGCTGGTCTCTCTCTCTGGTCTCTCTGGTCTCTCTCTCTGGTCTCTCTTTGGTCTTTCTCTGGTCTCTCTTTGGTCTCTCTCTGGTTTCTCTCTTTGGTCTCTCTCTGGTTTCTCTCTTTGGTCTCTCTCTGGTCTCCCTCTGATCTCTCTTTGGTCTCTCTGGTCTCTCTCTGGTCTCTTTCTCAGGTCTCTCTGGTCTCTCTCTGGTTTCTCTCTCTGGTCTCTCTCTCTGGTCTCTTTCTCAGGTCTCTCTGGTCTCTCTCTGGTTTCTCTCTGGTTTCTCTCTCTGGTCTCTCTGTTTTATCTCGCTGGTCTCTCTCTCTGGTTTATCTCTGGTCTCTCTCTGATCTCTCTTTGGTCTCTCTCTGGTTTCTCTCTTTGGTCTCTCTCAGGTCTCTCTCTGATCTCTCTTTGGTCTCTCTGGTCTCTCTCTGGTCTCTTTCTCAGGTCTCTCTGGTCTCTCTCTCTGGTCTCTTTCTCAGGTCTCTCTGGTCTCTCTCTGCGGCACGGTGGCTGAGTGGATAGCACTCTCGCCTCTCAGCAAGAAGGTCCTGGGTTCGAATCCCGGCCGGACCAGGGCCTTTCTGAGTGGAGTTTGCATGTTCTCCCTGTGTCTGCGTAGGTTTCTTCCGGGTACTCCGGTTTCCCCTACCACTAAAAACATGTACAATAGTTCTGGCATGCGCCTCCTGTTCGGCGACCCCGCTCTCATCTCTGTGTGGAGTGAGAGGACAAGTGCCCAAAAAATAACAATTGTAAACCGCTTTGTGACTCTGGTCTGTGAAAGGCGGTATATAAATAAAGCTTACTTACTACTTACTACTTACTACTCTGTTTTCTCTTGCTGGTCTCTCTCTCTGGTCTCTCTCTCTGGTCTCTCTCTGGTTTCTCTCTCTGGTCTCTCTCTGGTCTCCCTCTGATCTCTCTTTGGTCTCTCTGATCTCTCTCTGGTCTCTTTCTCAGGTCTCTCTGGTCTCTCTCTGGTTTCTCTCTCTGGTCTCTCTCTCTGGTCTCTTTCTCAGGTCTCTCTGGTCTCTCTCTGGTTTCTCTCTTTGGTCTCTCTCTGGTCTCTTTCTCTGGTCAGCATTGTGTTCTCCTTCCTTCCGCCTCCGTCGAGCACAGACATGTCTTCAGACCGCTCCTGCTTCTGACCGCTTGCTCTCTCTTGTTCACTCCTTACTGTCTTTCCGGCTTACCGGAATGCAAGATTCATCCACAAACTCCTGGTGACTGCTGGAGCCAGATGCAACTCTCCTGCGTGAAAGGATTCATCTGTCCCCAGTGATGTGCAGTTCTGATAGTGACCACAAGGGGCAGTGTATCTACTCTCTTCTTGGATTGATAGAAATTAAATCTATTTGTCCAACTCAGGTGTAGGACTTGGACCCAAATTAAGACCAGACAAGGACAAGTACAAGACCAGACCAGACCCAGACCAGACCCAGACCAAGAGTAGACACAGAACTAGGATCAGACCAAGACCTTGTCCCGAACCAACTCCAGAGAAAGACCTGCATCCGGGACCCGACCAGAACCAGGACCCTGCATGGACTACGACCTGACCTAGACTAGGACCAGAGCTCAGCCAAGATCAGGCCCGGACCAACATCAAACCAGGATCCAATCTGGGAACAGGACCTGATCCTGTACAGTGCTCTGCTCAGGAGCAAAAAGGATTAAAGGAGACAGAGCTGACTTTCACCTGTTCTTCCTGTTTCAGGCGGTTCTCAACCAGAAGTTCACGGACTGTTTTGTGTTGGTCTTTCTGAACCTTCAGGCTGCGAAGATGGTAAGAGCTCAGTCACATGTGTCGTTGGTGTTTTTGGTGTTCTTGGACACGTGTGTGTGATGTGTGTGTGATGTGTAGCATTCACTCCAATGCTCTTGTATCGTCTCCAGAGCCTGAAGGTGGTGTTCCGGGAGCCTCTTCCTGCTCAGCCCCCCTCCGGAGGCGGCCCCCCTCCTCAGCTGGTGCACATGTATCACCACCTGGAGTCCATCATCAATGTGGCCTGTTTCAACATGTGGAGCGGCCTGCTCTAGACCACCTCAGCGTGAGTCCTGCTCTAGACCACCTCAGCCTGAGTCCTGCTGTAGACCACCTCAGCCTGAGTCCTGCTCTAGACCACCTCAGCCTGAGTCCTGCTGTAGACCACCTCAGCCTGAGTCCTGCTCTAGACCACCTCAGCCTGAGTCCTGCTGTAGACCACCTCAGCCTGAGTCCTGCTCTAGACCACCTCAGCCTGAGTCCTGCTGTAGACCACCTCAGCCTGAGTCCTGCTGTAGACCACCTCAGCCTGAGTCCTGCTGTAGACCACCTCAGCCTGAGTCCTGCTCTAGACCACCTCAGCCTGAGTCCTGCTGTGGGACAGAAGTTGAGGTCATGACTGCAGGTTGTACTCGGAGTGAAGACCTGCTGCAGACTTTTGGACAGAATCCATGTCATGGTGCCCTCTGCCTCGTAGCGGCAGTCGTCATGAAGTCAGAATGATCAGAATGATCAGAATGATTTTAGGAGCGGTATTAGATTTATATTATTTATTTCCTGCAAAAAACACACAAATCAAAATAACAAATTATAAGTACTTGGTCCGAAAAGGGGTTGGAGGAAGAAAAGGCTTTTGATTCTAACTCGGGTCACACACACACACACACACACACGCACACGCACACACACGTACACACACGTATCTAAAGGCTCTTGTGCAGTTTGTGTCAAACACAAGGCCCCCGGGCCAAATGCGGCCCGAGAAACCAATTGTTGTGGTCACTGAAGTAATCTCCACTATGGTGAAGTTGCAGCGTTGATGTAAGAGGGACCCTGACATACTGACTCACTGACTTACTGATTTACTGACTTATGCCTTTGTGGAACATTTAGTTCATTTTTGAGTCAATCCAAACAGAACTGAACTCATTTTCTTTGATTGAAAGAAAATAAGTAGTAGTTTTGTCAAAATACCCTCATAATGAAGAAATTGCCCGTTGCTAAAGCGATCCGCTAAAATCTCAGAAACCCACATTTGTCCCAGGACCAGAAGGAGCCCGAGGCTGCAGCACTTTACCCTCGGTGTCACAGTCTCTGAAACGAGCCGTGAAAGAAACTGGAAATGTCTGGACCTGTTGTGAGTGACTGCACAAACTGCGGCCCGCGGGCCAGATGTGGCCTTGTTATGTCATGTTCTGTGGCCCTCTGCAGCTAACACAAAGGAGTCTCTGAGATCACTGCATCATCCAGCCAACTTCAGCTCTGCCAACATAGACATACCTCGTGAAGCTCAGGATCTCGTTGACTTTGTTTTACTGTGCTCACATTTGTTTTTGATTGTATCTGGTGCGTAAACATTGTCATTCAGCCAACTTCAAGCTGTCACATATCACCCACTATAGTCCTGTGTCATACCTCATTTTAAGGCTTAGAACAATCCAAAGTAACAAAGCCACGTCACATTTACATTTTGTCTCAGATCATCTCAGAAAGTAAAAAGCCAGACACTCAAAGTCTCTCACTGGTCCATATTTGTAAAAAATGTTCATTATGTGGAATATCTTCAGTTGTGCAGAAATCCTATTTCAGAAAAAAGATTTTTTAATGGTTCTCCTGAAACAAGCACATGGTGTTTCATTGTGACATACGTTTGTAAATTAGATTTAATATAGAAAGAAAATAAATAAATGATACAATGCTCTAAATAAGGTTCACTTTTTATTGTAAATTATAATAATAAAAGTTCAACGACATCATATACAACGTTATGTAACTGCTATAACACTTTTCTTTATTTAAAGTCAGAATAAACGGTGCCACTATGCCAGAACCTGTTGGAGGCGCTGTACGCAATGACGGGATCAGCCCAAACTGCCGTTGGCATGCGCGAATTTTGTAAAACAGACAACATGGCGATGGCAGCTGGTACAACATTAGTATTGGACGACGATGAGGGTTGAACTGTTGCGTCGGGTCACACTGGATTAACAAATCCAACAAGCTACATTGGGTTGTGGTCAGGATTCTATGAGGCGCATGCGTGCTTATAACAAGAGGCTGGGCGATGACGCAAGCTTCTCAGATACATTGCGTATAGCATAACCAACAGGCGGGCAAATATACGTTTTTTTGAAATCTTTCCACTTCTGGGACCTAGTTTCAAAAATGTTCGTTTACAACCCCCCCATAACGCCGGCCTCGTATGGACATACACTGGATTGATTAAGTATTTTTGCGTTTAGGCATGAGCTTAAAAATACGTCGTGTGGACAGGGCCATAGATTACATGTTTTTCAAGCATGGGCGTAACCCTCTATGACGTCACACACAGTAGAGCATAGACAACTTAAATTCATGAAAAACACGTTCTTTTTATTAAATTATGATTGTTTTTTTGCCGGGAATCTCTTTCAAATTGACATTGTCATGCAATTTTGATATCCACTATTTTTTAAAAAAAATACCCGTCGATAAGTCTTTAATGTCAATACAAACAGGAGACCTATTTTCTCAGTAGTTTCTGTCAATCCAGGAAACCAATGAATAATGTCATACGTAGAAAAAAAATCAGGCTGCATTCCCTTAATGAAACTTTCGTACCAAAAGTAAAATAATTTTCCTTCTAGGATTGGAAGAGACCGGTTAAAAAAATTATGCTTCTGTTACATTAGGCTGTAGAAGGACCATAAAAATGCTTGACCACATTGTCCACCATCAGAGGGAGTTGATCGATTTGAGACTAAAAAGCGGGCGTGACAATGAAGAAATATTTAGTTGAATGGACGCTGAGTTATACTCGAAGGCCCTGTTAATACTGAGACGCTGCGCAGAACGTTTCCAGCTATTCACAAAACATAGCCCTGGCTCCTAATGCAAAGTTTCTCAGTGTTTCCACATGAGATGAAAACGATGTATTTCTAGCGCCCGGCCAGTAGTGGGCAGAGATACTTTACAACACTCAACACGACCCCCAGCCCCAGTGCCCAGCCCCCCTCTCGGTATATACACACTTCCTGTGCCAGAACCTCAGAAAGCACCAACATCATTCTGCATTTTAAAACATCAGCTGTGAAAATGAAAACTGAACCTAGAGCTTCGCTGGTCTCGTTTGGGACGAACGTATGGTGTTAGAAATATCCTCTGTTGCCCGCGCTGGAAGCCCACGTAGCTAGTTTTTGTGTGCGCGGCGGCATTGTTGTAGGATGTTTGTTCTCCGCTACTGCGCATGTCCAAATTTACGGGCGTGAGCAGCGGGGAGGACGGGGGTCAAGCAGAGGGGGATTTCACACCTTTCCCCTCTCGCAGGTGTGAAAGAGCTCCCCGCTGGCAGCGTTTCGGATTGGCCAATCTCGGCAGGCTGATGCTGATACACGTACAGTTTCACCCCCTGAAACGCAGCTTCGAGGTGGGGGGGTGGGGGGGGGGGGGGTGTGAACGGTTGGGTTAAAACCGACATCCAACTATACCGTTTTACTGCCACATTGTCGCCGTGTAATACTCACGACTAATGCTAAAATCCAAAACTACTAAAAGCATGTAAGAAATGCAAGGTGCTCTTAAAAAGAGGATATATTGGATTTGTTTGCCTTAAAGTATGATATGGAGAAGTCCGCCCTCTCCTAGTTTTTGACAAAACTCTCTGGTCTTATTGCATCACCAGAAGGATTGACAATTGGAAGGACAAGATGTCTTGAGGATCCCACCCGGAAGTAGAAAATCCTATATATTTTCTACTTCCGGGAAATAGAACATTTTCAGAAAACTTCTAGTGTTTGAAAAGGTAAACATACGTTAAAACTGAAGTATTCTTGAAATGTCTATTATATAATCGATTCTCATCTTTTTGATTTTCTTTTTTTATAGAAACAAATTGGTCGAACAAGACACATATAATGGACATCTAGGATGCCATTGAGCTTATAATAACATCATTGTCCGACACAACACCGTGTATCATAAAAGACGACACTGAAAGCCTGACTACAATACTGTTTATGTTTGACCAGGTAGAGATTTACCAACCTCACTACGAAGACTGTGTTCAGGAGGGTGTGAAAATGTAAGTGTTCAGAATCCAGCCTGCAGAGTGGACAACTCAGAAACGCTGCACAGCGGGGAGCGTCTTTAACATCCCGCAGAGGGAATAGGTGTGAAATCCCCCTCTGCTCTGACCCCACGCCTCCCCGCTGCTCCCCGCACGTATATTGGACATGCGCAGTACGGAACAAAACATCAACAACAATGCGCCCGCGCACACAAACTAGCTAACTGGGCTTCCAGCGCGCACAGAGGATAATCTACACCTTCGTTTCCGTCCAACACGAGACCAAGCGCAAGCTCTAGGTTCAGTTTTTCATTTTCTCAGCGGGCGTTAAAATCAGAATATGTTTGGGCATTCTGAGGGTCTGGCACAGGAAGTAGTATACTAACGAGAGGGCTGGGCATGGGCTGGGGTCGGGTGAGTGTTGTTAAGTTTCTCTGCCCCACTACTGGCCCGCTAGAACTACCATCGTTTTCAACATCATGTGTACACTGAGAAATTGCATTAGGACCAGGTTGTTTCTGTTAATAGCCTGGAAAACACGCGCGCAGCGTCTCAGTATAAACAGGGCCTTCGAGTAAGTACTTCAGGTCCATCAAATAATATCTTTTGTCACGCACCCGCTTTTTAGTCTCCAATGTCGATCAGCCTCACCTCAGTGGTGGACATTGGTCATTAGCAGTTCTAATGGTCATCAACACCCTAATGTAAACACTATCATATACTGTCTCTTCCTCTTCCTTGAAAATTATATTTTACGTTGGGTAAAGATAGTTTCATACAGGAATGCAGCATATTTTTTTTCCTAAGTATGACAGTTGATCATTTGTTTCCTGATGAAGAAAACCCTTTGAAGAAAACATGAGGTCTCCTGTTGTACTTAGACATTAAAGACCTTTATAAGGTTTTTTTTTTAAAAAATAGTGATAACCAAAATGGCATGACAATGCAATTTTGATAGAGATTCCGAATAAAAATCCTTATTTTAGAAAAAGAACGTGTTTGGTTTCGAATGATTTGAAAGTGTCTATGCCTCTAACCCGTGTGTTGACTCATACGTTACGCCCGATGCATTATTACCATGAACTATGGCCCTTCCACACGAATCAAGCTCAGCCTAAAACCCAGCCCAAAAATACCTTTATATCAATCCATTGTATCTCTTACGAGGCCCGGCGTTTTGGGTGGGGTGAAACGAAACATTTTTGAAACTAGGTCCCAAGTGGAAAGATTTCATAAACTCCGTATATGCCGCTCCGTGGTAATGCCTCTCCGCATGTTCTGAGACGCTTGCGTCATCGCACCGCCTCTTGTTAAAGCACGCATGCGCCGCACTCAAAAACTAATACAACAACAATGTAGCTTGTTGTTTTGTAATCCAGTGGTGACCCGAAGCAACAGTTTCACCTCATCGATCCGTCCATACTAATTTGTACCACTCGCCCTCTCGCCATGTTTTCTGTTTACAAATTCCGCCAAGCCCACCGAATTTGGGCTTGATCCCTTCATTGGGCTCACAGCCCACCAACCAGTGTCTGGCATATTTCACACACGTTTTCAGGCGTATTGACTACATTCTTATGGAACCACACATTTACTGGGAGCTGACCCCTGTCTGTGAGGCCCCTGTCTGTGAGACCCCTGTCTGTGAGGCCCCTGTCTGTGAGACCCCTGTCTGTGAGGCCCCTGTCTGTGAGACCCCTGTCTGTGAGACCCCTGTCTGTGAGACCCCTGTCTGTGAGACCCCTGTCTGTGAGGCCCCTGTCTGTGAGACCCCTGTCTGTGAGGCCCCTGTCTGTGAGGCCCCTGTCTGTGAGACCCCTGTCTGTGAGGCCCCTGTCCTCTGTCTCTGAGGCCCCTGTCCTCTGTCTGTGAGGCCTCTGTCCTCTGTCTGTGAGGCCTCTGTCCTCTGTCTGTGAGGCCTTTGTCCTCTGTCTCTGAGGCCCCTGTCCTCTGTCTCTGTGAGGCCCTTGACCTCGGTCTCTGAGGCCCTTGACCTCTGTCTCTGAGGCCCCTGACCTCAGTCTGTGAGGCCCCAGTCTGTGAGGGCCCAGTCTGTGAGGCCCCTGAGGGAGCCGAGAGCAGACGTCAGGGGCCTCTGTAATGATCAGATGATAGGTGTGTGTGTAATGGAGCGCGGTGCGATTAGAAAAGCTTTAATGGATGATTTGCCGAAGCACAATTGCACAAATAAAGCGTTTACTCGCTCAGGAGCTGGAGCTGAGCCATGACCCAAGACCGAGCTCAGACCCAAGACCGGGTTTTGTGGCTGAGGATCGATGTGATATTTCTCTGGGATTTTATAATAATAATAATAATAATAATAATAATAATAATAATAATAATGCATCAGTTTTAAACACTCACTGTCACATGTCATTATTCTTTCACCCCAAACACAATGATGATAAACTACAGTAGCCACAGCCGCCCTGGGGCACACTGACAGAAGATAGGCAACCAGTCTGTGCCATCGGCCCCTCTCATCACCACCAACCATTCACATAATTTGGGTGTGTCTTGCCTAAGGACAGAAAGACAGTTTGGCACTTCGTAGCCGCAGCCGCCCCACTGTGGCACCTGATCTGTGTTGGTGAATTCAGCGGCTGTGTAACGTCCTCTGAGATCAATACTGTTGTGATTTAGGGCGATACAAGAATAAAGGTCAGGTTTAAGGGACACAACAGAGACACAGGACAATGTCATGTTCACATTCAAGAGAAAAGACACGTTTATTTGCATTGCACGGTTCATACACAACTCACAGTGCCGAACAAAACAAGATGGAAATAATCACACAAAGCATTCAAATTAAAAGAGTAAAGATTACATCTCTCAGTCGTTTGCAGCTAAACAGAACTGTTTTAACCTGGATCAGAACATTGTCAGAGAAGAATTTTGTCTCACATTTTCTGAAATGCTGCTTCCCCGTGTTTAGTCCTGAGGCCAGTCCCTGTGCTCCTCAGAGTCCCAGTTGGTAAAGGAAGGTAAAGGAAGGTAAATATCGTGCGGTGATCGAGTCTTCATTCAGGTGCATGAGCGTGAGCGGGTCTCTGTCGTGGTGTGGACTCTGGTTCATTTTGATATCTTTTCACTCTCCTGTTTTCCCAGTCCGTCCTGTTGTTTGTTTGCCTCACCCTGATGACACCTGTGTCCCCAGTATTTATTTAGACCCTCTACTCCTGGGTTTTCTCATGAGTTTTTCCTTGCCGATGCAGGAGGGTCTGTTGGGCAGTTAGTGTCCAACTAGAAGGACTGTGGTGATGATCCAGGACACTTAAACATTCTACAACATGTATGACATTTATCAACATGATGGACATTGGTCTCTCCCTAAGGACCAACTCATATGCATATAGTTTCTGTTGGTTCTCTGATCTGTGTTGGTGATTTCAATGGTTTTGTTAAGTCTCTGAGACGACTTCTGTTGTGATTTAGGGCGATACAAGAATAAATTGTATAGTGTATTTAGACCCTGGCCCCTCTGTCCCCCACTCCTCCTGTAGCTCATGTGCTCTGTTTGTGGTTTTCATCCTGCAGTGTCTGGGTGGTGCAGTGTTTTGGGCAGTGTTGGACAAATGACTTCAAAAACATAATGTAGCCCTAACCCTTGTAATGTGCTGCACTACAGTACTACTATCTCTGAATGGTAAAGCATGACACTCCTACTGCATTGCTTTTCAGTTACTTTCACCAAATATATAAATGCAGCTTGCGTGAGGTCGATGGGGCTTTTGGTCGGATAAATCTGTTGATCTCAAGCAGAGTATAAAAACAAAACACATTTTAATTTCGGGTTCAAATGCCATGTGACGCACAAAACATTTTACCCAGTATTTTACATGACTGCGCTACTGCAAAAAGCCAAACATTACAGCAATGACTTTACATTTTGTGACTCTCCCAACTCTGTCCGTGAGGCGCAGTGTGGCTCCTCTCTTTACGTTCATGAGCTTTAATCTGGTGTCGACAAAAACACTCTGTTCTTTCACTGTGTTTTTTCTCTAATTCACACTTTATGGAACACCACATGATAATAGTATCTTCTCAGGCCCCGTGCCCCACACACTGATACTGTTCTGATCAAACAAACCATAGCAGGAGTTACAGCAGAGGATCATCAGCAGTGGATCATCAGAGGATCATCAGCAGTGGATCATCAGAGGATCATCAGCAGTGGATCATCAGAGGATCATCAGCAGAGGATCATCAGCAGAGGATCATCAGCAGAGGACCATCAGCAGAGGATCATCAGCAGAGGATCATCAGCAGAGGATCATCAGCAGAGGATCATCAGCAGTGGATCATCAGCAGAGGATCATCAGCAGAGGATCATCAGCAGAGGACCATCAGCAGAGGACCATCAGCAGAGGATCATCAGCAGAGGACCATCAGCAGAGGATCATCAGCAGAGGATCATCAGCAGAGGATCATCAGCAGAGGATCATCAGCAGTGGATCATCAGCAGAGGATCATCAGCAGAGGATCATCAGCAGAGGACCATCAGCAGAGGACCATCAGCAGAGGACCATCAGCAGAGGACCATCAGCAGAGGACCATCAGCAGAGGATCATCAGCAGAGGATCATCAGCAGTGGATCATCAGCAGTGGATCATCAGCAGAGGATCATCAGCAGTGGATCATCAGCAGCAGACTTTATTTTTGTATTCATTACGAAAATGCTATCCATATCCATGCAGTGCATTGGGAGATACGTCCTTTTGAAGAAAAAGTAGTGCAGGTTTGTGCTGGAGTGTCAATTTATTTTAAATCGAGTTTTCATGAAACAAGGAAAATAATTTGTTTTGGGACCAGATTGTGACCAATCACAGCGGACCACTGGCCCCTACTTTCTTGAGAAAAGCCACAGGTCTCTGGTTAGCACAGACAGCTGAGGTAAACAAGCAGCGGAGGCTAACCTGAAACTTCCTGTGTCTTCGTTACCGGTTTCTGCTTACTCAGCGAAACAGACAAAAGAACGTCTCGTCCTCTCAGCGCTTCCCGGTTCTATCATTTTATGGTCACGCCATCCACGTTCCATTGTGTCCCTATTGTGAGACGTGAGCTCCGTATACAGTTAGCATGAGAGCATAGGCTGAGGGGGAGGGGGGTAGTGGGGGGCAAAAGCTCAGTGTGGGGAGGGCGAGCAGACAGAGCGAGCCCAGCGTTCTCATTCGAACATTTCTCAAAGTCAGTTAGTGCAGCTTTGAGTTGCTCTTCTGCCACTCATGAAACTTTGGTGCTTCCAAATATATTATACATTAATCTTAAAAGCCAAAGAAGTCTGTCTCTGTTACAGCGCTGCACTTCTTTTCGGGGACCACACGGCGGCGGGTTGGAGGAAAAGAGGACTTCAGGGGTGAAAACCCCAATAAAGGGGTCTCACCTCAAGGACAAGAGAAATTAATCTCCCTAATGTTTTAAAGCAGTTGTCAAACATGTAACCATTCTTAGTGGCCCCAGAAATGATTTTCTATTTGGCTCAATATTTGTAACTTGCAGCATTGAAGGTCAGAGGATGTAACTGGGATACGGAAAAGTATATTGAATAGTAACTAAATACATGCAAATATATATGAATTTTTTTTCTAAAAAGGCACTGTATTACTCTGAACTGTGCACTGTTTGTGCACGTGGAATGACTACCGTATTTCCTCCCTAAAAACAACTGTATTTTTCATATATTTTTTATCTATGGTCAAATTGCGTTGTGAAAATTGGTTAAGAACTGCAAAGAGTTTCAGTCCTTAACCAATTTTCACTGTATATGTTAACTACGCAATTTGACTATAATTAAAAACTCTAAGCTCTCACTACTAGAGTATTAACTATAGTGGTAACTGGGCCTACAAACTTAAGTCTTAGAGAATTCTGCCCAAACTTGAGCCTGACATGTTTTTCCGAGCTCGGACACGGAGTGATAGAGTGCGCGGGGTGTTGTGCGCTGCTGAGGGAGAAAACCTCTGTCCAAGTCTTGTGGATAATACATAAATGTGTTGCAGCTTCACAAACATAATGTGTCAGTAGGATATGACCTCTGAGAGAGAAGAGAGAGAGAACAAAGAGAGAGAAAGAAAGCAAGAGAGAGAGGTTGCACACAGAAATGGGGCAATGTGAAAGAAAAATGAGTAGTTCTCTTCTCTTCTACAATCATCATTAGTTTGGACACACCCACTCTGATATTCCAGGTCTGTTTCTTGGCCTGTTTCGTTGTAAAGGGGGATAATCTTCTGGTTGTCTTTCCGGTGGTGAGTGAACTGTGGGGACAAGATCCTCACTGCAAACCATCGGAGGCCGTTTCAGACCGGAGCGGTGACGGAGGATGTGGAATCCCGATCTCGTGCGTACCGCCAAAACGGCGTGTTCCCATGGTTACGCGCACCGCTTGACATCACCCCACTGTTTGAGAAGGACTCACGCGGCCTTAAAAATGAATTACATCTTCAACAATGTCTCCTCCTGTTCACGAGTCCATCATTGAACACAGCATGACACTATTCTTCTTCAGAGAGGCCTTCCGTACGGCCTCTCAGCTGCTCCCATTGCTGTTCTAAGCCTTTTGCGGGGCATTTTAAGAATGTGATGGAAGAGGGACCACTGTATCACCAACTGAAAGTTTCTTGGCTCGAGATATAAACAAACATGAACAAAAAGCTCAGAGTCCCTGGAGTCATGGCCCTGAATGAACCACAAATGCTCATAAGTGATAAGCAATGTAGATATAACCGACCTGTTCACCTTCCAAGATAAAAGATATAAGATGGACAGAGGAGCAGAGCAAAGAATCAATGAGGCAAGGAAGTCTTGAATGTGCGGAAAGACGGAGTGAGGACAGACGGAGTGAGGACAGACGGAGTGAGAACAGACGGAGTGAGGACAGACGGAGTGAGGACAGACGGAGTGAGGACAGACGGAGTGAGGACAGACGGAGTGAGGACAGACGGAGTGAGGACAGACGGAGTGAGGACAGATGGAGTGAGGACAGACGGAGTGAGGACAGACGACGGAGTGAGGACAGACGGAGTGAGGACAGATGGAGGACAGACGGAGTGAGGACAGACGCAGTGAGGACAGACGCAGTGAGGACAGACGGAGTGAGGACAGACGCAGTGAGGACAGACGGAGTGAGGACAGACGGAGTGAGGACAGACGCAGTGAGGACAGACGGAGGGAGGACAGACGGAGTGAGGACAGACGCAGTGAGGACAGACGGAGTGAGGACAGACGGAGGGAGGACAGACGGAGGGAGGACAGACGGAGTGAGGACAGACGGAGGGAGGACAGACGGAGTGAGGACAGATGGAGGGAGGACAGACGGAGTGAGGACAGACGGAGTGAGGACAGACGGAGTGAGGACAGACGGAGGGAGGAGAGACGGAGGGAGGACAGACGGAGTGAGGACAGACGGAGTGAGGACAGACGCAGTGAGGACAGACGAAGTGAGGACAGACGGAGTGAGGACAGACGGAGTGAGGACAGACGCAGTGAGGACAGACGCAGTGAGGACAGACGCAGTGAAGACAGACGGAGTGAGGACAGACGCAGTGAGGACAGACGGAGTGAGGACAGACGGAGTGAGGACAGACGGAGTGAGGACAGACGGAGTGAGGACAGACGCAGTGAGGACAGACGGAGTGAGGACAGACGGAGTGAGGACAGACGGAGTGAGGACAGACGGAGTGAGGACAGACGGAGTGAGGACAGACGGAGTGAGGACAGACGCAGTGAGGACAGACGCAGTGAGGACAGACGGAGGGAGGACAGGCGGAGGGAGGACAGACGGAGTGAGGACAGACGGAGTGAGGACAGACGCAGTGAGGACAGACGGAGTGAGGACAGACGCAGTGAGGACAGACGGAGTGAGGACAGACGCAGTGAGGACAGACGGAGGGAGGACAGACGGAGTGAGGACAGACGGAGTGAGGACAGACGGAGTGAGGACAGACGGAGTGAGGACAGACGCAGTGAGGACAGACGCAGTGAGGACAGACGGAGTAAGGACAGACGCAGTGAGGACAGACGGAGTGAGGACAGATGGAGTACGGAGTGAGGACAGACGGAGTGAGGACAGACGGAGTGAGGACAGACAAAGTGAGGACAGACGAAGTGAGGACAGACGGAGTGAGGACAGACGGAGTGAGGACAGACGAAGTGAGGACAGACGAAGTGAGGACAGACGAAGTGAGGACAGACGGAGTGAGGACAGATGGAGTGAGGACAGACGGAGACCGTCAGAGTGAGGACCATCAGAGTGAGGACCGTCAGAATGATGACCGACAAAGTGAGGACCGTCATTCGTCTCGTCGATTAACACAGTGTTCCCCAACCTTTTTGAGCCGTGACACACCTTTTTCATCAAAACTATAACATGGAACACCTCAAACTGAAACTGATACAGATATGAAACTCTGCAGCCTTTATTAAAAACGTTTAGTCATCCTCATCAAAGTGTAATATATCGACAATCAAACAAGCACAAAAAGCACTTTCTAATCTCCTCAAATTATTTTCTTTCCACATTATTTTGACCAATTAGATAATTTATCATTTCCAAAGGCTCAATTACATAAAACACTGTCATGGTATGGATTTTATGTTTGCATTTTTGTTTTATTTTGAATATGGTTCTCTGTGGTTCGGTTCTAGCTGTACTTCCTGTCTTTTTCCCCTGTCTTGATTGTTCTGCCCCGCCCTGATGTGTTTCACCTGTGTCTCTGTCTTTATGTACCCTGTGATCCTCTCCCCTTGTTGCTGGTCCATGGTATTGTTTCGGTCTTTGTCTGTGTTCCTGGTTCCTTGTTCCTGTGTTCAGTTTAGATTTATTTTTTATCTTTGTCATCTTTGTCCTCCTTCCCACCTTGTGACAAACACTGGATTACCCAAAATAAACATATCACCTCAAGAAGAATTCTGTCTCCAAACATTTACAGTAGACAAGTCAGAATTTTGGCCTCAGTTTGGACCAGTGTCTTATTGACTGACGCTCCTGACGCCATGTCGATTGGTTGGTGTAGAACTCACATAATCATGCTGTCTCTCCCCTTTATGAACACAGTGTAAAAGAGCTTGTCAGGTGGAGCTGCTCTAGTGGAGGTGAAAGGCTCACAATGTTAAATGAGACTGAGACGAGCCGTGAATGAGGACTCCAGCGATCACTAACAGCCGTCTGAAAGTGGTCAGGTGTAACTCCAGGCCTCAGTGGTAATGGCATGCGTCGAACACACACTGCATACATACATAGGCCAACCAGCAGCAGTACTGGTGGGAGTATTCATAGCAGTATCAGCAGTAATAGTACGTGAACGCAGAGTGCTGGCGTCCGCTCCTGCTAACCCTTTGAAAACACATTATTCTGGGTCAGCCGCTCTCAAAGCTCAAAGAAGACCAGTGTGAGCGCGGCCCCATTCGCTCAATCTGACGGGGAAAAAGCAGGCCGAAGCTGCACACGCACTCACACACACACACATCACACAGACACACACAAACGCACACACACACTCACGTACACACACAAAAGTCACACATACAGACACACACACACAAGTGACATGCACACGCACAAACGCACACACACACTCACGTACACACACATGCACACGTCATACATACACACAAACGCACACACACACTCACGTACACACGCAAAAGTCACACATACAGACACACACACACTCACTCACATACACACAAAAGTCACACAAACGCACGCACACACTCACGTACACACACACGCACACGTCACACATACACACACAAACGCACGCACACACTCACGTACACACAAACGCACACACACACTCACGTGCACACACACACAAAAGTCACACACACAAAAGTCACACACACACTCACTCAAATATACACAAAAGTCACACAAACACACTCACGTACACACACACACACGCACACGCACACATACACACACAAACGCACACACACACACACACACACACACACACACGCACAGAACTAAACCAGACATTACTCTGTTAAACTATATATTCTAAAATTGCCACATTTAATCTACTGCTGCTGACAATATTATCGGTTTTTGAAAAAATGTCTTCTTCTGCTTCCTGAGCGATGTAATGGCTGTATATGTTTATATCAAATTGTACATTTTTCCATTATCTTTTTTTTAAACGAACGTAGAACACACACTGGACAGAAATGTTAACAATATATATGATAATCTTAAAAAAATAAAAATAAATCAAAGTGCTGGAGTCCAGGAACAGCTGTACTTTGTCCTTTTTTTTTAACTTAGTTGGAGAACAAAATGACACACACTTGCATCACGTGAACACACTTTCAGATTGAAAGCAACACACTACAGTACTTTATATAAAACACTGCAGTCATTTTCACTGTTTTTATTCTGTTTATCAGTTAGTTTTCTGTGAAGCTCAATGGAACTGTTTTTGTTCTCTGTAACACTGAAAGGTTACACATAATATAAACCCAATACAGTACAGTACTACAGTATACTTTACAGTACAGTACTACAGTATACTTTACAGTACAGTACTACAGTATACTTTACAGTACAGTACTACAGTATACTTTATAGTGCAGTACTACAGTATACTTTACAGTACAGTACTACAGCATACTTTACAGTACAGTACAATTGTGTCAATGCAGTAAAACAAAAAAACTCTAATGTAAAACTAAGCAGTTGTGCGTATGTGGATTATGGATCATGGTTCATGGTCTAACTATTTCCACGAAGGCAAGTTCATGTTGTTGGTGAACAGTTGCCGACCACCTCCGGATGTTCTTTTAGTCATTTTGTATAAATATGAAACCACAAATTGTTACTATAGGTTTAGTTTTTTTACAGTACAAATGTACACAGTACTGTTATATCTCAGTTTTATGTACTTTACCGTCTTGTATGTTTCACAAAACTACATTTCTTTCAAAAAGGAGCAATAGCCAACTTGCAAAACAGTACATGTGATACAGAACAGTACTGTAAATACTGTAGGTACAGTCTGCAGTAGAGACTTACAGTACATGTGATACAGTACTGTAAATACTGTAGATACAGTCTGCAGTAGAGCGTTGGAAACATGTAGGTCCTGAAGGACCTTGTCTGGACTCTCTGCTTCCCTCAGTTTGAGGCGGTGGTTTATCACAAGATCCACAAAAGTTGCTCTAATGTCATAAAAATATTGTGTTGTTTTAATCCTCTTAAACTCCTTGTCTTCCTCTGTCTTGCTCTTCCTGCCTTCAAACTTGCAAAGTTCTGAAAATGGCTAAACTGAAGCCTGTTTGTGTCTGTCTGATGTGTGTTGAATTTTGTAATTCAGTGTTTTCTGGTGTGTGTCTCAGTGTTTTTAGTCACACAATGTGTTTGGTATTTTGAATAGATGTGTTTTCCCAACGATAACACAGGATTGCAAATATGCACAAAGTGTCTTATGTATGACACAGTGTGTAGTGAGCAGGAGAAAGTGTGTTGCAGAAAGAGAAAGTGTGTTGCAAAAGGAGAAAGTGTGTTGTAGAAATGAAAGTAGAGTGCAAAGCAGTACTTTTGTTTAAGGAATGGTCAGTCTGTGTTTTAGGTTTAGAACAAAAGCTTCAAGTTCTGCAACTTTGGTCTAAGCGTATGTCTATAGTGTTCAAGCAACAGGAAAAAACTGTAAAGGACAAAGCGGGCCGCAATTGGCCCTCAGGCCTTAGTTTGGACAGAATGTTTGATTAGGGGAGTCTGGACGAAATTCAAGACTAAATTTACGACAGAACTTTTTTCAAGAAAGGTCCCACTGAGATTTTCTTTAACTTTTTTGTGTGTGTTTGTCCTTTATGTCTGTTCTGTGTATTTTATCTGTGTGAAAAGTCTATTTTACATGCTCTGTCCCTTTGCACTTGTCCAATCCCATTCAGGACCCGTCACAATAGTGGAATTAGGACTAAATGAATATGCCTTTTATACCTACATACTTGCTTTAGTCAATGAAAAAACAAAAGTTATAAATTAAGCTTCAAATGAGGACAATAGGACGTCGTTTGAAAGTCTGCCCTGTTGAAGCCGCCCACACGCTGGCTGTTATCAGGCCGGGTGCATGCCTCTGCTTTGGGGGGGACCTGCCACCGGGAGCACCCCCTCTATGGGTGTGGATTACACACAGCCACAAGACTCTCCCATTAATCTGCACACAACAGCAAAACGCTTTACACGACTCATTATTGTGTTGTTTGAAGAGCACTTATGTCCCAGTAGGAAGCTCTTTGTCTGAGAGAGTCTGAGGGCGTGTGCGGTGTGTTTCCAGCCCTTGTTTATGAAGCAGAGTTTTACAACAGTCAAGATAAACGTTACTGTTCCGGAGGGTTTTGGGCTCACTGCAAACACAATTTAAACATACATTCATCCTAAAACAACAGTCTGTGACGATGATAAAAGCCAACAAGTCCAGTTATTACATTCAAATACCATACAGTAAAATGTAAATGTTTTCATAATGTAGGAAATCGTAATATAAGTACTGTATAATGCTTATTTAGACACTCAAAGGCGTTTTACAAAAGGACAGGTGAAAAAGAAAGTCTAGTGTAGGCAGTTTTGACCTGGTGGGTTTTGAGCAGTGATGAGAAGTTCTGAAGTGGATCTGAGATCCTGATGTGATGTGGGAGTGCGTTCCAAATAGTAAGGGCAGCTGCAGCGAATAATCGGTACCTCAAGGTCCAGAAGGCTCGGTCCTCAGGGTTCAGAGGGCTCGGTCTTCAGGGTTCAGAAGGCTCGGTCTTCAGGGTTCAGAAGGCTCGGTCTTCAGGGTTCAGGAGACTCGGCCGTCAGGGTTCAGAAGACTCGGTCCGGCTCGGTCCTCAGGGTTCAGCAGGCTCGGTCTTCAGGGTTCAGAAGGCTTGGTTCTTCAGGGTTCAGAAGGCTTGGTTCCTCAGGGTTCAGAAAGCTTGGTTCCTCAGGGTTCAGAAGGCTCGGTCCTGAGGGTTCAGAAGGCTTGGTTCCTCCGGGTTCAGAAGGCTCGGTCCTCAGGGTTCAGAAGGCTCGGTCAAGGTTCAGAAGGCTCGGTCCTCAGGGTTCAGAAAGCTTGGTTCCTCAGGGTTCAGAAGGCTCGGTCCTCAGGGTTCAGAAGGCTCGGTCCTCAGGGTTCAGAAGGCTCGGTCCTCAGGGTTCAGAAGACTCGGTCAAGGTTCAGAAGGCTCGGTTCCTCAGTGTTCAGGTTGTGATGATCGTTTTATAGGGAACGGAATGCAGTTGTGCCTATTGTAATACAAGTACGAACATGTACCTCTTACTTTTACACTAGTTACGTGTGTCTGAAGGTCTCATGTTTTCTTGCTGGATAGTTAAATCTCCAGATCGCTAATTGGACGGCTAGCCTGCAGATG